ACAATTGAATGCTTTTCGTTTCTATAATACGTTGTGGGAAATGACTGAGAGAGCTTCTTACCAATACCGCCGCCCCACCCATTCCTTGATTATGTCGTGAAGGTTTATATGCTGGATAGAAGGAATATCCGAAAATTTTGACAACTTCACCTCGATTGAGCCTAATTTCACTTAAAAGTATAATATCAATGTTGTTGTTGTGCGCAAAGAATTCCACTTCTCTGGCTTTACCTGAAATGCCATTGACATTCCAGATAAGGATTTTGAGTGTATTCATTTTGAGGCTGAAACGTTGTTGTGAAGCACTGATTTGCCCCCAGTCCACTGCTTAATAGAATTGGCCATTTCGAAAACCATATTTTCAAGTCTTTCAAGTCGAAGGCTGTTCTGTTTGTTTTGCTTTTGTTGTTCCTGCTGCTGTTGTTGTAACCACAAAAAGAATTGCTGCTGCTGCTGTTGCTGAAGTTGTTGTTGCCATTTCATAAATTGCTGTTGCTGTTGCTCCAATATAGACTGAACGTCAAGCACATATTGTTGTTGTTGAGTATTCTTCGAATTTTGTACTTGCGGCTGCGCTTGGAGATCATGTAGACGGCGCTGGGCATGACCAATTCCATTTCTTACAATAGAGGCATAAGATAAGCCTATATTATTGCTGGCAGAAGAGTTAGGCATTTGCTGAGATTGCTGCTCTCGGATTGGCTGTTGTTGCTGACGTTTTTGTTGTGGATGTTGTCGCGTTGATTGTTTTTTTGAACTCATCGATCGCCTAAGGTATTCTTGATAAGATTGGCAACCCTTGTAGCTTGCTGTATGATTCCCTCTACAGTGCATACATGTAGGCGGTTGATCTTGGGGACGAACACATTGCTTTGTATGGTGATCTTCTCCACAGCGAGCACAATTAGGATGCCGGCGGCAGTACTTCGCTGTATGTCCAAATTCTTGGCAACGAATACATTGAGCTATTTCAGATCTTTTACGCATCCTTTCTATTCGCACTCGTTGGCGGCAAAGAGTTACTATATCATATATGGCATTAATTTTAGCACATGGCTTAATATTGATAAAAAATATGTTGAGTTTCTCATCTGGGTCAGACCTAGATCTTGGGTTATGCACCTGAAGAGCTTCAAAACCTAAGGTTTTAAAATTGGCAACAATTTCGCTAGTTAATGTGCTATGATGAAGCCCTTTAACTACTATTCTGTGTGGTTTATCTTCCTTCATTTGGTACGTATGGAATTCAATTTCCATTTCATCAAAATGATCAACAATGTCTCTATAAGTTTTAGAGTCCTTGGAAAATATTCTTGCTGTAGATCCCTGATTTACTTTAACGATAACGTTATCTAGACTAGTGATCCCCGAAATAACATCAAATAGATCGTTAAGGTTGACAAAACTTAGAACAATTTGTGGTGGTTTTAAATTATTGTTGGGATTATTCTTGCCATTAGAATTATTTTGTTCAAATTCATTATCTGAGACAATTGTTTCCATATCATCATTTAAATCTGTTTGGGCATCTGCCAAGGAAAGATTACTTCTTTCCTCAACAGGTCTGTCACTGTCTAGGTCCACCTCCATGTCTAGTAAGGCAAACCTATTACTAGAGCTTGCCTTGCTGGTTGATGCTGAGGGTGATCCAGATAACTTTTCTTTGTGCACCTTCTTAGGGTAAGGAGTATATGAAAGTTGCTTCTTCCTCTTGTACGACAGATGGCTTTGGCTTAGCTTCAACTTGGTAGCAGCATCAGAAAACGGAGTTGAAGAAATTTTTGAATTATCACCAAGAGTTGGAGAGACAATTGCAGCCCCACCTCTGGGTAATGGGGATGAATTACCAGATGAGCGTTGGGAGTAATAAACATTAGTTTTATCCATACTCGCGGAAGAGCAAACACTGCTGATTTCCGCATCTGATGCTGTAGCCAGCATTGAGGTTATAGTACTAGTGCTCGCAGATTTTGAGCACAGTGGGCGTTGTAAACTGATGATCTCTTCCCTTATCTCCGAAGGTGTTTTACCAGCTATTTGGAACATTTTTTTATAATCAAACTGCTTACCGCTAGGTTGAGAGTTAGAATGAAGATTTCCATCCATTACCCCTCTTGCGCGGCAGCGCGCGGAGTGAATGGTGACCGTCTACAGATGAGTATTTGTAGTTGTACGTCTGCACTAGACAAAGTCCAATTAGCACACGAAGAGTGCGCAAAAGAAAAATTTGAGATCCTCTTGCTTTGCTTTTGGTTTTTCTGTCCACGGCACCACCGAATCTCATCAAGAGCCTTCTTGCAGTTTTGTAAAATAAAATATTTTTAAATTCCAGTTAAGTAGCTATTTTGACGTGTGTCGGCAGCGCTGCTTGATTCGGAATTCCATTTGTAAGTACTCGCTAAATTTTTAATAAGTTTCAACAGCCCTGTGTTCCCATGCTTTTTACTATGTTTATTACTTACTTTTCTAAATTTCTCTAATTTTCCCATTACTTTTTATATATTTATTATTTGTGTTAATATGTAATATATTAATGTATTATGGTTTTTATTTTCAGAGTCACTCAGAAACGACAATTACAGTCTTACCCAATATCAAGATGATCTGCGTTCACCGTTCACTAAGGCAAATAATAACATACAACAATACTTATGATAAAGGCCCTTGGACTGTAAATAGATTAATAAATGCATATACCAAATAAAAAGTATTATTTTTTATTGTGGAAATTCTGTAAAGCGGGAAGGCCAAAAACCAGTGGATTTTGCCCTGCATTCAGCAGTTACAGATCCACTGGATTTTGTCCTGCATTTAGCAGCTGTAGGTCCAGTGGATTTTGCCCTGCATTCAGCAGCTGTAGGTCCAGTGGATTTTGCCCTGCATTCAGCAGCTTTAGGTCCACTGGATTTTTCCTTTACCCCTTACTTTTGTGTGTCACCCCCGTGTATTTTGAAAGGAGAGACGGCAGATTTGTAAGGGGTAAAGGGGATTTTCCACATTCCGCTTGTATGAAGAAACCACTGGAAAATAGCATATTTTCCACAGGTTTTTCCCGCTGGGACATCCCCAGCGGGAAAAAACCTGTGGAAAATATGCTATTTTCCAGTGGTTTCTTCATACAAGCGGAATGTGGAAAATCCCCCTTTACCCCTTACAAATCTGCCGTCTCTCCTTTCAAAATACACGGGGGTGACACACAAAAGTAAGGGGTAAAGGGAAAAATCCAGTGGACCTAAAGCTGCTGAATGCAGGGCAAAATCCACTGGACCTACAGCTGCTGAATGCAGGGCAAAATCCACTGGACCTACAGCTGCTAAATGCAGGACAAAATCCAGTGGATCTGTAACTGCTGAATGCAGGGCAAAATCCACTGGTTTTTGGCCTTCCCGCTTTACAGAATTTCCACAATAAAAAATAATACTTTTTATTTGGTATATGCATTTATTAATCTATTTACAGTCCAAGGGCCTTTATCATAAGTATTGTTGTATGTTATTATTTGCCTTAGTGAACGGTGAACGCAGATCATCTTGATATTGGGTAAGACTGTAATTGTCGTTTCTGAGTGACTCTGAAAATAAAAACCATAATACATTAATATATTACATATTAACACAAATAATAAATATATAAAAAGTAATGGGAAAATTAGAGAAATTTAGAAAAGTAAGTAATAAACATAGTAAAAAGCATGGGAACACAGGGCTGTTGAAACTTATTAAAAATTTAGCGAGTACTTACAAATGCTTCTGGATTAGCTTCGGCATCGGAGTCCAAATGGCCGAGTTCTTCAAATGACGAAATCGGAATGTCCGCTTGCGCACGTTAAGTTTTGCCGTTAATATTAACACAAGGGCCAGAATCTTTGAAGTCGAATCTATTACAAATTCTAGAAAAAACATTGTTTGTTCTTGAAAAACTGAAAAATAAATTTAAATAAAAAACTTACCTACTTGACAACCGCCTCTGGCGGCTTATATTTAGTTTTAGTAAAAATGCCTATGCTCACCATATCCGTAACGCTGAAATAAGGAAATACAAACAAAAATATTTATGTTATAACTTACCTTTATCTTGTTTTTTAAGATTAACACAACTTTTTTTCACTTTTTACACTTTTTGCACGAAATTTTATGCTGATGTGACCGTGCATCACAAAGACAAAGACAATAATTAGTCACAACTTCGTTGTAACTTATGGTCATATTCAGAAACCCACCCCATTTAGCGGTCCGAAATTTTCTATCCCTTACCTACGCCTGCTAAAAGAAGTAGGTTTTCAACTATCCCTACCCCTACGCCTGCTAAAAGAAGGAGGTTTTCCACTCAAATAAAAAACCTACTTCTCACTTTCCCGCTGGGTCCCTGTGCACACACACACCAACACCCACGCACACAATGGCGCTACAATCACAGGTAACTGCTACATGTGTAAATATATTTACAAAACGCGCCAAGCGTCGACAAACCGACGCCAGGCATCTTCACTTTTGCCGCCAACGAGCGGCTCCTCATTGTTGTTGCACCGCGCAACTCTTTAGGTCCTTCCAGGAGCGGATCCTTCGAACGCCAGCGAGCGGGTATTCCACACAGTAGACTTTATTACCTACAGAAGCAACAGAGCTTGTCTCCTTAAAGTGAGGAAAACTGAATCCCGAATATGAGAGATCCCAGCCAATTTATGTAACAATTTGTACGTTTTGTATTTATATTAGCAAAATAAATTCCTTTGTTTAAGCTAACGCACTGCAAAAATCTATTTTAGTAACCTGGAACTATTTTTATTCGGCAATGAAGGAAAGTGAAGCAGTGATTTTTTCATGACTTATTTATAAAAACTCTAAGAATTATCCTCTTCAATTTTTCTGTCACTTTACAGGTATTTTTGGAAGGTATCTTTGCAGGAAGGGTTACCCGCAGGACCCTCAGACTGCTCCTGCCCTTTCGCTCGCCCACGCAGCCAACACAGGTTTATTTATGCCATTCGATATTTATCGCTGTTGCTCTATTTGTTTTTGTTGCTGCCGCTGGTGCTTTTGCACATTTCCCCCTTTGGAAGTGGAAAGTGGGAAGTGGGTGAGTGTGCCTGTGTGTTTTATTCCCTTTTATTATTATTATGCTGTCATTTCTGTTGTCGCGACATTGTCAGCGAATGTTGTGTGTGGTCCCTTTTACGGGTACGCAGAACGTACTGCCGGCATAACATGGATAACATTTCCATGCCCACTCCTTTACGGCGACATCGGAAGGGTTTTAGTTGCCCCCTTCGAACCAACAGTTTTATGTGCCATCCACAGCGGCTTGCCATTTGTAGGGCCTCAAAACAAATCGCTTTACTGCCCCAAAAGCGGTCATAATACGAGACAGAAATCAAAGTGAGAACTTCATTTCGATTACCCGATATCCAAATCAATTTCGTAATTTGTCCCATTTCACATTCTGTCGAATATGCCTCATAATGTCAACGAGGCAATATATCAAATGCTCTCCGACGATGTCTTGAATCTTTATGTTGCCAGTCTACTGGCAGGCACTAGGGTGCCATAAATTTGAAATTACAGAACCCAAAAAGCAGAGGAAACAGAGTTAGTTCTCGTGTGTTTTTGCGTAAGGCTGTAAGGCTTAAAGTAGAGTTTTTGAGTTAAGCAGCTACAGTGATAGGCATATTTTTTTTAGTTTTTTAGATGTATTAAGAAGTTAAAAAGGGTGGAATAATTTATTAAATACGTATGGGCTAGGACCCCTAAGTTCACCCCTCTTTCCAATGCACGGGTAAGAGGGTAAGTAAGCCCAACCCCTGACTGAAGCCTCAAAGGCGCACCGTTTAAACTCATTGCTTGCCTGCTGACTTTGATATACGGCCATTTGAGTGTCGCTCAAAGTAACAGCAAAAAGAACTGGAGTATGTGGAACAACCCTTAGGGCACTCCAATATGCATTTTCCGCTGCCTGGCAGTTCCCTCTCCTGCCTTTTCTACAGGATAACACGACCATTTAAATAAACCTTTATCAATAAAACAATTTATATTATTTTCAAAGCGAAATCTTTAAAATTTGAAAAGGAAATCTTTTTGGGAACTTCATATGTTCATGTACTTGAATTTATCTCGTGTGAAAGTATAGTGTTTTTAATGGCAAATAATTTTAATTATAAACTTATATGTGTAATTAGTGGTTGCTCTTATTGTGAGATGAACCTTGAGTATTATTACTATTATTAACAGAACAGTGGCGTGTTACTGGCCAGTATAAAATGTTTTAAAAAGCAACGTTGGGGCAAGTTTGCTCGATTAAAATGGATCCGAAAGTCATTTTACTGGCGGTGTTACATCTTTTAGCCCATGCCAAAGGGTCTAGATACGAGCTTTCGGTGGCGGATGAGAATATATTCAGCAAATGTCCTGATAATCCTCCCGGAACATTTGACGTAGACAGAATGATGGACTTAACAGAGTTTCAAACTACGATGGATGAAAACGGCGTGACTATCAGCGGAAACTCGACGTTGGCTTGGGAAATTGAACAGGAGGATCGCGTTCAGGTGATTATGAATTGCCCAAAAGACAATGAAAACGTCGACAATCTGTGTTTTTTAGTTGGCTATAAAGCTTCTGTACTTTGACCGAGGGACCTGGACGCCAACGGTGCTCTCAATGCTTGCAAGGGATTTCTGCAAGATCATGTACGACCCGAACCAGATATGGTACCAGATGTGGACGCAATATATAAAGAACGATGTTAAGGACAAATGTGTTAATGTTCCCGGGGTAAAATAGGCCCTTTTGAATTCGTCCATGTTTATTTCCAAACGTTCTATTCGCAGACGAAATTTATCATGCAGACCTACACCCTGAATATGAGCACCTCGATTGCGGGACACCTTCGTGAAGGACGCTACAAGGCCAACCTACTTTACCAGGCTTTCGATTCCTTCGGAAAAGAGAGACCCACTCGCATATGCTTCGAAGTAATGGGCGACCTGTTTAAAGTTCGATAATAATTGTCACTTGTTCAGCTCCAACAAAAATAAATTAAAAATGATTCTAAACAAGTTCATAAACGCATTATATAAAAATAGTTTTGGTATTTTTTTGTTGTTAGTAACTTGTTAGGAAAAACAATGATGTCCACTCTGCTACTTATAAACTCTGGGTATAGTTATTGGGCCTGAAACGCATGCGTTGCCTTTACCTTTTAGTTACATAAGTGATATAAGATTTGTTAAATTTATAACTTATAGTAATAGTTATGTAAAAACAATCGTGAGCATTCTTGTTCATCTCAGGAAATGTAAGATTGCACAAGCTGGTTAAAAAATATTATAAGCCGCTAATAGTTATATAATAATTATATATTGCGGGAATACACTAACAAAAAGCTAGTTACTATAATTACCCACACGTGATACGAAAGGTATATATCGGTCCGAAATGCAATGACCACGCTACAGTTCACGGCTGTGATGCATCTTAAAATTATCCTTCTGGCGGTGTCAGCCATAGCAAGCCAGGCAAATGGAGCAAATTACGTACTCGCGGTGGCGGCACGCTTAACATCAGTGACTTCATGGACATCTCATTTTCACACTTCCATGGATGCTGACGGAGTGACCGTGAGCGGAAGCACGATTTTGCGGTGGGACATTCAATTCGAGGACCGTGTGCAGGTGATTGAGCTCTCGAACCCAACCGACAACTAAGAACGATTCGAAATTCGAATGCATCCTTTAGATGAACATGGTCATGCTGCATATGGACCGAGGCACCTGGACGCCCAAAGTGTTCTCAATGCATTGCAATGATTGCAAGGGACTTCTGCAAGATCATGTACGACAAAAATCAATACTGGTATAAATTTTGGTCGGGACACTTATAAACGACGTGAAGGACAAATGTGTCAATGTGTCATAAAATAAAATCATAAAAAATAAAAGAAAAATTATGTTTGAAAAATTCTTTTTGCAATTATTATTATACTAGCAAACCCGGCGAACTTTGTTCTGCCTTTTTTTGGAAAAAATTACAAAAATAATCAAAAACCTACATTAATATTTAATTTTTATTTCTGTATTTTGGTACATAGGCGTCGATCAAGTTGTTCTTCCATGTTTCATTGCTTAATGATACATCTGCTGAAGATTTCTCGAAGCAATTGCTGACTATCGGCAATGGTCAAGTACCTGTCGATGAATCGAGCGGATTAATATCATTTCGAAATAATTTTTGTAATTTTGTCTCATCAAAAAAGGAACTTATCAACAACAGACGTAAATTATGCGGTGGTAAGCCAGGCACGTCCAAAGAGTTTAAAAATTCAATTGGATAGTTGGTGGCTTCATCTTCATTTGTGACGCAGTCAATAGATTTGAATGAATGCATTGTTTCAATGATCTTATTTTGAATTATGTAGTTCAGGTCGTCAACATCTTTATTCTTAGCCGCTAAAATTGCTCTCTCACTCAACCATTCCTTATTTTTGTAGTTAGAAATAAAGTTTGGAAATACATTGTTGATAAGTTCCTCTTTTGATGAGACAGTAAAATCATTGCTCCTCCAAAACATCTCGAGTCATTCCGTAAAAACTTTAATGTTCGGTTAAGTGCTTCTAATGCACGTTTATGCGCCATTGTGCATTCGTCCCAGATGATGATTTTCAATTCTTCACATGCAGCACGATATGTTGGGAATATTACACCATTAACAGTTCGTAGTGTCTCAAATGATGTTGGCCCACGCACATTTATCAGCAACAACCGCAAATAGAAACATTCATCATTCTTTGGATGAACTGTATACATACGACCAAGAGCATCAGTAGAACGCACATCTGGATACCCAGGAACCGCATCCCCTTGTTTCCGTCTTTGAAATTTTTTCGATGAAGCATTCCAAGTATAATAACGTGGCATCTCCGAGTAAAACAAAGTTCGTGCAAACTGATCGCTTTGGCAGATTGCAAAAAAACTGGTCAATGTAGTTGCTGGAGGTGTTTCAGCACGTTGCATAGCATTCGAAGCCGTGAAATACACTCGTTGACCATTCTCCAGATGCACCGCCAAATGCATTACAGTAGGATGACGTTCGTGAATGGGAAATGCGAATATACGCCAAATAGCTTTATTACTGTTCACATAACGACCAACTTGATAGCGAGAAATTTCATCGTTGGTATTCGAGGATTGCAATCCAAAAACCGCCATATCACTGCCTTTCGTGACATATTTGCATATATATTTTATGGACTTAACTGAATTGCAGTATTCAACGTTGCAATGTGTCTTGAACGTTTTAGAAATAAGAGGCGAATATGGAACAATCCAACTGTTGTCGACAACGAAATCCATTCTTTTTACTTTCGTTGTGACAGTTCGACCGTTGTCATCTGGTGATCGACGCCGATACAGCGGATAACCATCATTGCCAGTGACAGTCTCCGCCGTTAATTTCCGTGGATATCGTTTTGAGCACTTACCATTGACCATGCAAGGCGATTGGGGATTGATGGCACCACACGGTCCATGAATCATATTTGTAGTAATAACGTCATGTAGGTCTGGATCGACTTCATAATCAGGAATCTCGGCACATATGATATCATCTATTTGGTCAGGTTGAATTCTTTCCACTAACCAAATAAGAATGTGTGCGTGCGGCAGGCCTCGCTTTTGCCATTCGATTGAATACATCCAGCATCGAGTATCTCCAAAGACGCGTTGTTTAACAATAAAGTTCTTCAGAGACCGAATTTTTTGCCTGAAAATACGTGCTGTGATGTCGGGTCTATCATTTGATGTTTGTCCAGGAAGCAGCAATTGAGTAATTTCTATCCATTTTGGATTACAGGTAAAAGTAATAAAAGATCTGGCCGACCGTAATGACGAACATATGTCATTGCATCTTGTGCATATTCATGCATATGACGTGGACCAATGTACGTCGCTGGCAGAATAGTTAGTCGCCCAATATTAGCTGCATTTTCTTCAGTACTAACTGCATCACGTAAATGGATGTACTCCTCAGAACGCAGTTTGGATTGGTTCAACCTAATGAATGTTAAACGTTCAGTTTCTATTTTTACATACATGTCAACGCAGTACTGCTGAAACAATCGACGAAACCGCAGCAAATAGTTGTCAGTATTTTGACGAATCATCAAACGATATGCGTAATAATTCATTGAGCTTACTTTCTTTGTAGTTTCTTCACCTGAAATTAAAAATTTTATAATTAACCATTTCAAATGCAAATTTTAAAGGCAAAGAATACACCATTAGCCATTTTTTTTAATAAGCATTATTTTAAATCAGTGTCTTTTAAAAATAAATGAAATAAATTATGATACTAATACTCACCATTCAATGGATTAATCATTTTAATATTAAAATAATATCCATCTTCTCCTTGCCAAAACATTAGCGGGTATTGCAACGCGTCATATGATCGATGAGTTTCAGATATTTGTTGCAGTTGCCCAGTATCGCGACGTTTAAGCACAATATCGCGGTTTCCAAATTGTTCACCAACAATCAGGATGGCGACTTCGTCTATTGTTGGAGCATTAAATGTCCTTTCGTGTGTTCCAGATGGTCGTTTATCTGCTTTTATGACAACTTTATAGTCATCATTTGGCATGCGCTCTAAAGCACTCTTAAACAACCTGACCATCGCATGATGTTCATGAAGCAGACACTGCATGTCTTGAAGAATTGCTCGCTTCATCCCTTCATTGATCGCTAGACGTCGATCAAGTTGTTCTTCCATGTTGCCCATGAAATATATTTGTAAAAATTTTTTTTGTGTATCTTCGAAAGGTAGTAATGATCCAATTCGATGGTGAATCTGCCCTTGTATCTAAGATAAAGTAAGTTATTCTTTAACTATATTCTATGTAATACAAACAAAAAAAAAACCTTAAATGTCGGATTAAATCCTCGTTCTTCGATAATATCTGCCCCAAATGACGTCATTTGGAAACAACCATTGTATTTTCGGGTATTTGCAAGAAAGTGGCGTGATTCTTGTGTTTCACCACAAAGCAACGAATACAATGGCTCAGGTGGCGGAGTCAACAATGGCAATTTAACTTTACCATTAAAGCAGCATAATCCAGGCGTTTCTCCGGAAAACTTCAGTGCACCGCAATACTCGCAAACAACGTCCATTTGCCCAATGCAAACGCTAGGATGCAAGCTGTAATCAGTGATGCAATCGTATTGAAACGCTGCTCGATTCAAATCAGCACTTGATAAATTTCTTCTGCGTCGCAAATGATCTATTTCTTGACCTCTGTTGTAAGCTCGACGATTCTGCATTGTCAACCGAGCCGTATTACGGATTGCCTCTCTTTGCTCTGCTGATTGAGAAGCACGAAGTCGACCTATTCTAACGCGGTTCTGTTCACGTTCAATGTTTTGTTCTTCTTCAGACCTTCCATTTGCAGTATTTCGTAGTCTTCTTGCATTACGGCTTTGTCGGGAAAGATTCGATCGTCTTGGTCGCGGCATTATTAATTAAACTTCCCTTCACTTCAATTCACAAAAAGCACGAAAAACTTCACTTCACTTCAATTCACCAAAATCACAAATAATTTCTACTCACTTTAAAAAAATTGAGTTAAAATGCTATGGTAGTGTGTGCTTGTCAGTTTGATGAGGTAATAACTCAGTTTATATGCGATTTTTGGTATGTCGAACGGAATAAAAAGTACCCTAACTCCTATTCCGGGCTCTAAGCTACCTTCCTACCAATTTTCAGCCAAATCTGTTCAGCCGTTCTTAAGTTATAAGTGGTGGAACTAACACAACTTGCTTTTATATATATAGATGTATTGGTTTTAAGAAACTTTTTGGATCCAAAAATTTTAGTTTTCAAGACGAAGGAAAAAGTTTTAAAAGTAGTTTTTCACAAAAATTCGCCCTTTTCAATAAATATCTAACAAGTGAAGAAAAGTATGCTATCATTCTATCGGCATTTAAATTACCTTTCCATTGATACCAAAAGTTAAACCAAGCAAGTTTAAGTGTCGAGTATATTTCAATAGTAGCGGTTTAAAAAAACATTTAACTTTTCGGATCGCAGACGAAAATAATTTACAAGACCTATGGGCTGAGGTTGACCGCTTCAGAAATGGGAAGCCTGCGAGAAGGACGCTACAAAGCCACTATTATATTCCGTGCATTCGATTCCGCCGGCATTGAGATGCCGACGCGAATTTGCTTTGAAGTACAAGGCGGCATATTCAAAGTTCATCATCCAACAATAAACATCACTTTGTATATTTACTAAAATATGTACGAAATTTATTATTGGTGTGAAGCGTACAAATTAAAGATGTATCATTATGTTTCTAAAGATAATCGTTTATATATACACTCAATACATTTACGGGCTATGCAGAATTCAGCTTAGGTCTATCACTTAAACAAATGTAGCGTCATACTCTTATAACCTACGGACACTTATCCGGATTAATTAAACGATTGCCAGCGGTCAGCGACCGCCCAGTTGCTTGGGCGCCACATGGTCGACACTGCTAACTTAACTAAGACACAGGAGATCGTTGAGGCGTTCATGTTGGTGGGCAGCAGGCGCCGCCCGATCATGTCAGATGCGGCGTGGCCACCGTCGCCGTCTTTCCCGCAAAAAATCGACTGCCGCCGGTCTGGGTGGTGAACAGCAGAGTGTCCACGGAGGGCAGCATCTGGTTGGAGCGCACTACCAGCGGCACATTAACCATGGACACGGAGGGAGTCTGGGAAAGGCTTGTAGCCACGGATTGCGACACACTGACCGTACTACTCAGCTTGCCGTTCGCGTTCAGCGTAAAGGCGGGCAGGTAGTAGTTTCCTGACCGCGTCGGTATTGCCTGCGTCGAGGCGGCAGCACAGGATGCGGAGGAAACGGCGGTCAGCTCCATTGAGGCGGGCGACGAGAACGGTGAGGACTCCAGTGAGGGGCAAGCTAGGCGATCGCTGGGTTTACAAGGCACTGCAAGTACAAAGAATCACATTAAAAATTAAATCTTGCGACAAATTTATTAAGAGCAAATCTATTCAATTGAAATTGAGGCAACTCGCTTATTTAAAACGAATTAAAAATAAATCATAGAAATAATGACAGAGTAGATATCTACTCTAAAAAGAGATTTCAGGGCACTTACTAAAATCATCGTCCGGCAGGAATTCGTCCGGTATTTCATTCTTGATCTGAAAGTGCAGGGCAGCAGCCGAGTCTGAGATTGCGTTGTCCGACGTGCCCATTTCCGCGTTCGCACTGGGTGCGTCGTACAGACCGCACTCCTCCATTTCCAGGGCCTGCTCCATGATCAGCTCCTCGGCCGAAGTCAGACTCAAGCCGTGCAGGTCAAGAAAGGGCCCTTGGTTCTGCACCGGCTCCTTCTTGATTTGCGGCACGGCAGCAACGGGCTCCAGGCTGGTCGGTTGAGTCTGAGCTTGCTGCGGTAGCTGCGGCTTTTGCTGCAGCTGCTTGGGCGCCAGCTGCTTGCGTTCCCGCTTGGCTTTGGTCTGCTTGGGTGCCGGCGGAGGCAGCGCAACCAGCACGGTGGTCAGCTCCTGCTGGTGCGATGTCGCTAATGACGGCGCTGGATGTACCTGCTGCAGGGCTGTGCCCGCCGGCAGAGTAATTCCCAATGCGGCAAGAGTGGCCTGCTGCGGCTGCTTCTTTTTGCGAGCTTGTTTGGCCGGCGCAGGCGCGGCAGCTGGTGCAACGGGGGGGCTTCGCTTTCGGGTCACCGGGGGCTGAGAGGTCGTCCGGATTCGCACCTGATGTTGCCGCCGCAGCTGCTGCTGCAGCCGCCGCCGCCGCTTTTTGGGCCTTGTTGGTGGTGGATTTCTTGGAGCAGTAGGAGGGAATGTTTTCGAGGTGTTCGCCCGTCTTGTGGTCCACCTTGTGCCGGCGCCTCGTGTGCTTCAGCCAGTTGGGGAAGTTGGTAAAGTCACGCGGACAATAGTTGCACTTGAAGGGCCGCATGCCCGTGTGTATGTTCGAGTGCTGCTTCAGCTTCGAGTTGCTGATGAAGCTCTTGTCGCACACCGTGCAGGCAAAGGGCCGCTGCTCCAAATGCACCAGGTTGTGCACCTTGAGGCAGCGTTCCGTCTTGTACATCTTGCCGCACTTTTCGCAGCGGTAGGATCGCGTCTGCGCGTGGTACTTCTGATGGCGCTGCAGATGCGAGCGCTCCTGGAAGCGTTTCTGACACTCGGGACACTCGTACGGCTTCTCCGACGAGTGAATCCGGGCGTGGTGCGTTAGGTTTATTTTCTGCACGAACTTCTGGCCGCAGATGTCGCACTGGTACTTCTTGTTGTCACTGTGGATCTTTCTGTGCATCCACATACTGCCCAATTTGAGGCTACAAAGCGGATAGAATAGTTAAAAAAAGTTTTAAGTTGACAGGTTTCCACTCACCACTTGCCGCAGTCGGGACACTTCTTCCAGGTGTCCTTGCGTCCCTCGGTGCGGTGGGTCTTGAGGTGCTTTTTCAGTCCGGCCAGCACCTCGAACTCCCGTTGGCACTCGTTGCAGCGGTAGGTGAGCCTCATTCGATGGGCGGCCGCCTCGTGCTTGGCCACTTCGTCCGGAGTTTCCAGCAGCAGGCCGTTGCAGTCGAGGCACTTGTGCAGCGGAGTCGGGTCTACTTCAAAGGGCTTGGGTTCCGAGGTTGCCGGTGGCGGCATGCTAACCGCGTCCGCCTCCGCTGACTTGGCCTGCTGAAAGATGGTGAACGAGGGCGGCAGGATCTCGGACTCACACACCTCCACTTTGGCGACCACCTGCTCAGGCGGATGTTTCTCCTCGGGCGGCTCCTCCTTGAAGACCTTAAGGCGCAGCGCCGTGGCCGCCGGCAGCTTGGGCTTGCGCTGCAACAGCTGCGGCTGGAGCGGCTGCTGCTGCTGCTGAAGCTGTTCTGGCGAGAGCTTAATGGGTGTCGACGTGCCGCTGGAGGGGGTCTTTTTGAAGGGTGAATTGGTGAAGGCGTTCGGCGGCTCGGGCCGCAGGAAGGTCACACTGAACTCGGAGCTAGAGTGGTTATCACTTGCTGAGGCAGAGGAGCTACTTGCCGCCAGTTCATCGCGGCAGACGTCCGAAGAGAGGTTCAGCTCAGTGTTGTTCTGAGCACTCTCGTCCAGCACGCGCCAGAAGTCCGTCGAGGACAAGCTGTTCCCGTTCACCAGGCTGGCCGAACTGATGGTCACGCACGCAGACAGATCGATGTCCAGCGACTCGTCCTTAATGCTCGAGATCGAGTCGAAGTTGTTTATTCGCAGCAGTGAGCTGAGGATCTCGTCGTGGGCCGCCTTCGTGGGCGTGCCCTGGCCCGCATCGCCGCCGTAGATTTTAGGCGGCAACTTCTTGCTTGGCGCCTCCTCCTTCATTCTCTTGCCCTTTCCGCCCTCCATTCAACGTACAGGTTATGCGGTCGGCGTTTTCGCCCGCCGTATTTTTGCTTTATTAACCGCGCCGCTGCGCTTCGCGTTCACTGGTCGGGATTGCGTGGTCACTGGGTCCCCGAATCACGCATTCCGAACGCTTTCAATCGGTTAAACGCGCCGCGATTGCTCGAAAAACATTTAATTATTGTGAAATGCGCCTTGGCTTTGTTGTTTTTGTCACGCTTACAATTCCAGTCGCCATTTTGAGAACAGTGTTGGGCTACGCGTGCGAATGGCAGCCCCGCAACAGTGTTGGCGAGAATGCAGGCCAATTCAAGGCAGTGCTGCCACTTTAAAAAAACTCGTTGCTAGATATCACAGGTTCTAAGCAAATTTTAAATTGGATTAGTAACAAATTATGAAACCTCCTTTTTTTACAATATTTGCAATACATTCTCTTAATATATTTGTTTTCCTTGAGTACGTATGTTTGTTAAAAATAGCTTTGGAAATTTTGGCAACACTCCTACTGGTGATGCCAACTCGGGAAAAATATGTAGACCTTGCCCAGCACTTTCAACACTGCAATGAATATGGCGTCAGAGGGCGAAAACGTTGTGATGGAAGGTCCAGGTAAAGTCCAAAATTTTACAAAAGTCGAGCTTCGATTGAACGAAACGCAGTGACGGGCGAAAAGAAACTCAGTTCTGGCAAGGGAAGACCAAAACCAGAATTTTATAGTTATCTAAGCCTGCCGAAAAAATAGGCTGAAAAATCGTTAAATTCACGAGGCCGCAAATCGAGAAAACCGCGCGTACAGTTTATGTAAACCGCGTGGATTAAATTGGCCAGTAATTGCCTTTTTCCAGGTCGCCGCACACGTTCCGGCCGAAAAGCCGCATCCCCGGCTGCATCACTACCAACAAGGAGTACCCGGCGCACATCCAAGCGGAACGCACAGGTCAGTTTAACCCCCGCATCGTCATATTTACTTTACACTGATCAAAAGCAACTGATGCAAACGATTGCAATTTCCAGTGCGGATGTGGCGTTGTTCCATTCGCACATGATTCCCCTCCCAGGAGGAGGAAGTGATTACCTGCAAGGGCCAACTGATGCATACAATGCTTCAGTTATCCTAAGTATTACCCTTTGGCATTAAATAACCCGCCCTATCCTTCTAGCTAAGTGACCACGAAGAGGAGCACGAGGAGCACATAACTATGGTCCAGGAGGAGGAGGAGCCCTTTGCTGGGACGGCCACTGAGGAGACTCCCGCCTTGGAGCCGCAGTTCGAGGAAACGCAACACCAGCTTGACGATGACGTGGAGATGCTCACACCTGCCGAAGGGGGCGGCGTCGATGAGAAAAGCTCTTCCTTTCCTTTCGGCACGGTTGCTGAGCAGCATTCCGAGACCAGTGACGACATTAAGGAGAGTCGCGGCGTAGACACGCTGCTTGCATCGATGGCCGGTGACAATGCCAACAGCCTGCCCTCCGTGGGCGGAAACGATGAAAGTGACAACGCCAAAAAGGCGGACTTTGAGTACAATGTAGAGACGCTGCAGCCGCAGGCAGATAAATTGAATTCGTCCGAAGACTCTAGTTCACACCATGCCATAGCTGAGGAGCTGGGAGATGAAGCGGACACCAGCAACGCCACCATAGTCAACACTGAGATAATATCTGAGGACGAACTGCCTCCGCCTAGCAAGCCGGAGATAAATGATGCCGAGGAGGTGTCCGACGAGGAGCTCCCTGCTCCACAGCGAGCTGAGTTACCGGCGGATGCCGAGGTAATTTCCGAGGACGAGTTGCCCACAAACAACAATAACAACACAGCAAGCGAGCCCAAGGCTCCTGTAAAGCGCAAAGCTGAAAAAGAATCCGATAAGAGCCCAGAAGATCAGAAAATAAACAATCGTGAAACGAGCACAAAGGAAAAATCTGGGGAGCAATACAATCCGGGAAGTCCCACGTCAGAAAGCAACGATGCACAGCCCTCGGAGAAACGGGTCAAGGTTGAAGGTGAGTTTCTAGAGCTAGTTGATAAAGGCAACAAACTTAATATCTAACCCACAGAACCTGAAGCCAGCGACAAGAAAAAGGAAAAAGAGCGGGATAAGGAGAAGGACAAAGAGAAGGATAAGGACAAGGAGAAGGAGAAAGATAAGGACAAAGAAAAAGAGCGCAAAAAACTGCCAGACCTGGATAAATACTGGAGGGCTGTGAAAGAGGACTCCACCGACTTTACCGGCTGGACATACTTACTGCAATATGTGGACAGTGAGGTGGGCAGACGCTTAAGTTGCTTTTATTGAACCCTATATAAAGTTTGTTCCCATTTCAGTCTGATGCTGAGGCAGCGCGCGAAGCCTACGACACATTCCTGTCCCACTATCCGTACTGCTATGGCTACTGGCGCAAGTACGCCGACTATGAGAAGCGCAAGGGCATCAAGGCGAACTGCTACAAGGTGAGTACCCCCCCTAAATTTGGTCGTGCAATTAAATACCTTTCGCAATTTTCTGTACTACGCTTACAATTACGATTACAATTGATATTCATATATTTGTTGTTAAATGCAATTTATTATGACCTAATAAAAATACATTCAATAAATGCAACATCTACAAAACAAAAAAAAAATGTAAAAACAAAAAACCGTAGCAATGAGAATAGTGTAGCCTCCTATCAGGGTCGACTTTTCTCATAGGGTTCGACTTTATTGAATATCTGTTACAGGGAATGAAACCGAAACTGGCTCGGTGTCGGAATATTTCAGATGCTGAAAGTATATTCGCCTTGATTTATTTGGGAGTGCTTATTGGGAACCATATTTTTCAAAAATAAATCCGGGGAATCTATTAATGTTTTAGGTATAAATGAGACACGTATATTGTCAAGTCAAAAAAATGTTCTCGTTTATCTGCATTCATCACTTTTCAACATTTTTCGCTAACTTTAGATCAGTTGGTATTTTTATTTGAATTTGAAGTAGACGTCGAGCATTTTAATGTGCATTTTGTTTCGGTTTCATTACCTCTTCTCGGCTCAAGCAAATCACAGTTCTTTAAAGACATTCTTCGGTGTCGACCTGATTATAATTTTGTTTTTAGTCCCTTATTCACCACTTGTACTCAGTACCATTTACATCACCTAACGCACACGTTTTTTTGGTGACTGCCCCTGAAATGTTGTAAACTTTCTCTTCACGACACAATTTGGACGTTTTTAGTATTATTCACCCCTGTGTCGCACAACTCACGTTGTAGCCCAGCTCAGTTGACCCCTAAACCCAAAACCGACCTGAACCCGAAACGAATGGTTCGTCTAGTCGACGTTCGACCCGTCTACTTTATGATCTTCGTACGTTTGTATCACCAGTTACCTCCATCCTTCTTCAACGCGATAACATAGTGAGCTCGCATCTCGTACAGTCGTAAGTACAAATGGCGTTTAAATGAAATTTTTAAGTCTCTCTGTGAATTTTCTTGTAAATTGAACACTCGAAGTGTGTGCCAAAAAGAAAACAACGACAATCTGTGTTTTACGTATTCCGTGTATCTGTAAAGTCGCTAAGTTAGCCCTAAGCTCGAACACCATTCACATCATAGCCCTAAGTCTGAGCCCGTTGCAATTGAAAGATAACTATAAACCATGAAAATTTCTGTATTTCTCTCCTGTGATCGATCGACAATAATCGAAAAACCCAAACTTGTACCGAACATACGAAATGACCAAATCCTAGGTGTTTGAGCGCGGCCTGGAGGCGATTCCATTGTCGGTGGACCTGTGGATCCACTACCTGATGCACGTTAAGTCGCACCACGGCGAGGATGAGCAGTTCATCCGCGCTCAGTACGAACGGGCTGTGAAGGCGTGTGGCCTGGAATTCCGCTCGGACAAGCTCTGGGACGCCTACATCCGCTGGGAGAACGAGTCGAAGCGCTACCACCGCGTGGTCCAGATTTACGATAGACTTCTGGCCATTCCCACGCAGGGCTACAATGGCCACTTCGACAAGTAAGTTGAATGGCATCTATCGAGATCTTTTTTTTACGATTTCCTTTCAGTTTCCAGGATGTGATCAATCAGCACACAATAACCAGCACAATTGGTAGCGAAGAGCTCGTTCGCCTTCGCAAAGACTTCCACGACCGCCAGCAGAGCAAGTCCTCCAAGTCCTCGTCCAAGCACAGACGCGACAGCAGCAGCAGCTCCAAGGAGAAGGAGAAAGACAAGGACAAGGACCCAAAGGACAAGGAAGACAAAAAGCGAGACTCTGGCAGCGGTGCGGCTGGTAAGTCGCCAAAAGATACTAGTGAACCTCATGTCGATGAATCAGATAGTACTACCACCGATCTGACCGAAAGCGAGTCGTCGCCCGCAGCTCCAAAGGCGGCAGTCCAGATCGATTTCAGCGATCTTAGCACGCTGACCGACGAGGAGGTGACCAGCCTAAAGGACAGAGCGATCTCGGCGCGCCGCAAAATCCACAAGGTGACCGTTAGCGCGGTGACGGCGCGGTGGTCCTTTGAGGAAGGCATCAAGCGACCGTACTTCCACGTGAAGCCCCTCGAACGGGCTCAGCTTAAGAACTGGAAGGACTACTTGGACTTCGAGATCGAGAAGGGCGATCGGGAGCGCGTTCTGGTTCTCTTCGAAAGATGCCTGATCGCCTGCGCCTTGTACGACGAGTTCTGGCTCAAGATGCTTCGCTATTTGGAACCCTTGCAGGAAGAGAGCGGTGTTATTGATCTGATACGTGATGTGTACCGTCGCGCCTGTCGCATCCACCACCCGGACAAGCCCAGTCTGCACTTAATGTGGGCCGCCTTCGAGGAGTGTCAGATGAATTTCGATTCCGCTGCCGAGATCCTGCAGCGCATCGAGCAGCGCTGTCCCAATATCCTGCAGCTTGCCTACCGCCGCATCAACGTGGAGCGACGCCGCGGAGCGCTGGACAAGTGCCGCGAGCTGTACAAGCACTACATAGAGAGTACAAAGAATAAGGCCATCGCCGGCAGCCTGGCCATCAAGTACGCCCGCTTCCTCAACAAAATCTGCAATGATCTCGACGCGGGGGTGGCCGCCCTGCAGCAGGCGCTCGAACGCGATCCGGCCAACACCCGCGTGGCTCTGCAAATGATCGACCTGTGCCTGCAGCGCCCGAAGGTGGACGAGCAGGAGGTTGTCCTGATCATGGACAAATTCATGGCCCGGGCAGACATTGAGCCCGATCAGAAGGTGCTGTTCGCCCAAAGAAAGGTGGAGTTCCTGGAGGACTTCGGCAGCACGGCCCGCGGTCTGCAGGATGCCCAGCGTGCCCTCCAGCAGGCTCTCAGCAAAGCCAACGAGGCGCAGAAGAAGGGGTAAGAATGAAGAGAAACAAAATCAAAGTTCAAAAGTAATTCCTTCACTTGTTATTCCAGCGACAGCAGTCCTAGTCGCAAGAATTCTACAGCAGGCAGCAAGGAGGGTTCGGCACCCTCCGGAGCCTCGTCTTCGGTGGCGGCATACAACAATGGAGGCTCGGCCGCCGCAGCAACTGGCTACAGCTATGGAGCGGCCAATGCCTCCACATACTATGGCCAGCCGAACGCCAGTGGAGGTCCCTATCCGCCGCAACCGCCCCAACAGCAAGCGTCCTACGACTCCTACTACAACCAGTGGGGCTACGGAGCCAGCGGCAGCAGTAGTGGCGGCTACAACTATGGGCAGTGGAGCGGCTATGGCAACTACTACTGAGACCGACTCGTCTAGATTTAAAGCACTCCCTTGTAGTTCTAAGAACCCGACTCGCTAAGTTCCGCCTTGCTGTTCTGTTAAGTTATAGATGTGTACACTTAATTTTTTATCGAGTCCGAATAGTACATACGGATATGTAGAATCTTTGTTTGCGCCCACACAACAGCTTGCAATGCGTGAAATAAAGATATCAGCTTAATCGGTTCACCATAATTATCTGCTGCTTGTATTTCATGCTACCCATTTTCGATGGGGATAAGTCAAAGTATGCCTAAAAATAAAGTAAATTTACAGTGCGACAGGACTCGCGGGCTCAACTTAAGTCTAGAGGTTGGGGCGGTACCAGGTCACCTCCCCGCCGTTGCAGCCCGTTACTAAGAGCGGTTCGCGGGGGCTGAACTTGGCGCACAGCACGACGTCCTGGTGTTCGGTGATCTTAGCCAGCTGGACCAGCTTCCGGGGATTGCGCTTCACCTCCTCGAAGGCCTGGGACTGGGGAAAGTCGCAGCAGTCATCGCTGTAGCCAAGTAAACGCACCCCGTTGCCATACGGCGAGCACACTATCCGCCCGTCCGCTGAGAATCCCGGCTCCTTGATGAAGCCCGGCTTGGTGTTCGTCTCGGCTGCATAGTAGAGCAACTTCTTGGCGTTCACCAGAATGGAGTGACCGTTCTCCTTGGACGTAGCCGCTGCCGCGTTGCTAGTCATCAGAGGTCGCAGACGAACGCGATGGCCAATCTCAAGTCGCACCGTGGTGTCGCTGTTACTGGAGCTGCTGCTGCTGGAACTGCTACTACTGGAATTGCTGCTATCTGAAGGCGGCGGAGTACTTGGCAGTCGGTTAGAGCTGCTGTTGACCATCAGGCGACTGGCCACCGAAGGCCGCAGCGGGAGCACGCCGCTGCTGATTGCGTACACAAAGTTGTAGCCGCTCACCGGGTTGTTGGAGTTGCGCGCCCGGCTCTGTCGGATGGCCCGCTCCTGGACCGTGACCTCCGCAGCCCAAATGTCCGGTATGAAGGTGTCCGCTCGCGGCGATGCGGGGGCGTTGCCGGATCCCAGTCGGCCCGAGGCTGCGTTGTCCAGGTGGAACACCTGCACGGTACCCATGCGCAGTCGCGGTTGTCTGGGTGGCAGCCCATCCGTATCGCGGTCCTGTGAGGGATCGCTCGATGCGCTGCGGCTAGCGGACACTCGCTTTCGCTTTGGCTGCGGCTCTGTCTCCTCGGGGTCATCCTCACTGCGCACCGGCTCCTCGTTGATGTCATGAATGCAGGTCCACTCGCTCTGCTCGTCGCAGCTGACGTTGCGGGTCAGCATGCAGCGACAATGCGGGTGGATCTGCAGGGCCATGATCATCTCGGCATCGTTGTGCTCCGGGAAGTCGGTGACCAGCTCGACGCGGTTTTTCTTCTGGCGCTTTGAGAAGACGTGGTCGTACTTGGCAGCCTGCGGGATGTACTGTTCGCCCAGCTGCATCAAACGGTAGATTCCGGGCTGAAACGCAACACAGAATGCGTAAGTTACCTTTACACAGTTTTTGGCTTAACAGATTAATCGATGATTGTCATTGTTTGCAACACTCTTTGTTTTGGTATGAGCCTCAATGCTAATGCAATACTAATTAGTGTTGCATTAGAAGAGGCAATCAATAAAAAATACTCTAACTGGCAAAAAAAAAAAAAAACAGTCGTCTGGCTCACCCTGAATCCGCACAGATCCTTGTGCAGCGTGGTTAGGTCGAGATTGTGGATGATCATAATATAGCCCCCGCTGGTGCAGAGGACCAACTTGTCGCCCGTAGGCGAGATTCGGCAGCGCATCAGTCCGCTGGCGTGAAAAACGCGCTGCGAGATAAGGCCCTGTTCCGTCTGCGAGTTGATGTCCCAGGTGAAGATGCTGCCGTCGAAGCCGGAACTGACGAGCAGTTTGTCCTTAGAGGAGTACTCAATGTTTTTTACCCAATTCGAGTGTCCGTGGAGCATCCGCAGCTTCTGCTTCATGTTTCTTAGGTCCCAAATGGCAACAGTAAAGTCATCGGAACCAGTGGCGAATAAACGCTCATCGAAGAATCTACAGAGTTGGGAATAAGGTTGGGATAGAGCGAAATAAACTCTGCACTCACTTGATGCAGTTAACACTATCCGAGTGGGCGTCTGGTACCTTGCAGATCTCCTTTTGTGTAATGGCGTCGAAGACCAGAACGCACTTTCGCTCGGTGGCGGCCACAACGACGTTGCCGTCGGCATTGAACTCCAGGTTGAAGATTGCCCCAGTGCGCCCCGCCTCTGTGGGCTTGCAGTTGGCGTGGTAGCTGTTGAACATATTCATCGAGCTGTAGATCCGCCGCATCACGAAGTTCTCGTCTCCGCGGTGGATGTGGAAGCCACTTTCGCGGCGGCTTAAGTAGCGCTCCATCTTGCGAAGATCTTGGGGAGGGTATCCCGAGTCTCAGAAACCAGAAGGAGCTCTCTGCGTGCGTGTGGAGCCCAATTCGCGATTTCTCAGACACCGCGAAATTAGTTTCCCCCGTGGCCTTGGTTTTTTTTTTTTTTATCAAACGAGGGCTGCAAAACAGTGCAGCATGTAACCGAATTGTTTTTTTTTTTTTAAACTAAACGGGACTCAATAAAGTGAAAACATTTTACGATCACATCCGAAAAGTTAACTGTTGTCATTTCAACTCATCCATTCCTATTCAACGCGAATATGCCTGTTTTCTAATAATACTGTTTATTTGACATGGGAATCTTTGAAACATGTAGTACATTTTTAAGCTATTTGTTTAAATAATTTTGCTTGTTAGGCAAACAAGAAATTTTAATAAATGTTCTAACATGTACATATTATAAATTTTCCGAAAACTTAAACAAAACGCTAAACGTTTATATAAAATAGATATATATATATTTATTATAACTATTTTATGTTTACACTGACAACACTTCGACGCTGAAAAAACGCAAACAACCAAGCTTAAATGTTTGTTTTATTAATGGTTAGTCAATAAATGCAATAATAAGTTTATTTAAAATAACATTACTGGGTTAAAATGTATCGATACCAAATAGATTTTTCCACCAAACCTAAGGAACTTCTCAACACTAGCAGCTCGGAATAAACAAAAATGCGAGTTCTAACTTTGATAAAACCAATAAGCATGCTGAATTAAGTGCAGCCGAGATACCCAACAACGATCCGGCCAAGATGGATCGATTCGCTTTTAAGATTGATGCGGCCCTCAAGGCGAATCTCTGCAAGATCTGTCGGCTATGCGGCATCGATAATCCAGGAAAAGTGCAGATACTGCTGCCGAATGAGGGCGACACTATCGACCTGGACGAGCCCAGTATGTCGCAAAAGATCTACGAACTTGTGGGCTTCGCGGTGGGTATTACTCAAGTTACTCCTGCCCAGCTAAACCAACGCCCTTTGCAGGTGTCCACGGACGACAAAATGCCGCAGACAATGTGCAGCCAGTGCGTGGATAAAATCAATGATTTTTACGAGTTTCGGGAAATGTGCTATGCAACGAACAAACAGACGCGAAACCTTCTGGGGCTGAAGCAAATAGAGCCCATGAGGGTAAGAAACCTTTTACAGTGTTTTAAAAACAAAACGTGTTGTCAACATGCTTATAATTTCTTCTCGTAGCTCATTGATCTTAAGCCCATTGTAAAGGAGGAACCGCATTTCTCAGGGCCAGCTGCCAAACGGGGTAGAAAACGAAAAGGCGAGGACTCGTGGCCTAGAAGTAACGTAAAGACACAAGTCAAAAAGGAGCCTTTTGTGTGGCACAAAAAGCAGCGGCTGCAGACCACACAAACCTCTCAAATATATTCCAAAGGAGAGCCTGACATGTAACTAAAACACGATTTATTTTTTTTTTTTTTTTTTTACCCTAATCTTTTGCACTTGCAGCAAAGAGGAGCCTACGGAACCGGAAGGGAGCCTTAAGTTTCCGCCCAAGAAGGGCGGCCGAAAGTCCATCTGCAGCGTATGCGGCGAGAAATTCTTCAGCAAAGAGCTGGCCGATGAGCACAAAAGCCTGGTGCATGTACCCTCGATACCGCGCTACATCTGCAACGCCTGCAACCAGACTCATCACAACCAAAGTGACATTCGCGCCCACCAACTATGGCACAAACTCTCGAAGACGCCATACAAATGTCCGCTTTGCGATGAGAGCGTGGCCAACGCATACGCCTTTACGCGTCACCTGCGAGAGCACACACCGATTATTCCCGTCCAGCTGTTAGTCCTCGACCGGGAATGTCCGCTGTGCAAGAAGACCTTCGTCACGAATTTCTTCTACAACACGCACCGCTGTGCCATTCGCAAACGCAAGTGCGGCGGTTGCAGCCGCGCCTTAAACACCGAAGCGGCCTATATGCGTCACGCCCCAACCTGCCCCAAAATTTACCTCAACCACTCAAGGCACATAATGCCCGAGGTGGTGACCAACGAGGCGCAGATGCGCATCAAGAACGAGGTGGAGGACGACCTCGTAGGCCTACCGCCGGTGACAACTGTACCTCCGGATTTCGTTATAGACGAGGGCATGCAGCCGGTGGTGGTGCTCGAGCGCCTTTCATCGCCATTGTTGCGGGCCTCTGCCGGAGTCAATCGGCTGGGTGCCAACAAGAGCAGGAACAGCGATCGGGTCTCAGCTAAGAATTACTTGAAGCGGGTGGATCAGCTGCTAAAGAACACGATGAGCACTCTGGTAAGCATCAAACATGAGCCAGAGGTGCACATCAGCGACACTGGTCCAGCGCCAGAGCAGGCGCCTAGTGAACCCGAGGAGGAGTCGGCTGGGTATGCAGATGATTTCCATTTAGCCAACGATGATAGCGAGGAGGAAGCTCAACCGGTGTCGGCTCCTGCCCTAGCGACAGCTGGTGACGGTGACGAAGTGCCCAGTGTGTCAAACCGGATTAAACAGGAACCTATAGAAGGGGCCTTCCATAAGCAAATGGAACTGAAGCAGGAGCCACTGAAACTGAAGCTTAAAATAACCAAGAACCATGGTAAGCTAAACTCCTCGCTCATTGACGATCTAGACGAGGTGGGCCAAGCACCCGGCAGGATAAGCAAAAAGAAAAAGAAGCGGAAGCACAAAGAACGCGAGAAGGAAGTAGAGCACAGTCAAGCAGAAGCTCATGTTCGACCCGAGGTTAGAATCAAGCAAGAACCCGTTGACTTCGTTCCAGAGGCCACAGTCATGACCACCATTCCAATGACCCAGTTGGAGAGCAACTTTAATGAAAGCGAACAGCCTGCAGAACCAAATGAGGCCATAGATCAGCCTCTGGAGGATGTTAAACCCAACCGCATGGAGCTTGATCGCCTGATGAAAATCTCACATGTGGCTAGTGGCGTGGACATGGCCGAAGAGGCAGTGCCATTAGAACGAGCAGAAGAAGCCACTCCCGACGAGCCCCAGCCAGTTGAGCTACCGTCGACGAGGCAATCCCCGCCAAAGCCGAAGTCCATAAAGTCCACAGCGAGGAAAAGTACTGGTGCCGTTCAGCACAAGCCGCAAACGCCACCAAAACAGGCTCCTCTGCCGCAGATTGTGGCCGTGGAGAGTGGTGAAGCTGTAGCGTTTAATATTTCTATCAAGTCGGAGCCAAGAAATCGCGGCTATGGGGATGAACCCGTGGAAGAAGAATCTACGGCTACAGAAGAGATTAACCACAACGAGAAGATGGACGAGGAGAATGCCTACATAAATAGTTTAGATCTGAACAACGTGACTGTGAAGCAGGAACAAGACTTGGACATTTCCGAATCTGACAACATGCTGTGCAATGGCGAATTAGAGCGAACTGGCGATGAGAGCGATGAGGACACTGCTTCATCTGCCGACGAAGCCGAGGAGGCAATGGAGGAGGACGAAGAGCGCATCTATCGGGAAATCGAGCTGCCACCACTGGAACCTCTATGCGAGGATAAGGAAGCATCACAAAGGGACCAAGTGGAAACCGAGAGAATGGGTACTGAGGCATCAGCTGCACTGCCAGCCGCAGAAACTCCGGAAGTGGTTGGTGTGGAAAAGCCAATGGTTTCTGCTTTCAGTTTGGTTATAACTAGCATCTGCAGCCAAGCGGTTGCCGAACCACCAAATGAAGTTGCCACTAGCCTTGAAAACATTCCACCAGACGCTGGAGAGGCCCCATCTTTATTAGAGCTCCAAATCCAGAAAGACGAAAAACCCCCTCCTTCTGCAACGGACATCGAAACTTCTCTTGAAGATGGCCGCAGTCTGGCTGTGCCGTTTTCCTCTTCGCTAACAAATCCACCGGCTGCTGCGAGCCAAACCTCATCCTCGATTGATGTCGACCCTAACGTAGTAGTTGAAACCCCGTCCCTCGCAGAGGTTGATGCTGCTCAATCCCCGATATGTGGTGCCTCTATCACTGCAGATGAAATCCACTCTCCTTCAAGCCAAATTCAAACAGAACTTCGCTCAGTTGCGGATCATTCCCTGGACAATAATGGAGCCAATCCAGTAGAATTGTTAGGTACTTCTTTAGTTTATGGAAATCTGACCGATGCAAACGCGGAAACCTCGCTTCCAAGTGGGAGTTCGGCTGCGCTTTATCTTGGAATTACTTCACCGGAAGATCCAGCCTCATCCTTGTGTCCACCCCCGCCTTATGAACCCTCGGAATCTCTAGAGAAATCAGGCAGTGACCAAGAATCTCTGCCAACGGTTTCCCTCCACACCCCCAAGGACAGTGAAGATCAGTCGCCGCCGACATGCGATACAGCTAACATGGAGAGCAGCTACACGTGTGATGAGGAACAACAAAATGTGCTTAACCACGAGCTCTCGGAGCAGCACCAATCGTCACTGGAGGATGCGCTGCTGTTGGTCCACGAAGAGCAGCCGGCTTCACTGGAGGTTATCCCACCGGGACCCTCGGCGAGGCCAATCGAGGAGACTGAGAACCGCATCAATGAGCAGCAGCAGGATTTGGAGCAGGAGGAGCAGCGACAGCCACGCTGCCAGGCCAACGACGACTCCAATATCAACGAAATAGCCGAGAACAATAACAATGCCAACATTGAGCGCGAACTGCAAGACGATGCGCTCGGGGCTCAGGAAAACGCGAATCCATAGACTACGACTAGCTAATAGGCCATACCAAGATTAAACTGCATGTTTTTCCCGATTCAGATATAAATTGTAAATAGACGTAGATTGGTGAATCATGCTTGGGCAATTGGACAGAATCGGGGCAATAATTTATACCGGAAATTCGGAATGAACTTTAAACGGATAGCATTAGTTTTAAGTTAGGTATACACAACTTTATTACATAAATTAATGGCTTATATATTAGCATATGTAAGTATTATGTATTGAAATACATAAGTCGCACAAAACTCTTTAAACATGCGTACATATTAATCCAAAATCTGATCCACATAAATTTCTCGCTCTGACAAGCTTATTGGGTTTAGTAGTTTCAAAAAAGTCACGAAAAACATACATATACGTAATCTTGATTTAAATACAAACACACAGAAGAAAAATGACTACAAGTTGGCATTAAATGCACTCAACTAAAAAGAAAATACTTATGAGTTACTAGGTCGTTAATCAATTGGGTGTAACTGGATGCAAAAGACAGCCTTGGCGGACATCTGTGTCCGAGGAAGCCTTTGAGTCAAAATAAATGAGTACATCCCTTATTAATTGGTTTAGCCATACTTATCGCTGTAGGTAATTATTATCTCAACAAGTAGTGAATTATTACTGAGCAAATTTGGTAAATTTAGTACATGGTTAATTGCGGGCAAGTCGATTAGTTTAAACTTGTCTATGTAATAATTCCCAACTGTGGCTTTATTAAGTAGTCACAGTTTATTTTTCGTTTGATCCTTTCCTTTGTTGTAGATTTATAAAATATATTCACTATAATAAATTTCTATCGCTCAGTTTACAGTTTTTCAGTTCGCAGATAAGGTGAATTTCTAGTTTGCTCACATTTGGTGTTCTCAACTTTTTGGCACAGTAGTCTGAACGGGGATGCAGAATTCACCCACTTATATAATTGGATTAACATACATAGATGCGTATCGTTCATATTTAATTGAGCAGCTTCATGGATATGCAAATGTGATCGGGAACAAACGAAAACGGGCAAATGCTGATAAAATGTCTCGATTTGTGGTTATCCTTTAGTACTTTTTGCGATGGTTAAACTCGTACAATTAAATTAAAGAGGTATGAAAATTCACTAACAGTATTTACAGGGATTTATCTGACGATAAACCAAAATGCCAAAGCACGAACTAAATTATTGCTTATATTTGGAATAGTGTCTGCTGCCCCGCATCGTGTCATCCGTAGCTCCTTAATCCCACTCGCCCTCGTTGTCCGACGACTCGGTCTCGTCCTCGTCCGAGTGAATGGCGTTCCCGCGTGCCGCCAGCGCGCGACGCAGTGCGTCGGCCAGGGCGTCGGTGCCGCCTCCGTTGTCGCTGTTCCGCTGGCTGCCCAGCTCCCGCTCCTTGGCCGGCTTCAGCACGGTCCCCTGTCGGATGTCCTTCATCAAGTCGCTGCGGGAGTCGCCGCTGCCAGTGCTGAGAGCAGACGTGTCCACTTTCTGTTCGGGTTAAGGAAAACAATTTGATTTTATAATGAGTATTGAAGCGAAGGCTATGGGGATTCATCCACCTTTAGCTGGGTTCCCTTGCGAATGGCATCCATCAGTGCGTTGCGTGGATCCGGAGCCGCTGGAGCTGCTGGAGCTGCTGGCCTGGCTGCTTGATTGGGTGCGTGCGTGGTCGTGATGACGGGGATCTCTCCCACTGGCATTGGCGGTGGTGGTGGCACCGCTGCCGGTGGCGGTGGTGGAGGGGGTGGCGGCTGTCGAACGAGAGCAATTAGCAAGCTGTCCAGTCGAATAGGAGCAACAAGATGACTTACCGCTACGGCGGGAGCGCTGACTGGCGGCGGTGGTGGTGCGGTGCTGATGGGTGGTGGTCTGCTGGGTGGAGGGGGAGCTCGCGAGGCGCCCGGCACAGTGACGGGCACTGGGGGCGGTGGTTGCCTTGCCGGCGGCGGAGGTGCACTTCTTTGGTTGCCATTCTAAAATTAACATATGACATAAATTCCCAGAATAACATCATAACTCCTAGAGGGCCTAAAACCCTTATCAGTGTGGCTATAAAACTAGTTCTTCTTATCTCTTAAAAAATGCCCCAAGGGCTGGACCATGAATAGTGCTTGGATGCAAATAGAGATAAGCAGAAACTTACTGAAGGATGACGGGTTGGCACCGGCGGCGGCATGGGCGGCGTCGTTTCCGTAGGGGACTCCACGCTGTCCTGCTTCACCGACGCCAGGACGTTGTTGCTCTGTATGAAGTCGTAGATGAAGGCGCGCGTTTCCCGGTCCTTTAGCTCCATCTCGGAGACGCCGGCCCTGACGAAGAAGTCGTTCAGCATCTGGTCATTCTCGTTGCCCGTCAGGTCGAAGCCCTTCTCCGCATCCCAGCCGACGTGGGTGATGTGCATGAAGTTCGTGGGCTGGCTGATGTCCGCCTTGGTCACCTTGCGCTTCTTGTCCTTGGCGTGGTTGCCCAGTCCGAAGCTACTGGACAGGAAGTTCTTCGACTGCGCCGGTGCGGGGATCAGAGTCACCGAGTTGATTTTGTTGTTTCGCAACTGAACGCCTCCGCCATCTGTGGCGCTCTGCATGGGCGGCGGTCTGGCCGGCTCCCGCGGAATCGGAGGCACTGGAGCATTGGGCGCCTGCTGGCTCTTCTGCCTGTTGCGCTTCTCCTGCCTTTTTCGGTTGCGTGTCTCTATGGTGGAGTCCACAACGCGGAAGAAGGAGTCGCACTCCTCCTCGGACACAAAGTTCAGACCCACATGGCCGTCCTGGAAAACATTTAAAAAATATTTACTTGATATAGTATGGCTTGACCAGTTCTCACATTCACATAGCAAAACTGCCTTTCGACATCTTAAGTCAACATAAAATTTTGAATTTTAACTAGCTCTTCATAAGTTAGTAAGTTGAGTGACAAGTGAACCCCTCGGAAGGATACTTACACTGCCCTCGAAGGTGAGGAGGAAGGGCCGCGACTTGACCACCTGCATGCCATCGTAGATCTCGTGCTCCCAGATCAGCTCCTTCTTGATCAGGCAGTAGGCCCGCATGAAGTAGGACCGGATGGCGCTGTCCTTCACGAAGCAGACGACTCCGGTGTGCCGCTTCTTCCAGTGGGCGTGGGCACTGCCCTCCGTCTTGTAGATCTGCACCACGGCGGTGTTAAGCGTCTGAAAGTGGAGCAAGCGGAGATTGCGTTACACAAATTATGACCAGCGATAGAAAGGCCCGCGGCGATTATCTAATGCGGTCGAACAAAAGCCTGCCAATACCTTCTGTTTGCGCCTCATTTGAATGCAACTCTATTAATCCGACGACCACGAACTCAGTGAACTGTCGCGCTCGAGCTGAAAAACTCATCTGACTTTCGGTTTCGCCAGTTTCTGGCCATCGAGTCGATGGCCCCAAGCGAGCGTGCCGCTTTTGCATACCGATTAGCCTGGCAGCCCAGCTCTTGCAGCAACTGCAACCTGGAGCTGGATGGCCAATCCCGCCGCTTGGCATGGGCATCACGTAGCTCCGGTTGTTGGAGAGCGTGGGTCTAGGCGGTGGACATTAGTCTAGTGCAGACCTCTCCGCCGATCGGTGCTTATTCTGCCAAAGAGTGCAACGGAAACCCATAATCTGCACAAGGAAAAATCTGATATCTGTTCTATCTAAATTGTAGGATTATATTTCCATGAATCTGATTCCCAATGAAAAGCAATGTTTTTATAAACTGAGATTAAATCGAAATTGTTTGCCGTGTGCCATGTGTGATGAGAGACATCGTTTATGACCCAGACAGGAAATGGTGGCGACACCGAGAAGAGAAGTGCAGGATGCCAGCGAATTGCCGCATCGCGTACTTGCCAAAACTATAATATACAATAAGCCCATTGATTTGGCGCCAGAGAAGTCAAGGCAAACTGTGCTGTAGTTATTGAAAGCGTTGTGAGAATTTTCTCAGCATGGTCACAGGAATTACTCGTGCTTTTAGGACATTACGAAAGTGAGTGTGTGATTTGCGACCCTTTGACCAGTTGGCATTTGCCCGAGGCCATCGCATGACCCTCTGGCCGAATCGTGGCTAATTGATTCAACTTGCCGCCCTGGGCGATGATCCAAAATTGTTACGTGCCGGTAATTGAAACAGTGCAGCTGAACAGCAATCCAGCATTATCAATTAATGGACATTAGAGATGGACTGATGGATGGATGGGTAGATGGGTGGATGGCCATGCAGACTTTTGCAGCTGACCTTTGGGGCAAGTGAAAAGAGAAAGAGACATTGACGAGCAAATGGGTTTCGTGTGGCTGTGGATGTCGATGCCTTCCAGCTTCCAGCCCACACATTCGCTCGAACAACTCGTCTCCGGTCTCTGGCAAGTGCGAAATTGTGAGCACATTTGAATTTTTATTGATGCTTAGCTGCTGCTTTTTACTCGGCGCGCTTGTGTGGACATAAGTAGCATTGTAAAATGATGTCTTGCCTTCTACGTACAAGCTGGCTGTTTCTGCTCGACAGCATTAAAATCGATGGAAAACCAGCGGCAACAAAAAGTGGTCATTGCCACCGAGCAGCGAGCGTTTGGCCAACACAAAGCGGGCCGAAGGAAAGGGGTCTTAGCGGTAAAAATCCATACATCCCAAATGGGCCAAGCGGTAAACACGCCCATACGCCCTGTGGTCAGCATATTACGTATGTCACATTATAAATAAACATTCGGCCAGCTATCTATTGCTCCCATTTTATTCGCAATATATTTAGAGAGTGCCCCCTCTATTTATAGTTTCCGATTAAAATATACAATTGCTTCCAGTGAGTCAGCCCGAGACTTCTGTAAAATTCTTTAGAAAGTAATCGAAATTTGGTTGTACGGGCCACCAACATGTTTAACAAGGGTTCACAGCTGACAAAGCCAAACTTAAACATAAACATCAATTAGAAAGTCCGGCTTTGGAAGAGGCAATGTGCAGAAAAATGCGTTAAATAAGTGTATACAAATAAATGCGAGCAAATGTTGCGACAAGCGACTGCCAAACCACAATAACAACATCGGGTTATCACACGATGAATGTGACACTATGTCATCCACAACAAAGGCAGGGACGTACACAGGGAAAAAGATATAGCAGATGATTGATCGGATTATCATCCCGTTTAATCAGGAGACTGGGATTAATGCAAACAAATTACAGCCTGTCATTGCTAGTTAGTTTTCTTTGCGCTAATAGGATTACAGTAGTTTCGCTTATACAAATAAGTGAACCGTCAAAATTTGGTCAATGTTTTCTCTGCGTGGATTTGGAGGGGCTAACTACCTTAAGCGGCGGTTGGTTGGCTGCTTTACTTTGGCCGAGTTCATGTGCATTTGGAAATGTTTTGTCAATGGAAAGCTGCGAATTAGCAAAGCGTGAATTGCGAATCGAAATGAGCGATTTTCCCATGTTGTGCACACCATAATTATCCACATAAATGGCCACATTCCAGGCCTCCACTCCGATTTCGAGCATTCTTATCGCACTTGGCATTGGCCGGTGATTCGCATCGGGCGGATGGATTGATAAGATAAGGTTCGCCGCAGTTGCCCACAAACAGCCAATGACTTATCGCGACCCAATGAGGCGAACTCAGCGGACTGGTTTCTCTTTCGTTTTGCACTAGAATTGGTTTTGACACACCGATAAAGGGGAAAATAAGGCACAAAATAAAAACTAATCAAGAAATGCAAACAACTGCGTTTGTGGACTATCAATGCCGGCTCAAGCCGTTTGCTGATAAGGGCAATAAGCAAAGCTATGTAAATATTAGTAATACCTTAACAAAGCCTAACGAATTGCTCTTCACTGTGTTTTAACTGTTGTGAAAACTGGGGAGAATGACTTAATGATATAATGCAAAATACAACTTTACACAGGTAAAACAACTGTAGTTTCATAACTTGATTCGAATTCAAATAAATACAATTCACATATGTATATGTATATAAAGGCATAAACCCGATTGTAAAAGAATGACTCATAATTTCTTGCACTCACTCAAGTAGTCTTTGCAGCTTAGACAATTTCGTATATTTTTAGAATACTTCATAATTGTTAAAAGTCCCAAAATTAGCTAACATTTCTTTCTGCATTTTCAAAGTGCCTTCAACCGATTTCCACTGTAGCTTCCGCTCCAAAGAGTGAAAACGGGTAGACAAGCCAGCGAGAACAGCTGGCTACCGAATGATATTGGGTTACAGAGGTTCTGCGTTGGATATTCGCACACGATGGGCGACACTTGAGCCGCAGGAAGTGCTTCATCAAGCTCAGGGATTTATTCGACGGCGGGGAAGCCGGACGGTCGAATCGTGTCATTGCCTAATTGTTAATCACCCAGTGCCGAGTAACATCATCGTGCATCATCACAACTCACCTGGCACTTTCTGCCCAGCAGCTCGAAAACGGCCTCGTTCTCCTCCTGCGTGAGCAGAGTGCTGGCGGCATTGACCTTCGCCCGCGGACCGTCCTGCGACCTCATTCCGCTGCTCATCTGGCCGGAGTCGATGGATCTGTGTCTGGATCTGGATGTGGGTCTGGATCGTTGTCTGGAGACGGAGCTGCGGATCTGGGCTGGTTTCCCTGCACAATACACACACAACACGCATTTTATTGACGGGTGAAAACAATACGCAAATGAACAAAGGCCGAAATGTATTAATTTAATAACACAATGCACAGGGGACCCCGAAAGCAAATAAATATGATAACAAAAAGCCACATAACAGTCGGTCTCCCGTAAATCGAACGTTTATATGAGAGTTATGGGATATTGCCAATAATAATGGTTCCACTTTGGGTAAGGGAAGTTCGAGTTATGGGAGCTTGACTGTATTGCGAAAGAGGTTGAACAACTGGAGCCTAAACCGTTTGTTTTTGAATCTTTTGAATTGAGTTTTCAAACCGATAAGCAGTATTGTTTTTGGCGTTTGGAATGGGGTTTTTAGGCCAGTAACTGAGAAGTTTCGAGCAGATCTCTGGGGGTTTTCCACAGATCACGCCCTGAAACTGAATTGGAAATCCGTGACTGGTTTTTATTTTTCGAAATGATTTTCAAATCGATCGATAGTTTTTGTTTTAGTAGTAGTGTTTATTTCGAATATACTTCAAAACCGATGGCTTATTGGGTTTCGAACGGGGTTTGTACCGAATTCCGGCCAAGAGCGCGAGCGAGAGAGACGTGCGTTGGCTGTGACGATATGGCTGGTTATGATGGAACTGCGAGCGGATCGTTAGGTTGAGTCACGGGTGCCGAGAGTCGGAAACCAGAAGTACGAAATCAGAAACAGAAACAGTCAGCCAGCCAGCTGCTTTTGCTTTTTCGCCTCGAATGTGGGTAAAAGCGAGGCAGCTCTTCGAAAAGAGCCCTTATCTTTGGCGAAAAGCACTGATATCGCTTTGCGCATGTATCCATGATGCATACATGTCTGGCTTATTCAACCTCAGAGTTTGGCACTCGCGAGTCGCGAATCGAAGATGTGACAACACCTGTCCGCCTCGCCAGGTGGGGTGAAAAATGAATATGTAAATCGACGGACGGAAAGTGGCTGCCCCAAGGTCTTTGGGGCTGGGGTTTCTCGTGTGTGAAAGGGGTTCTCTTCTGCGGGGGGGCCATTGATTTTTGCGTTTATTTTCGTGCACTTCTTCACTTTTTTCCCACACACACACGCACCACTAAGTCTCTGCGCGCTGCCTGTTGTCCTTGGCTGGCCGACTCCGGGTTCGTTGCGAGGAGTCTTTACTGTGCGCGCCTCCGCGTCATCGCTGGCTTTTCGAGGTGTTTTTCTCCGGGAAGATTGGCTGGCTCGATTATTCGCGACGAACTTAGTTTGTTTATTTGGCACTCAGTTTTAGTGTTGCCAGATGTGGGAACTTCCGCCCATTAAACCCAGCCCTGGATCACCGACAACCCAGTCGTGCCTAAATTTGACTGACAAAGCTGGTTCTTCTACCTAGCACATAATGGGGTTGCAACTCGGTTGGAGTTATCCGTTACAAATTTACAAGACAGCTCTTCGTCTACTTTTCAAACACTAATAAAACAGGAATCTGATTTAAATTAGAAATGTAGTGGACTTAGAAACGGGGCATTTTGGTCAAACATTTATAGGTATGCCACGACGAACTGGTGAAATTTGTTAATTTTTCAGCCCTCTAAAAAGGGTACAAAAACCGTTATTCGAAATAAAATATTTTTTTTAGGCTATACAAAATGTCAATCTCACTTATAAAAACTTGAATTTGATCCCCATAAATTCTCAATCACTAGAATGCAAATAAAATCTACCTTCGGATGCAAATGAGAGCATTCGTTTCATTTGAGGTACCTGATCTTCAGCCAGGGTAGTGCGTTGGGCTCGTACTCCTTGTTCGCCAACCGGAGCAGGTGAAACATGACCGCCAGCAGCCCGGTGCCCAAGGCATCGCCCACAGCGGTCAGGTACGGAATGGCGGCGGTATCCGGATCAATCCTGCGCCGCCAGAGGAGGTGCACCAGGGCGTGGGCCAGCCACAGTAGGACCAGCAGCTGGAGCAGGCTGGTCAGCACGAAGGCGACCACGAAGGTCCACTTCACGGACACGTGGGACATGTACAGGTAGTCGGCCAGCAGGACGAGCCCCACGTTGCCGGGTACAGAAATACCAATTAGAATTCTGACCACGCGGGAGTAGACGGTACCCCGCAGGTAGACGCGATGGGGCCACTCCAGGATGCGGCAATCCTCTGGCAGAGTGCCCAGGCTGGATCGCTGGTAGAGCACGCTGCCCATGTGACTGGCCTGCACGGAGACGAGGTTGCCCCCGATCCCGTTGATTATGGGGGAGAAGATGGCGAAGCCTCGGAAGTCCTCCACGGAGGAGCAGAGCACGAATCCCGCGATCTGGCTGATGCACAGCGCCCCGATCACCGGGATCCAGCTGACCATCAGGATGGGGCGCACGTACACGTTCCGGAGCACCACCACCAGCCAGACGAGCAGCATGACCACCAGGTAGCCAACCGCCAGACAGACGCAGAGCCACCAGTAGTCTCTGCACAGGTCGTACAGCGTGGCGGCGCTGTAGGAGAGCAGGCTGATGGTCACCATGTCGCCGATGGAGGCCACCAGCGGAATGGCCATGTAGTCCGGGTTGAAGCTGTAACGCTGCGAGAACAGGACCACCACCATCACAATGGAGTCCAGGAAGAAGCAGGAGGAGCTCGAGGTGATCAGGGCAGCCGCAGTGAGGACGAAGTAGTGTTTGAGGGAGAACTCGCGGTTGACCAGGGCACTGATCCCCACCGTGAGGGAGCTCAGCAGCACGGCGCACACGATGGCCTGCAGCTGCACCAGCGCCATGTTGCCGACGACGATCTGCAGGACGGCTTTCCTGCTCGAGAGGTGGCCCAGGTTGGAGTGGGTGCAGATTCGCGAGGCCACGCACATGTCCAGGTTCCCCTTCAGGCCGCACAGCACCGAGACGAGGACGAAGAGCTCGTTCACCTGGCGGTACACCGTCCAGTCCTGCACGTTGCCCAGCATCAGTCCCGCCGTAATGGTCCCCAGTCCGGCGAGGAAGAACGGGATGCCGATCTGGAGGAGCGTAGAGTACCAGCGCTCCTGGCTGGGGTCATCGGTCGGTGTCTTGGGCGCCGGCTCCTCCATCCCGGTTCCTCCTCCAGAACGTCAGGATCATAGCAAAGCTGTGACTAAACAACCAACTACTATTCGATTTTGGATTCCGATTTTCAAACCTTTAGAAAAATATATAGAAGGCCTCCAGACTGAAAGATTTATCTCAGCAATAAAAATAATAACACTCCGTAATAAACTTCACTTTTTTTTTATTGATGTTGACAAAAAGCATATTTCGATTTATTATTATTAAAAATGGTTAATCGCGCTGGATCGGTAAAACTATAATAAGTCGCAAAAGATTCGCTTAATACAAAAGCCGTCGCCTAAAATCGGTTACCCTTAAGTATGCTAAATTATATAAAAGAATACTTAAAAAGCTGTGACTACAAAGGTGATTCTCCACTCTCTTCTTCAGATATTTGGTTTTGCATAAGGAAGCCAAGGGCGTACTAAACCTATAAAGTATAATCCCAAATTCACTGCGGGTCGATTGTAAATAATGCAAGATGCGAACTAAACTAAAATGAAAACTTGGTAAACCTTTTCTAATTACGTTATTATTACGTTATTACGTGTCAAATCGAATATATAGCAATTATATATATGCCAGTATACACCTTGTATATATAGGGAGTTGTACACACGTTGAAAGGCCCGATCTACTCGAAGTGTATATATATGCGATACATTTGGCTACACACGGTCCGGAGCTCCGGGGAGATCCTTCTCTGACTGTGACTTGGATTAGTTGGAGTTACTAGGAGTTGCGCTAGCTCTAGCTTACAAAGTTTAGGGACTACGAAGTGTGTAAAGTGGAAGTGGAGGAGAGTAGTGTATTGAGTATATAGAATATATATGCCTGTTGCCTCCTAGCCTAAAAACTCTTTGATTCTTTGATTTAACTCTGACTCTAGCTCCTTTCTTTGTGGATGTGGACCTGTGCGTCTCTCGTTCCAAAAATGCGTAACAAATACAGTCCGTTTCCGTTTGCAGTCTCCACACTTCCTCTCCTGGCTGATATCGATCGATCCTACTTCCTGGCAACCCCCACCACTGGCAACTTGGACTTGGATGCTGATACTCCTCCTCCCGCCGAGGGATTCGGGCTGTTGTCGAAGGTCGAGCTGCGCAGGAGCGTCGGCCTGCCTCCGTTTCCGTTGAGCGTGCTGGAAGATTTTGTTTTCTGAGTCCGCAGATTGGACGACTGCTGCTTCGTTTTGGCCTCGTCCACGCGCTTCCAGATGTTGGCAATGCGGCTCTGGGCCTGGTTGATCTTGGCCGCCGCCGCTGCGGCTGCACTGCCTCCGTTCAGGTTGGAGTTGCTGCGGGAAGGCGGCGTGGTGGTGGAGATCCGCGAGGGAACCACTCGCGTGGCGGAGGTGGACTTGGCCCCCGCCAACCGCAGACTGGTGTTGGCCCTTTGGGGCGTCACCCGGCGCACGGGAGCCGAGCCAATCCTCTTGGGAGAACCGTGTTTAGAGGGGGAGTCCCCGCTGGATGCTGCCTTCTTTGTGGGCAGCTTGGAGGCGCGATGCGTGGGACTGCTTTGAGTGGGCTTCGCCTCCACCACGGGCACCTGGACATTGGAGTTCGTGGGCTCGTCCTTCACGAAGGTTCCCTGCCGTTCCAGGCGAGGAGCAGTAGGAGCAGGAGCAGGCTCCGTCGTTGGCTTCTTCTTGGCCGGCAGCCTGACTCCCGCCGCGCCACCAACCACACTCCTCTTGGCAATCGTGGGGGAGAGGGTCTTCTTCTTGGCCGCGGAGGCGCCGTTGCCACTCCGCTGGCTCTGCATGCTGTAGGGCGACACGTAGGCCGGCTTCTTGCGACCCCGCACCACCTTCACCGCCGTGGCGGGCTCCAGAGTCGCGGGCTTGGAGGAGGCGGGGGACTTGAGCTCCACGACCGGCGGCGGAGGAGGCAGCTGGGCGGGCTCCTGGCCCTCGCAGGACTCCGTCTCCGAGTTCTGGTCGCACTCCGGCGACTCCTCCGCCTGGGCCTCCGGTTCCTGGCCAATGTGGATGTCCGTGATGAAGGTGAACTGCTGCATCATCGCGCGGATGGAGGAGAGCTCCTCGCTGGGGCAGTCATCGCTTGGCGGCTGGATCAGCGCCAGCGGGCACTCGATCAGCTGCGTCTTGTACCGCTCCGCACTGCCCCTCCTCCTTCCATTGGCCCGCGGCGAGGGCGTGGCCACGGGGGGCACGGCCGCCTCCACGATCTCGATCTGCAGGGTCTCGTTGGCCTCCAGCGCCTCTATGCCGTGCTCGCTGCCATGTTGGCTGGTGGCTATGGTGTAGGTCTTGTAGCGGTCCTTGGTGAGGCGGCGCTTCTGCTTCGGCGTGAGCGAGCGGCGACTGGGCGAGGGCGTGGATCCCTGCTTGGGCGTGGACTCCGCCGAGCTGTAGTCGTTCACGGTGGCGTCCTCGTCCTCGTCGAAGCAGCTCTGGAGAACGGTGAGGGTCTGGTCGTCGCAGGCGGTCTCGTAGTTCGAGACCGAGATGGTGGTGGCCATGCTGCAGTCCTGCTCGCCGTCGGCCACCTCCGACTGGATGCTGTCCACGCTGATCATGGAGTCCAGCAGCTCGTCCATCAGCGAGGGCGGCTTGATGTTGTCCAGCAGGTTGCAGCTGGAGTTCACGCTCTCCGCACTGCCCGCCAGATGGCCCAGTGCCCTCCTGGCCACCAGGTTGGCCGGGAACATCTTGCGCGCGAATCGAGGACTCTTGCTGGGCAGCTGCTGGCGCAGGGAGCTCGGCTGCGATTGCGAGTGCAGGTGATCCTGGTAGCAGCTGTTGAGCGACTCCATGCCCGACGGTGGGCGCACGTTGTCCAGGTCCAGGACGTCCAGGCTGTTCATGCTGAAGTCCATCTCCGTGCTATCCTCCTCGGCGGAGGTGGCTCCAGTTGGAGCCGGCTGGAGCAGGTTCTCGGCCAGCGCCCGTGCCTCGAACGCGATCATCGTGGAGTTGGTCATCATGGAGGCGCTGGTTCCGTTAAAGAGCAGCCGCTGCGGCTCCAGCCGGACGCCCGCGTTCTGCACCTGTCCGCCCAGCTGGAAGTTGAGGCCGCCGGACGATCCCGAGTGGCTTTCCCGGTCCTCTACTCCGCTGACCAGCGTGTCCGTCTCGCCCTCCAGCGAAGCGGGCTGCTGCTCGTTCGTGGGCGTAATCTCGACCAGCTCCCGCAGGGATCTCGCCTCCGTGGCGTCCTCGTCCAGGCTCAGCGAGGCCAGCACCGGAGCCGTTTGGCTGACGCTGGGGAAGCTGACGTCGTCGGGACAGGTGTGCTCGTTCCAGGTGTTGTTGCTGCTCGAATTCTTCTGGCTACTGCTGTTGTGGCTGCTGCTGTTGTGGCTGCTGCGCAGCTGCTCCGCCGAGGTGACGAACTCGAGGGTGAGCCGCTCCACGGACCTAAGCATCAGGTCGGGGTCCTTGTGCCGCTCGTTCCCGCTGGAGGCGCACGGCTCGCTGGCTGGCGCGCTGTCCAGCCGGACCATGGTCTCCATTATGAACGACTGGTTGGACTCGTCGCTGGAGCGGTCCTCCGCGTCCAGGTCCTTAGACCCAGTAGCGGTCGCGGGAGCGCTCGGACTCGCGTTCCCCGGACCGGGAGCTGCTCGACTTCTTGCTGTGTCGGTGGCGGTGGCGATGGCGCCGGTAGGACTCGGCAGGATGGGGCTGCTGCTCGACAATTGCGGCTGCCGCTGCTGCTGCTGCAGTGGATTGCTGTGACTGCTGGGATTCTGCTCTACGTCTGGAGCTGCTGCTGTGCTGGGAGCACTTGCTGATGTAGTAGCTGCCATTGGGCGACACGGTTCCAATGCAGCCGCAGACGTAGCCAGGACGTTTTTTGGCACGGCGCTGATCTTCTTCGAGATGCCCGTGTTGATGCACTCCTGCAGCAGCTTCTCGTCCTTGCGCTCCCGCTCCCGCTCCCTGTGGTGCTGGTGATGATGGTGGTGATTGTGGTGGTGGCGCTGCCGCTTCTGCTGTCCAGAGGAGGGCAGCTGCACCGGCAGCGAGTCGAACTGCTTGAGATTGGGGTGCGACTGGGTGCCCGCGGCGCCCACCAGGGGCTGCTCCTCCAGCTGCCTGGCTCTGGCGCCCGGCTCCTTCGACTTGTACATCCCCTTCAGGATGCAGAGCTCGAAGAGCGACTTCGACTGGTTGTCGTTCGAGTCGCTCGAGTCCACCGAGCTGTACGACTCCTGCTGCTGGTGGTGCTGATGGTGCTGGTTTCCTGGTTGCTGCTGGTGGTTCCTGCGCACCGTCGTCGCCGAGCTGAGCGAGCTGGCCGAGGTGGCCGCATTGATGGCTATCGGCTGCGAGGAGCTCAGCGAGCTGGAGCGCTTGCCGTTCGAGCTGAAGCCGAGATTCGACTTGGGTCTATTGCAGCCAGCGGCAATAGCCTGAAAAATCATTGATTTATCTTTGAAACATTATTTTATTTAGGGGTTTCAACGGAAGATTACCTGACTCAGTAAATTGGTGTCGTCCTCCGAGTCGATGGATAGAGAACTCAGCGAATCATCTTGCCAATGCGGCGGCCTTCGGTTTTGCTCCTGCCTGGTGGTCTTTGGATCGGTTCCGGGTTTCGGATTCGCGCTCGATCTGTGGGGGAATCGAGGGATTTAAATCGGAATGCTTTTCCATCAGATGAACTTTTCTAACTTGAACCATCGCTTCACATTAAAGCAAAACATTATGATATATTTAAGATTGAAGGGGTAATACTTTAATATGAACATTAGCATCAAAAGAAATCACCCAATCAATTTGTCATTCTTATAAAAAGCCTACTATAGTGTACAAACTATCTACTCACGATATTGTTTCCTTGAGCTGCACGGCTGGGCCAACCAGACTGGATCCCACCGTGAGGTTGGACAGGCCGGAGACCACGGAGAAGTTGCAGGGGCTGTCCTCCACCAGGAACTTGTTCATCTCGTCGGCGGAGGGCAGGAAGCCGGACAGTGGGTTCCCGCCGCGTCGCAGCATGGCAATGGGATCTGGATTCCGGTCCGGATTCGGGATGGAAACCCCTTCGGAGGGGGGCTTCTGCATGCCATCGCGGATGCACTGCTGCAGCAGGCCAGCTGCTCCGCCGCAGTCTGAGGCATTGGAGGACACGTCGTCGGACAGCTGGTGGGTGTACATCTGTGCCTGGCCACTCGCCACCTCCTTCGGCTCGTTGGAGCTCATGGAGATGGCCGACAGGTTGGTGTTGCTGGCCACTTTGGAGAGCAGGGCGGGAGTGTCCTCGGTGCAGTAGCTGCGGATGGTCTCCTCGGCCACATCCACTTCCGGGTGAACGGGCGTGGACTTCGCAACCTCCGCAGGCTTCCGCTGCATGCCCATGTTAATGCAGTTGGCCAGGAGCAGCTCGTCCTCGTTGTCCTCCTCGGCCACACTAGGCGGAGCCTTCTCGTCGTCCACGATGCTCAGGTTGCTCAGACTGGTGGCCGAGGAGAACTGGGCGGGAGTGTGCTCCACGTTGAAGCTGCTCAGGTCGTCCTCGAACACACTGCGCAGTGGTTGCAGGCTGGCCGGGATTGCGGCCGGGGGAGAGTCCGCATTCGCCGCCGATCCAGCTGCACTGTTTCTCCGCGGGGATTGCGGCATGCTCTGGGTGGGCGAGTCGGGGATCTCGGAGGGGGAGATCACCCCGCTGGCCAGGCGACTGAAGTCGCTCACCACCGAGCTCTTGTCGTCGCAGTTGGCCACGTCCACGTCGGGGTCGTGGACCAGGGAGTCCATGGAGCTGCGCCGCGAGAACATCAGCGGGGTCTCCAGCGCAGAGTTCGCCTGAGTGGGGGGCTTGGCCAGGTTGGCCTGCTCAGCTGGCTGGGATTCGTGCTCCTCCTGCTTCTCCTCCTTCGGCTTGGGTCCCACGCCCGCCTGGTTGGCCTTGCCCGACTCGTCCAGGCTGCTTAACGAATCGTAGCGACTGAAGTAGCCGGGCGTTCCCTCCTCGCAGTAGTTGATGGGCTTCTCGGGAGTGTACGACCCCGATCCGCACTGCGAGAGCTTGGGCAGCTTCTTGGGAGCGCCCTCCTTGGAGGGAGCCTCCCTCACCTCCGGCTTGGCATCCGCATCCGCATCCGCCTTGGCGGCCACCCGCAGGTCGGTGACGGAGGCCGCGTTGGATATTACGTAGGGGGTGTCCTCGGTCTGGTAGCACTTGACGCTGTCCTCGAGGATCAGCAGGATCTCCTGGCCCTCGGACTTCGCGGGAACTGCCTCCGCGGGAGGCGTAAGAGAGGAGGAGGTCTTCTGGGCTCCCGCCGATCCTGATATGTCCATGTCCGACTCCAACTGATCCAGCTGGTTCTCCGCGTAGCGCAGGCTGAAGTCAGTGGGCTGGTCGAGGTCCGTCTCCTGATATGTGGACACAGTCTTGGCGGCTCCCTCGCTGTATTTGGCCGAGTAGTCGATGGGCTGCTCCTCGGTGGCCTCCGCGTCCTGTTCCATCTCCATGTCGAAGTCGGTCATCTTGGACGACTTCCCCTTGCGCTGCGCATCCGAGGCGGAGGCGGACCGGATGAGGTGGTCGTAGGCGCAGTCCGACTTGGCGGAGTACACCGAGTCGCGGCTCTCGCTCTTCGTCAGCATCGCGGAGCGGGTCAAGCGGGGCACGGATGCGGCTGGATGGCGCCTTTGCGAGGCGGACGTCGAGCGCTCCTTGGCCAGCTTCCCTCCGGAGTCGAGGTTCTCGCAGGTCTCCGCCGTGTGCCGCTCGCCCAGCTCCTGCTGCAGCGCCTTCGCCTTGCGCGCCTCCAGCGTGGGCAGCGCCTTCAGTCCCATGGAGCGGGCGATGGGGTCCAGCTGGTGGTGGTTCTGCACGGCCGGCCGGAAGTTGAGCAGGTTCTTCAGGGCGGAGGAGCTGCCCTCCGAGATCATGGCGTGCTTGGAGTGGATCAGCGAGCGCAGCATCGGCACCGCCCCGTTGTCCCAGAGGAACTTCTGGTCCTCGGGCGAGCGGGCCGAAAGGTTCCACAAAGTGCCGCACGAGTTGCTCACTACCGTGAGGCTCTCCGACTTGAGCTGCTGCAGCAGGATGGCCAGGCAGTTGTGCTGGCGCAGGATCTGCCTGTAGGGTTCGCACACCGCGATGTGGCTGGACACGTTGCGCAGGATCCCTCCCGCGTTCTCGATGATCTTGAGCGTCTTGCTGGGTCCCTCGTAGCTGAGCATGCCCACCAGGAAGGCCAGTGCCCCCTCCACGGCGCAGAACTCCGCCTTGTTGGTGCTACAGTGAGCGGAGAGGTTCCACAGCGCCGAGAGGATGGCCTTCAGCGTGTTCTCGCTGCGGTTCCGCATGGCCGCCAGCGCCAACGCGGTCACCGTGCCGATCTCGTTGAGCACCGCCTTCATGCTGCTGTCCGCCCGCCAGGAGAGGTTCCGCAGCACGCTGGCCGTCACCTGGAGCAGGTCGTCGGGCGCGGAGTCCAGCTGGGCCACCAGGGCCTCCATGAACGGCTTCTGGCCGCAGAGCAGCGCCTTGTTGTTTTCGTCCCCGAAGGTGAGGTTGGTGAGCGCCATCAAAGCGTACCTCCTCAGCGAATTGCAGCACTGGTCCTCCGGCTTGGGTCCGTGGACGGCGTGGTCCAGGTGGACCAGGTTGGGGATCGCGTGCAGCGCCCCCAGCTCGCACATGGCGTGCCGGTGCTCCTCGTCGAAGCTGACCTTCATCAGCGAGGAGATGGCCGCCAGCGGGTGGCGGTCCGAGTCGTCCGCGATCGCCTCCCCGCCGCTCTGGAGCAGCGTCTTCAGGAAGGAGCAGTAGTCGACGATCTGGTCGAGCAGGCGCAGCACCTTCGCCTCCCTTCTGCCCGCCTTCTCGTCCGGGTGGCCGTGGACCACGTTGTGCAGCGCCTGGGAGGCGCACCGGCGCACCTCCTGCTCGTTGTCCGCCGAGTGCATCATCTGGACGAGGAGCGGCATGCAGCCGGAGCGGCGAAGGGTGGCGCAGCTCTGCGCGTTCCCCGACAGCTCCAGGAACTTCTTGGCCATCTCGAGCGGATCGTTGGAGCCGAGCATCGAGAGCAGCGAGTAGACGCACTCCACCTTCGAGCCAAGAGACGCCTCCACCGCCGCCGAGCTGCTGTACCGCTCGTCGAAGCTCGTTGTCCAGGCGGCTCCCTTGGGCAGTCGGCCAGCGGGAGTCGCCGTGGCGGGGGAGTCGCCGTCCAGGAAGCGGGAGAGCGTGTAGGAGGGCTCCTTGCTGCGCGAAGCTCGCCCTGCGCTGGCCGGGGATCCGCCGTTGGTGCGCGGAGGCAGCTCCTCCAGCTGCTGCTGCTGCGCCGACTGCCGCTCGAAGTTGCGGTCCAGGCTGCGGTGCTCCCGCATCTCGCGCAGCTCCTGGGCCAGCATGTAGTCCGGCGGAATGGGGTTCTCGTCGAGGAAGTGCTTGGCCGGCTGCTTCTTATTAACGGCTCCGGATCCCAGGGGTAATCCTGCTCCGCCGCCGCCACTCTGGTAGTGGAGCGTGTTGTCGTCCTGGGTGAACTCCTTCTTGGTGTAGCCGCTGGCGGCCAGCTCGTAATCGCTGACCTCGCCGTCGCGCTCGTACTTCTTGTCCATCTTCAGCTGCTCCCCGGAGCTGGTCCCATGGAACATGGGCTCCTTGTAGTCCGGCGGCGGTACGGCGTCGTAGTCGAGGAAGTGCGGCTTGCGCTCCGGCACCGCGTCCACGTCCACGTCCACGTCCTCCAGGCTCAGGCCCGCGATGCCCTCCTCGAGGTCGGGAGTCAGCGTGGGCTCCAGCATGGTCAGTGGGGATCTGCAGCTGGAGCGGGAGCGGCTAAGGGAGCGGGATTCGGGATGCTCACTGCGCGGAGTCAATGCTCCATGGCCTGCAACGGTGGGAGATAGAGTAGATTGAGTACAGAGTGAGAGGGACTCTATAAATTGCAATAGACTTGGTGGTGGCCGGGCCAGGGCGTGGGCTAATTATAGCCACAGCCGCAGCCGCCTTTCCTGAATCCGATGCCTGTAACAATCCGATGGGCAAGGGTGGAGTAGAGGGGAATCGGATGGCCAAGGGGATACCTATATCGAGTGTCAGGTGTGGGCAGCGCTCAAAAATGCAACCGGATAAGGCGGGGATGGGTTTCAGGTGCCTTGTAAAGTAATTGCAAAAATAAACGAGGAATATGATATGTACTTAAAAGTTGGAAAACCTCTTATTCAAATATCAAAAACTTTTGAACTGAATAACGACTTAAACTATTAGGAGCCTACACTTAACTCATCACCAGCATATGACTCGCTTTATGATCGATTGTAACTGTGCCAGCTTTATGATATGATAATCCCAACACGATAATGTTATCTGAAGAGGGTGAGGTCACTTCCGAAGGGAGATCTCAAGTTCAAAGTCCCTAAAATCGAGTACTTGTAAACCATCAGGTTTTAATTAGTTAATCAACTAAGAAAATTAGCTGACCCTCTTCGCTTGCTACCCTTTACTTTCTAAGCGAATGCATAATTTAAGAGCCGCCCGAAAGAATTCGTCTGTTGTTGCGGCAGGTTCTCTTGATTGCCTGCTCTATCGCGCTGTAACTTAATCATCGGACCGACTTTCAGGTAGTGCCAACAACAATGGCAAATAATCAGCTAAATCATTATCATGATTAGCCGAGCTGGCGCTGCATCTTTTAGAAAGTTAGCGGCACACGGCGTCGTCTTTGCGGAATTTCCAGTGCATGAAAAAAAGATACAGATGCGTTTTCAGCAGATATATTGCTTTTGATATTGTTGGTGTTTCTCTTGTTATTGTTGTTGTTGTTGCTACACACTCTGTTCGAGTACAAGACATATTTCTCATTTGAGCTACCGTTGAATTATGTGCAAATGCAATTTGGTGCTGCACTTCTTTTTTTTTAGTTGTTATTGTAGCGTAAAATTGAGCATGGACGGACAAATGTGTATAAATATGTATGTGCACAGAGAGAAAATTCTAAATAATTTCATTGAATTTTTATTTCACAAGTAAGTAGATTAATGGAAAAAAATAATACTTTTTTTACTGTGCCGACAATCCCAGCCAAAGTGGATCGGGAATGACCCGGGTCGTGTACCAGTTCTCGCTCCCCACAAGTCAACTTGTTCAAGCTCCAATTGGCAAATTAATCAAATTTTAATTGCGACCAGCATAAAGAGAAACAACGAAAAGTGGTAACCGCAATTTGAGTGGCTGCGAAATGCAAATCGCTTGTGTAACAGCGGAAATGCATCCATCGAATCCACTCGAATCGGAATGGAATGGAATGTTAGATTGGCCGGCCAATTGGTGGCCAATCATTCATCATTCGAGTGGCTGCTTGCCTAGGCCTTCACCCAAAATTAACTGTTGTAATCAGACCCTTGATAAGGCGGCCCCACTGATTAACACTTAGCAAGAGTTCCGCGGTATCTATGTATGTTCGTAGTCTTTAAGAATTCAGAGGACGAACACTTCGATGAATCAACGATCCGCGAATTAGAAGAATCAGCCCCATATAGATCCTATACTATATACTATATATACATGGGGCTGGCAAGTGCCACAAAGAATGCGAAAACATGCGTCACTCGTCTAGCCAGAGAGCCAGAGCTCTATAGTTCCCCCAGAGACGACTCCTCCTCGAGTCATTAACCGGGCAGCAAAGCACATAAGGAACCCTCGCACAATGGAGACAATTCAGCTCTAAACGGTTTGAGTTTGCGAATTCAATTGGATGGCTGTGGAGCAGGCGACTTTCAAAACTATCCCACGCTTTAAAAAAAACATTTGGGGATCATGAGTAATTGCAAATTAGAAAGTGAATCAGATCGTTTTAACCTCTTGACAAAAACAAGACATTAACATCTAAGTATCACTTACGTTTGACAAATTTAAAAGAGTGGAAGGCGGGCAAGAAATTTGAATAATTAAATCAAGATGAGTGCGATTCCTTTTATGGTGCAGCAATAAGGCAAACTCAGTTTCGTTTTATTCTAGTTATGTGGTCTATAAGATTAACCTTTACTTAACTTAGTTGGGAGAGCTACACATACTGTCTAAGAGGGTGAGCAAAAATGGATTTGGGGTCCGAAACCGGCCATTTTAGAGGGTAAAGTACTTCAAAGAAAAGACTAAGGGTAGTTTCATCTCATCATCCCCTATACTTTTATTCTCGAAAAGTACAAACGGAAAACGATACATCAAACATGAAATACTTTAGCAAGGCAGGAATTTAAGCCCATCAAGTCAATCAACTATTCTGCCCCCCAATTCCCCGACGCCCCCCACTGTGCGGCTCTTCGGTATGGCACACATTTTGCATACCGAATGGTTTATTTGGCGGCAGAATTATCAAAGAAAGAAGAATTGAAGATTTACAGGGGGGATAAAGAGGGGACGATGAAAGCCGAAAGCCATTAAACAGGCGCACAGGGAAATATGCGCAATAATATTAAATAATAAAACTACACACTATACACTACTAACTAACTACTGCCACTGTACTGATTCATTCGGTTTAATGAACGCCGCTTTGTTTTGTTGTTTTCTTGTTTTGCTGCCTGGCTTTACGAGTTGTCTTTGCCGCGAGATGATGATTATGTAAATTGTAGAAAAGTAAAAGGGAAACTAAATACGGGCGCATGCAGTGTGGAATTGTGTTGTGTTTCTGTTTCCAGTGTTTTCGGAGTCGTGTAAAACAATCGAGCGTGCAGATATTATTGTATTTTCCTTAATGGGCGTGCAGCCGAACTGCGGTGATTAATTATGCTGCGGTGAAATGGAAATGGAAGTGGTCGAAAATAGTTATCAATTAGGCGTGCCACAATCACTTGCAGCAGCGGGAAAACGGGAAAGAAAACATTGAGCAGTGCGTTTTCCAACTGATAAAGGAGCACCCACACACGCACGCAAACACACGGTGACACCCTCACTACTGCGCAGACGCATTCTGATTGGGACCTTTATTGATTTTTCCTGCGGAAGGAATCAGCAGGGAAACAGGAATTTCGCAGATAGCCCATAAACACACAAATTTATCACTTAAATCTCCAACATACACACACTTCTGCTATATAAGGTTTTAGCTTATGTATTCAGTAAACATTCCGCGTTTATTGTCACGCCAAAAAAGAACATTTCCAATTGGAAGAGGCAGCGACAAAACTCCCACACACACAGGCAGATTCTCCAACTGGCGTACCTTGACTAAAACAGTTTCTCCTCTTTTTTTCGCCCACCAGATGACACATATCACTTTGTTTACCCACAGATATCAACTATTTGAGTTCTGGGTTCATTTCGCGACAAAACAAATAGGAATCGCGCCCGAAAGTCCGCTTATCAACAAAATCGCGACCAACCGCGGCGAGTTGTGTGACCGTTGTGAAAAATCTAGTTGAAAAACAAGGGTGTGCCCGTCTTCTTGTTCATTCGAAAACACCTTACAATTACTATTGGGCAGTTACATTACAGAATGTCGAGAACAGAAAAGAATAAAATTTAAAAAATATTTTTGATTTTCTACAACAGAACATACTGTCTTTGCTTTTATGAAAAATGTACAACAAAATGCACTTTAAAGGAATATATTGGCACTTGACTATAAAGTTGTCTGGATCGAAGCCAAGGTGCTATAATTTAGCCGTGTTTCAAACCAACTTTCGACCAATTGGAGACTTCAACCAATGACAATGAGAATTAAAAACCTTGCTGGATTTTTTAGTTTGAATTTAACGCTAGCTGGGAGAAAGCCATATCTCCGACTGGTAACTCTAATTGGACAGCTGAGCGCCAAGGAGAGTACTTTGTTGTTGCTGCGCCCGGGAAGCTGCCAACGGAAAAATCGAAAAGCAATAGAACGCAAAAACCAAACAAAACGGTCGCGAGTGCGCGACGAGCTAACAACAATTGGCGGAGCCAAAAGTCAAACCGCTAAAATTTGCAAAGTGAAAAATCCAATTGGAAGTGCAGATGCGAGTCCGAAATTCGTATTGATTTTCTTGTTTGTGTGTGCGCGGGTCCGTGAAAAACGCAACAAAAGCAAAAGCAACCACTTCCAGACTCCCCAATCAGCCACTTCCTTTTTCTCCACCTAGCGGTAATCGTCGCCAATTGGAAGCGCGATCTTTGCCTTCCAGTGGCAGCAACAACAAAAGCAGTAGAAAAACAACAACAATGTAGACAAGTGCAAGTGTCGTTGTGCGTAGTTGTAGTTATTAAACAAGATAAAGTGGAGGAGAGCGAGATAGAGACAACAACAAAAGCGAAAGTTTTATTGCGTGCGCTTGTGTGTGTGTATGTATGTGTGCTGTGCGAAAAATGGTGGATAAATATAGGCAATAATAAATGCAAATTCAAATGCAAATGCAAATCTTTGCCAATAAAAAGGGTGTTTCTGCCGCAATAACTGGATAAAATACGTAAATGCAGGGAGTGGCCGGCTGAGTTGGATTTTTTCGGCAAAACCTGAAGCTCTGAAAACAGCAGCGACAAAATGTGGATACCTTCGAATAACAAATACGGAGTCGGTGAGTAAATAAACGAAATGTACCACCCACTTTTCCAGCGCACCCTGCCTCCCACCTTCCACCACCCCCCGCCCCCCGCTGGGCGTCACGTGCGTGGCCTTTGTTTTTATTGTTGCCTTTTGCGGCGATTCACGCTTTTTTCCGCGAAACGCCGGATACCAAACCGAATACCCACCCAACCACCCCCGCACTTTTGGGCGGACAGCAGGGAGGAAAAGCGATTTTTCTACTTATTTTCGTACACAAACTGTTTGTAGCATCATCATCCCCCAGTCCACCGCCCCCCTGCACCCCCTTTTCCTTTCCACCCAGCGTGTATCTCAAAGAGACTTCTCTGTTTGTTGCTGCTGCCGTGCTGCGATTTGATGTGTTTATACACACAGCTTTCCCCGCTCGCACTTTTCCGCACAGCGCTCTTCTGTCTTCTGTCGCGCTGCCAATTTCCCGGCCAGGTGCTGCCAATTTAAATGCTTTCGTAATTACACACCTAAAAAAATATATCTTTTGTATTTTTTAGTTATATTATATAGGATTGTTTAGTATAGTAAACATATGGAATGGAAAATTATAACTCTTGCAATCAAATATATATATTTTCAAGAATTCTGTTGTTTTTGTTTTCATTTTCTGTCTTTAGATTTTTCTCATTTTAAAGATGAAGATACATAGTTATCTCTTTTTTGCTGCACAGCTAGTTGGCAAAGTGGCTATATCTTAACCGCCGTAGAAAATCGCGTTGCGTGTTTTGATAACACACTTGCGGACAATTCAAGTAGATCTTGGAGTTCTTTGTGCCCACTCAGTCGCTCCTCTCCAGCTGGATTTCCACATTATCTCCGCATTCGTCACACTTCCCGCTTCAATGGCAGCGCTTAACAAATTGCAGAGGGGGCGGGGCAGGGAAGTTGGAGAACAAAATAAAACAAAACGAGTGAATGAAATAAAAGACCGAACGACAGCATCTTCAGAAGCAGACTCTGTGCCAAGTTTTATTCATTGTGCCGCTTCAATGGTCTCCGCCCAGATAAGCACCAATTTTTATTGTTGTTGAGGAAGGCAATTTGTATACACTTAAAGGCTTAAAAATTCAATCCACAGTATGTCAGATTTAAAATAATACAAATTATTATAACTAAACCATTGGTTTTAATAGTATCTTTAGTACTTTTGAAGTAATCGGAGGTTTGGCAGGGTATCTGACATTCGGTGATGAAGTTTCTTGTGGCTCCACTGCTGAGCTGCTTCTGCTCCAGTTTCCCAGCTTTTGCCGCTGCTCGCTGATGTTTGCCCCCCATTTAACCCGCCAAAGATTGACATGACAGCGGTCAGAGTTTACACAAATCAATCAGTCACTCGGCGAACGGCGATCCATTCTAGTTGAACATCATTAGCGATTCGAGGCGCTGTCAAGCCAACGCCCTAACCTTGCACAATTACCAGTTCCCAGTGCCCATTTCCCAGTTCCTCCCCCTTTTGTCACCGCCTCCTTGAGGTCCTTGTGCCGCTCCTCTTTCATCCTGTCTTTCATCCTGCAGCGCCACGTGCTGGCCAACTGCAACTGCTGGGCAATGACTTCATTACCATCGCACTCTTTGTCTCCTTTTCAAGTAATCATTACCGCTGCGGAAAATACAGTCTGCCATCGGTAATCAAAAACCACCATCTGTCACTTAGAGAAATATATAATAGAAATTTTCATTGATCAAACCACAATTTCGTTTATAAAATTCTTCAGAGGAGAAACCACCCCCCAACATTAGTTACCATTTGCGGTATTTCATGTTCCCTTAAGAGTCTTGCTAATCTTCTCCTGCAAAGTCTTCTTTACCCAGGTCCAACTGTAGTTATTGCCCTCGATTGCGCAGTGAGTCGAGTGCACAATGGTGACAATTTGCGGAGCAACCCTCGTGGATCTGGGCCCGTCCATGCGGGTCACTTCCACTCGGGAGTTGCAAACTTAGATTCGAAGCCGAAACTTTACGCAACTTTAGCCAAAAAATCAAAATGAATCTGTGAAGGGAGGGGAGGGAAGGGAGGGGCGGAGGAGGGGACTGTGGACCGGATGTTGCCGCTCCGTCTCCCCGACTTTTCTACGTTCCGACTTTCCGTATTTCTGCCTGGCTGTCTGCCTTTCCAGCGAATTCCGCTGTCGCTGCGGCAATTTCAGTTTCAACTTTAATTTAATATTCATTTTATGCATTTGGCCAGTGGAGCCGCGCACAAATTTGTGCAGCGCTTCCTTCCTCCAGAACGCACAACATACACACTCTACACTCAACCACACACATGAGTGCGCATAAAATTGATTCATTCCCATTGTTTAATATGCTGGGCGGCAAGGGTTTCTCTGATTCGAGCTGTGCGTACGAGGCACTCGTCCATTTGAGCTGTACTTCCATAACTCGTCTTTAACGATTTATTTATGAATTGCCATTTGTGGGACACGCGGCGTATGATTAACAGCCCGCGCACACGCACACTCCACTCGAAATTTATCGGGGAATCGCATCGCATTTGGGCGCATTATCGGTCACATTTCCGGAAGGACGGACGGTTTCCCCATCCGCCGGCTGATTTACTCGTATGTTAATGCAGGCATTGTGGAGGGCTCGTCTAGTAGAGCCTGGGGATGTCCCCCATTAGGAAGTTCGATGAGCCCCGAAAGATAAGGAGTTACCTGTCCCGCAAAGTGATTAAATACGCCAGCGTAAATACACTGTACAAATAGTTATGAAGGTCTTCCGGTGGAGCCCCAAAAAGGGGGAGCATTGATGGGAAACTGGCGTTAGCAGTTGTCGCTTATCGATCGATATATGTAAGTGGATATAAGTGGGGGCTTACGAATTAAATATCCGAAATGAGCAAACAAAGTTACAGCGCTAAATGCGCGCCATGTGGATTTTAAATGCTCATTTACATGCGAAAACAAAATGCAAACAGTGACAAAAAACAAACAAGTGTGCAAGCACTCAATTGAGTGGCACATATGAAATGCTTTTAATTACAGCAATGCCAGCCACATCGGGAGATACAAAATGCATATAATAAGCAAATATTTTCAGACCCGCCAGCACGAACACATACTCATTCCCCAACTGATGTCACTAACTCGCAATTATAATAAAATCCACTTGACAATGGAGGAAAGTCCGCTTTGTTCGGCCGGAGTTCGCTCTCCGAGCGGAGTGAATGCCACAGCAGCATCCATTCGGGCAACTCTATTATTCAGACAGCGCCAGTGATAATGACATCTGATTGACATTTGGGTCATGCTTCCTCCTGCGGACAGCTTTCGAGTGGTTCCGCTAAGCAAACTAAAGCAAAAGGGTGTTATGCCCTCTATATACACGTTTCACTTTGATTTGCATTTGAAATGTAGGTATTGCACACTTGCATTGACTGCGATTTTCATTGGTTGCGAGATTAACTTGGTCATAAATGAGACAAGTGGGGCAAATATGGTAATATAGTATAACAAATACATTCAATTTATAGTGGCATTTTGTCGTCATATGCACTTCACCGTATAAATCCACATAAACTGACTATCTTTATTGTCTGCCTTATCGGTTTTATATATGTAGATTGCAATGTTATAGATCATAAACTTGCTAATAGTTCACGGCACAAACTCAAGCTAATATACAGCTTATAAATCAATCAACCAATTAATTAACCACTTTCGAACACGTTTGCTTTGGTAGTCAAATTTCGAATTAAAATATTTTCCGGACGACTTTCTAAAACAACCTTTAAATAACTTTTAAACAGAGCATGTGTCATAAGTACTCCGCTTTAGAATATTTAGTAGTACGAGAATCGTTACCTGCGAATGCGATAATTAAGTTTTTGTCCCCCAGAGGAGCTATAACCCTATAACCCCAGCCGATTCAAAGCTAATTTTAGTGGGTTTGGGCCAGCCACTTGACCCACATTCGGGCGGTTTCCCTTTCCGCGGTCGGCGGGTTCCGCACTTTGCTGGCGACCTCATATTGTTGGTTATAACACAATTAATTAATTAAATTCTTAAGCCTCCCCGGCGGCACTCGAGTGCCGTGGCGGCTGAGGCGGATGCGGATGCGAATGCGGATACGCGGGGGGGTCAAGTGCGAAGATGGCCCCCTCGGGGGGCTAACCACCACGCCCCTGCAGTCGGCCAGCTCATTCAATCCATTTGCAGTGGGGCTTCTACTGAGGCTCGCCAGCAGCGAGTAGTGCAGGCAGCTCTTTCATTTAATTTAAAATTATTTCCCCCACTTTCCCCTTTTCCCCCTTTCCATCTGGCATGCACTTGCCTTAACGACTTTTTTATTTAAATACGTTTGTTGACATTGCGGACTTGTTGGAGTGAGCTTTGTGTGCTCCGTTCCGCTCCTCCTTCGGGGTGGATACAGTCCCAGCGCTTCCCCTTTGGCCTTTGTGCGAGGGCAAACAAAAGGAGTGATGTAAGCCGAGCCTTTTGGGATATTGCATTCATCGTAAAAGTAATTATGCGGCTCAGCCCTGCGATGATCCTGCCAATTTCCACTGCCACTTCAAGACAACTTTGCGAAGTTTAATATTAAATTTCCCTAAGTCTGCTAAATGCTCATTATAATTATGTGTGCACGCAGAGAAAAGTTTGATTATGCTGCACATTAACCCTTTTGTTTGGGATATACACACTGTTTATTTAGGCAGCTATTAAGCACTTCTTAATCATTTTGCTGAGATTGCTTAAATTAGTTTGAGCTGGCAATCAAAGATTTCACAGTCCCTCCGATCTGAGCTTAAGGAAATGCGTTCCCCTAATGGCTATGACTTTTTTGTCAGTGTACTCGAGAGGGTTTTTCCAGTTGGCTGTGAGTTTTAGCTGCTTGCCAGGCCGACGCCTGCCTAATGTGACTGACCTAAATAGTGCAAACGCTTGGCTGGCATTTTGCCTACTACGCTGCGGAATCCAGGATGTGTGCAAAAGTACACTCAAGAAAATGTGTTATAAGGAACCCAAAAAATATATTAAATTTTCCATTAGAGAGGGCATAGATTGAGTATCTGAAAAAGAGGAAAGAAGTTGGGTTTTATTTTCATAATGCTGAGCTATTGCTTCCCTCTTCAACTCAAGTACCCTTTAAAAGTATTGATCCTTTTTGGAGTAGGAAACACTGGACTATTTTCTGAGTGCCAAAGCATGTGTGTGTGTGAGAGTGTGTGTGTGTGTGCTCATTTGGCGGAGTGTTTGCCCGCGCCGGCTGAAGTGCCAAGAGCGGAGGTCTTCAACTGGCGTTTTAAATTATAAAATACTTGCTATTTAGCATCTCCAGAATTCATTTAAATCAGGCTGCCGCATTCGCGGCGAGTGGCGCAAATTGAAGCCAGTTAGCTACAGCTGAAATAAAGACGAGGGACTCTGGCAAAGGCAAAAGCAAAAGCAGCAGCTCCATAAAGCACTCACAGCAGCAACAGCAACAGCTACGACAGCAGCAACATCTACAGCAGCAACAGCAACAGCAACAGCTACAGTAGCAACAACAGGAAGCAGTTTGCCCATTTTCATGGCACTGAAGCATTTCATTTACATCTCCCCTCCCGAATCCCCTTTTCAGTCTTTCTGACTCTCTGTCTGAATGTCTCTCCGTCTGAATGTCTGTCTGTCTGGGCGTGCGTTTTATTAGCTCCTTTCGTTGATATGCTCATGCCGTGCTCGCTCGTTTGTCTTTCAACAGGGGAGCCCACATACACACACACACTTACATTTACTGCCAGATCCACCCAGCCCCACAGACACCACCTCCGCCACCTCCACCACCAGAATCAGCAGCAGAGCCCGCAGAACCGGCAGAAGCACCACCACCGCCATCAGCACCACCCCATCGCTGCCGGGTTCCTCTTCTTGCGGCGCCTCCCAGACTAGAGTGTGTGTGCCTTGCATTTGTAATTGAAACACGGCGAAAAATCGGACGGGCTTGTCCGGAATGTGAATTAGCCACACGAACTTTGATATCAGCGATGATAGTGGGGAAACTCACTGATTCATCAACTTACCTACTAGTACTTACATTTGGTTTCTTATCATATTATTTGTCTTACGAAGAAAACTTTTCTAATCAATGTATCGATTACCCAAGGTTAGGTTACCGACTTCTTAATCTGTATTAACAAAAAGTGTAGAATGTAGTGAAGCACAACTAAATCATGAACAGAAATACCTAAAATATTTTCCTTCATTCAAAATATGAATGTGCGAAGTACGAAGACGGAGTTCAGTAACCTCTTCAGAAAAATATAATTGAAATTCCAGATGGCTTGTTTTTCCCAATCGAACATTTATTGTCCCGAGACCAAAACCAAAGTTGGCAGTGTAATCGTTACCATATCCATATCCAGCATTGCGGATACATGCAGCAGCTTTCTCAGCCGGCGATGTGGCTCCCGTTTTCGAGCCCGGATCGGAGTTATGGTGGCTCCCACTTGGTTTGCTGGATCCCTGTGTTCCCAAAGTGTTCGATTGCTTTGGCATTGTTCCGTTCTCGATAAAGGGACACCCCCATCACCATCACACGAACCACACTCGCCTGGCTCCATAAAAACACGCCCGGGTGCATATATTTTCTTTTCATAGCCATTTGCCTATTTATAGTTGAAGTATTTATTGTTGCCGGGCCACTCGTGGCATGCTCAAGTGGCCACTCGTGGGGGCACTTTAATTGCCACGCCGTCCATCCTGGGGCAATGTCATGGCCAAGAAGTGCGGCGCAACTGGTTGTAATCCTCCGCTGCTAAATCTTAACTTTTCCTGCTCTCATTTCGTTTTCCCTCTCTGTTCCCCCAAACAGCCATCCACAATTGGCATGGCGATGTCCGGTTCGGCTTGGCACTCGACGTCGGCGACTCCGTGGACATTGTGGAGGAGTGCAAGTTCTGGTACCGCGGCTCCTGTCCCCGAAAGTCCCGGACGGTGGGCCTCTTCCCCAAAACCTACATACACATCAAGGACCTGTCCAAAATCGATCCCGTGGTCGCCGAGTGCACCCAAGTCCTGCGAGAATGGTCCGAGATCTGGAAGCGCCTCTACGTGGTAAGTTGATTAAACACCCCTAAGAAATATAAAGCTAAATAAATCCAAATCCCTTTTTTAGGATCGCGAGGCTTACAAGTTCCAAACCCTGCGCAAAGTAATGTTTTCCATATTGGAAAGTCGGAGGGAGCTGCTGAGTGCCACCATGACCCAGGACCAAACCCTGGAGCTCCAGATGATGGTGGTTTCGAAAATCGACTGGGGTAACCGGTAAGTTGATCGCTATTCATTATGATTTCCCAACAAGCCAAGCTTGAGTGCGTTGTTGGAGTTCTGCTTTGTTGAAAAGCATTCCCACGAAGTTATGAATGCCGACTGCGTAGTACTACAGTCGTAATTCAATGCCCTTGCTAAAACAATAGAAATTCCAATCTTTGTTGTTACGAATATAAACACAACCGTTTCCCGCCATTGATAAGACCGGAGTTTAGCTGAAATTGTATATAGAATATTTATTACAACTTTGAACTTAGATAGCTTGGGTTCTCTTTTGCTTTATGTAAAATGTGTTCTTTTCTAGCAATAATCACAATAATTTTGTTATAAACAAAATTCCTTAAAATTACGATATATCTGTAGACTAAATGTTAGGACAAAAATAGCGAGAGCATCGTGTATACGTATACTCGATTAAATATTCGTAATTATATCCTCGTCGTACTCGTATCATTCGATTACTACAATTTTATATAGATCAACGTTTCGTGAGCGTGCGTGAGCGATAAGCAGATATAGCTGCATAGGTTTTCTTCCCGGATCGGATCGGATCGGTCATCCGAACTAACTGTTAAACTTAAGTGTATATTTAAATGGCGCATCATTGTCATCGACCCACCTACGATACCCAGTAGCCAAATCGCAAATGGGATCCTTCATACTCCATACTCCATCCTCCAACCTTCAAATCCTCAACCTACAAATTGCACGGTCTTCCTGTGTCCCTCTTTATAGTTTCCCCTCTCCTCAATGGGGTATCCCCAACTCATTCTCACTCTGTGGCACTCACTCTGTACTGCACTCGTGTCACCGACGAACTGCACCTGCTCTCCTGGGATTCAATTCAAAGATTACTTCCTTACAATTTCGCTAGATATATATTTCGCATAGAACATACAGAGCTGGATCTCCGCTGATTCGTGATTCGTCCTCCTGCAGTCCTGCGCTTACAAATGGAAATGCCTAAACTCATGACACACAACTCTCTCCACTCCTCTCTCCACTCCTCTCCTCACCTCCCTACCTCCCCTACGAATATTATTGAGAAATCATTGAAATCATTGTTTTGGAAGCCAGCCGGAGCGGTGGGCTCATGTCTCCGTCTCCTTGCCGCCGCCGAAGCTCTCCACCGGTGGGTAGATCGGGTGGCTGATGGGGTTCATCTCGAGGGTCGAGGGGGCCGAGGGGGGTTCGGGAGGCTCCGAGCAGGCTGCAGAGCTGCTGCAGCATGTCGCTGTACGACCTTGTGCTGAGGTTCTGGCTGAGGAAGTGCAAGATGAGGAAGTCACCAATCTGCGGGATAGAAAATGATGGTTAGAATCGGTTTAGAGGGGATAACCAAGAGTAACTTATACCTCCAAACGCCTGACCAATCCGGCGATCTCCTTGCGCTGTCCTGAGCGATAGGACCGCTTGATGATGGTCTCCCGGGTGGTGGGCATCATGATAACCACCAGCGAATACAGCACAGCCACTCCCGAGATGGTGGCCAAAATAATAAACCAGAACCTGTTAGGTAATCAAAAATCATTGAAGATCTATTCAAAGAAATGGGTTCAAGCTCTTGAACTCACCATAGGAAAATGTAGATCTTCTCGTTCAAAATATTCAGAGCGAGCACACAGAGCGTGTCGTGCTTCTGGATCGATCCACTGGGACCGAACTTGTGGAAGGTGCACTTGGTCAGTCGCGGGAAGATCTCGATCATGGGATCGTAGCGCTTGTCCTGGTCCATGTTCGAAAACTTGACCACGTCCGTTCCGTAGGACATGAAAGCACCGCCCAGGAACTTATCCACCATGAAGATGTTCACAATCACATTGACGAAGTTCAGCAGCTCGCAGAAGAAGTAGGCGAACGAGTAGCCGTTGTGGGTGTTCAGGCTGCTCACGAAGTACTTGAGGATCCGGTCCTGGCGATCCCGCCGATAGTCGTCCGGCACACTGACCATGCCGCGCAGCCCATCGGTGATCATGCGGATCTTGCCGTCCTCCATGTTCTTCCAGACCCAGTGGGGCACATAGAACATGAGACCCTGCAACACAGTAAACAGATTTGTTTAGTCGGAAGTGGAAATTACATTAATAGACACTAGACCGCCTTGCTTTAAGTGAGCAATAGTTTCTGTGTCTAGAGTTCAATTAAGTCCACTTAATCTTACACAAGATGGTTATTTTACCAGTCTCATTTGATCATCTTCGTGATAATTGGAAAATCGTGTGGAATATAAGATCTGCTTACATTGTTACTAATTCAATTTAAAAGCTGTTTTAAGCATGAAGATAATCTTTTGAAAAACATTAGGATGTTTTAATGTATTCTATCTGTTTAGTTGTTTCTGCTATCTTATCACTTTTTGGTCGTGTAAACTCACCTGGAAGAAGAGCACGAAGGGCACCCATTGGTAGTAGCTGTGGTAGCGCTTCTCTTGGCCGTACTCGTTGCCCAGGCCCGGAGCAGCCACGTCCGTCCCGATCTGGCGGTGCTGCTGGCCAGGTATCGTGAACGTGTAGGTGATCCAGCAGAACGTGTTGATCACGTGCATCGGAATGGAGCCGTCGTTGATGCAACTGATGGGATCGCCTGCAAGCGCAAAGATAAATACAATTTGTAGATATGCACTCGACCTCGCCGCAATTCGAATTCCTCGCCGGCAACCTCGCAGGCGAGCCGTTCGTCAACGTCAAGTGCCATTAGGGCAATCTCTGGTCCCGGCTCCCCAGCTCCCCAGCTCTCCATCTCCCCAATCCCAATTTGTCGGCTTGTGGGTGCGGTTTTTCTACGGTTACATTTATTACGGTTGCAGGTCGCTATACTCGTACTCGTGTAGACGACGTGCCTAGGCAGACTTGCAACATTCAAGCGGGCGGACAGATAGACGGACGGACGGAGAGAGACTTTTTGGGTGCGCCCCAACTTCAACATCAACTCTGCCTTTCCCTCTGTTTTGGGCAAACAAAGTGGCTACAAATGGAGCTGCAGACGGAGGAAAAGAGGGTGGAGAGGGGAATTCCCAGAACCAACCGTCAATATTTGACTGTGGTTCTGTCAGATGTTCACTTTTAGAGCACTTCTTTTAATGCACAAATATTTGGCTCGAAGCTGGGCGGCTGTGCGGTTGCCTAGACTTCGGGTTGAAGTTTCATGAAATCAGTATTAAAGCCATCTGCTCTAAACTTGTTACCTTAACCAAATGTTAGGTAACCATGCCTGCTTTACTATTATTTACAGCTTTTGAGCTCTTCATGAGTTCTTAATTTGCGAATCGCTAGTTGGGAAGTCTAATTATCACCTTTTTATGCTGGAAATAGCAACATTCTTTTCTTAAAGCCCAATTGTGAGTGCGTGGGAACGCAAAATCACATTTATTTCGAGTATCATTATGTAAAGCACCTCAGTGATACATTGATTTTCACGGCTCTTTCGAACGAATCGCAGGTTACCTCCCGCAGCGACCGAGTTATGAGTCATTTGAATAAATGGCTTTGGATGAAATCCGATCAACGTGCTGCGGTCAATTTGTGAAAGCTATGCACGAGCTACTTTTCTTTATGTTTCGATGAGTCGGATTGTGTGTGGCTTGCACTTTAGTGCTGCATTAGCAGCCGTGTTGCAATTGCTTGAGCAAACTGGGCTAATCGGGTGCTAAACACTTGCAGGGCTGCACTAATTTCGGATAGTGGGCGGGTGCTAACTTACCGATCAGATTGTTCGCGGTGACGATGATGCAACAGGTGAACAGAATGGCGGTCGTGATCCTGTAGTGGCAGCGGAACACCATGTTGTCGATGACCGCCTTGTCCAGCAGATAGCGGATCTTAACGAAGCCGGACACGGCCGAGACCATGCCAAAGACCGCCATGTTGATGGTTGCTGTTGGTGTTGATGTGCTGCTGCAACGAAGCTAACTGCAAGTGGACAAGCGAAGAGTAATTGGATGAGAACGGGTGCACTGAGAGAAATTGATAGTTGGGAGATGTTATTCCCAAGGGGTAAAGACTCTTTTATATATAACACCCTTTGATAGGATTGTAGTCTTCCTAGTTGAATGCTAATAAAGGATATAGGGAATATCCTGTGGGAATATGGGATGCTTAGCAAGCTCCCTTTTTCCGAGTGCACTGCCATCGCTCTTTCTTTTGCCATACTTAATTGTGCGCTGTGTTTGCCTTGTGCGTTATCTAGGACAGACATGACATATTCCAAATTATTTCACCACTGCTCATACATATAGGAACGAACTTCCTCCCCACTCCCAATCTCTGGGTACTGAAAGTGCCCTCCCATCGTTAGTTTCGTTCGTTCGGTTTTTGTGCTCCAGGGTTCTCGGCGTTATCGTCGACAAGCCGCACTTACAATTAAGTAAGTGCTCGGGCAGTGCCGGAATCGGAATTGTTTGTAGGAGCATAGCTCCACGGCGGGTTGTGCAATCTAATCTAATCTGAGCTAAGCTGGCCAGGTTGAATGCCCTCCCCTCCAGGCCCCCAAAATATGTACGTTTCGCTCGGTGCCAACAAGTTGGGTTCATCTCAAGAACTCGGCTCTCAGAACCGGTACAGCGCTTTTTGTCAACCCACGCATAAATTTCACTTTGTCCCCAGTCCAAACCTCTTGAGGTTTTGTTTTCTTTTTCCCAGCTTTTGGTGCTTTGTGGATTTCGATTCGGTTTTCGGCTTTCTGCTTTTGGTTTTCGGTTATTCGGCTATGGATCAGGTTCTGGCTGGCTTTCTTCTTGGCTCTTTTGTTTATATGCAAATTTTTTGGTGGGCTTTATTGTGTGTTTTATGTGTGTGTTTTGGCTGTATTTCATTTCGGCACGACAGATCGAATAACTCCGTCAGTAACTCTGAGAGCAACGCACACACACGCAGCGAGCATAATGCATGTACCATACACCATATAGTCGTCTCTGTCGCTCGCAGGCGAGCAGCAATTAAAGTCGCAAAGTATCTGTATCTGCGCAACGGCAGCTACTCCTTTTAAATGCATCAGCTTCTGCATTGAACATTCAATCTTACCACGCACACACACACACAGGCACCTGGCACACAGAAACACACACAGAGGAACACACACACAGGAACACACACGAGCACTTCATTTCAACCCAACTTCAATTCTTGCCTCTTTTCTTTCAATAAATTTTTTTCTTTTTCGAAAAAGACAAAAAAGAAACTGGTTTTAAGGTATTTTCTTTTTGGGAGCGGAGCGGGCGCGATCGGATCGGATCGGTTGTTGCCACTGTTCTCTCTCATTTGTTGTTTGTTCGTTTTCCTTGGGCCGACTTCTTTCGGTCTGAAGGTGTTGCTACCAAGATTGGCAGCAACCTGCCAGTTGGCCAGAACCGAATGCGACGACCCCTTCGCACACTTAAGTGATTCTTTTGCTCCTGCCGAAGTTCAGTTTTAGAAGTCGTATATTTTAGAGCTCCCCGCTCGCATTTAAATTTATTGCTGCCACTTTTTTTGACACTTTGCAAACTCGTTTTCTCGTTTCGCTGCTTGTATTTATTATTTCTGGCTAGCCCCTGTGTGTTTTTTGTTACTTTTGCTGAAACGTTGTTGCAGATCCGAGATTTCTATTATACACAAGTACACACACAGATACACTCGCACACCCATCCAGCCAGCCCGCACACACACACACACAATCTGGCAGAGAGACTCAGCTGGGAGCTGGAACTGCATTCGTAACTGCACTCCGCGGTGGTGGTGTGCGTGCCGCTTGGTGGTTGTGGCCCAGTGGTGCTGAGCTGAGATTTAAGTGGTGCCCATACCGTATCCGTATCTCGAGACTCGAAAGTGGGCAGCTGCTCTCAGCGGCGTTCAAAAACCTACTGACGGCGTCGCCAGATTTCGAGAGCCAGCCGCCTCGCGGTTCCGATCGGAGCCACTCTCTCGCCTTTGTTCCCTCTCGATCTCGAACTAGTTCTCGGTTCCCAGCTCCCAGTTCGCGGGTCGAAGTAACGCTCAAGCTGCATTCGCGCACCACCATTACCTTTTACCTGAGACCCGGCGTTACCTGTAGACCAAGACCGAGACCCACCCAGCCACCTCGGGTCACTTAGGTAGTCCTCACTCCGGTAACCTTCCGATTTTCCCTCTATCTTTAACGGACTTGAGAACAGCAAACTGAAACCATCTGGACTGAAAATCTGTAAATCTGTAAATCCATTGATTAGTTGGGTATCTAGGATGAGCTGACGATTTTATTGCTTTCTACAACTCTATCAACTAGATCTGAAAATCAGATTAAACTACTGGTAAAAGAGAGGAAAAGTCAGAGTCGAAGTCATTCGGGCGAAACAATGATATTGATACACAAAGGGCCAGATCTGGAACACCATATAAAAGACTTACGAAACAAAAGATTACCCGAAAATAGAGAAAAGCGATCGAAAAATAAAGAATATCCTATGGTTTCTTAAGTATATGTTATTATACTTATATTAAATTTTTTAAAGTAATATGGTATTTAAAAGAATATAAAAAAGTTTCGTAAAATATGTTATGTAAGGTATAGTGTAACTTAAAAGCAGTAAAATCTGGCAAAAAACATAGTTTAATTCCAATTTACACAAAGTTGTTCTGCAACCTAATTCCAGTTTTAATCACCTCTAAATTTATGTTTTTCTAAATCCGAAGCCAGGTAACTGAAATTAATGAGGTAGACCGCAAGTACTTCGGCTGAGTCCCTCTTGCCTCATTATAAAAACGCATTGCAATTAATTCCGCGCAACTTGAAGCTGCCTGTCCGCTTAATTTATCGTTGTTTCCACGTCCATCGAATCCTCTGCAGAGGAGAGGCCGCCAAGTGGTCTTAGGAACCCTTCCTTTTCCAGGGTTAAATGTGTCGTCGCCGATCGCACACACTCTCACTTGGGGTCCGAAAATCAAGATCCATTTGCATGCTGAGAGCTAGACAAGCAACGCCAAACTTGTTGCCAGGCATTCCTGGCCCCAGTTCCAAGTTCAAGCCTTACCCATACCCATACCATACTATGCTATACCAACTCCTTACCCCCGCCGAAAGCACCAGCTCCTCCTTCCAGCAACTCCTTGGCGGAGTGACTCAGCTCGGCGGCTTTGGCTTTTTCTTTGGTTGTGGCCTGCCTGCTGGTTCTTCGGTCTTGGCCATAATGAAATGGCATTTCGAAATGGCTGCTGCTGCCGTTCTTGGCGGTTCTGAGGCTGCTGTTTCCATGTCCTGACTCCCCACTCCGAACCCCCACTCCTCCCGCGTTGCAGTGCTTGTTGGTTTTCTGTGGCTGCCTGTGGCCTCTCGCAAGAAATGTATCTGCGAGCTACACCTTTTATAAAGACATTAAATACGAAATATATGGCATGTGTGATTGTGATATGTGCCGTGTATCTGGGCCGCTGCGAGGCGAGACCCATAGATACAATGCCATCGCAGGCAGGCTTGTTGCTGTTACTGTTGCTGTTGTTGTTGCTGTTGCTATTGCTTTTGTTTGTGGTTGACAGGCCTGCTTATCGAAGTGTAAATAATTAAATTTTTCTGTATCGTCTGTTCTCCATCTTGTTGCGTCCCCCGCACTCCCCCTCCTTCCTCCCCACTCCCCACTCCACTCTCCGTTCTGTTGTGTCACATCTTCATGGGCTTCCCAACACTTTGGGCCGGGCTTAATTAAAGGGGAATTTGTCCAGATAAGCGAGCCTTTCACCTGTTGAGCTTTGGGTCACAGCCACTTAATTAAAGGCGACTCAAGAGTTCGTTACCAGCGTGGCTACTGTTTTTGCGGGTTGCGCACGCGCTCGGCTCGGCTCATATTTGTATCCATATCCACGAGATACATTTTCGAGTCGCAGTGCTTCATTTGGTCACGTCAACTCAGAGCCACGGCTCCCGGCGTAACAGAGGTGGCCCAAACCCCACACAAACACACACACATACTCGTATATTTAACTACATATCTCTGTACAGAGAGAGGAGAGCCGAAATTCCCCAGAGATCTACGGCTTTAGTTTCTCCGCTGGTTCCGGTTCCAAAATGGAGATTCTCTCCGCTCGCCGCTCTCTCGGCTTTCGGCTCTCTCGCTCTCTGGTTTTCACCTGAGCAAGAGCCAGGCCGTTTAGGCCTCGTTAACAGCCAAACGGCTTCTACGGCCTGTTCTTCTGCTGGAGGAATCGTGAGACGCCCGGCTCTCTCGCTGCGTAAGCCAGGTAGAAGGTCCAGCGTAGCCGAGGTAGCAGCATCGTCAACGACGTCGGGCAACATATTGCTGATGACGTTGGACGGTTGCTCGCTCGTCGGCCAACGCCATGAACCTGGCCCGAACTGCCGCCCCCCTCCCTCGGCCACTCCTCCCTTCTTCTGCGCGCATGCGCCACCGGAATGCCGTGAACCCATTAGCTGTGTAGTTTTTGTGTACCTCACTCGATCTGGCTGGATCTTGGATCTCTGGTCTTGGGTCTCTGGTCTGGGCTGTAAGTAAGCAGCCGAAATTTATGCGTCATGCGATGTGTGTCCAAGATCCGTGGCCGATCATCGTCATTATGAGGCTCTCGGACTTAATCATGTAAATTCCGATCGGTAGCCGGCGAGCGAACAGCGGGCACGTACTGGCCATAGATAGTGTGAAGTTAATGATCGCCCAATCCAATCCATTTGGATGCGATCTCTGTCGATAGAACCGATTGATTCGAGTCGAAACTCGAGCTACTTTCCGAAAGTTCAGTTGATTCGTGACAGGTTCCCGGCTGCCTTGGCACTGATTCACTCGCTTTGCATGAGTGGTACAGGTTTCTCAGAACGGGGTAACTTGAGAAGCTATGTTGATAAGAATTTATGGAGCTTTAATAATAGAACTATATTGAATATAACAAATGTATAAGCATTATTTAGCATGTTTAACAATAATATTGTTTAGTAGGATGCATCTTAGGAGCAACAAACCAGATCTAGGTTAATAGTATTGTAATAATATTCCAAATACTTTCCTTACGATGACACTTATAATTATCATACATTTCAAACTTCACACCTACGAGGAGAGACCCCATGCTAAACCCAAACATTCTCGAAAACGTCTTAAAAATAAATCTCCATTCCCCCTATTAATGGGCATTCCCGGTGATTAATGATGATCGCCCAAGATGACTGACCAAATTTGTATTTAATTCTTGGCGCTCCACACGACTCCGACTCCGTTAAGCGACAATTAATTACGGATGCGTCAGTTTCCCCAAAGCTCCGATGGTTTCCCCAATAACCAACTGTATCCAGCTCCCACGATCCACTAATTGAAATGTGTCGTTCGAATCGGAACGTGACAAAGTGGCAAAGTTGTTTTAGCTGGGTGCTTCCCTCCCCTCCCCACATTGCAATCAATCAGCTTACAAATGCTTTTCGATCTCTGCAGCAAACTCGGACTGGATCTGGTGCCCAGGGAGGGACCTCTGGCGGTGGATCCACATGGCATCGGCATCGTGAAGCTCTACAATGTCCACGTGAGCAGTGCTGATAACGCCAAGGCCTCGTCGGTATGTTTTGTTTTGGAGTGTTATTCCATTGTAGTAACAACATTCGATTTGATAACCCACAGAGTCGAGGAACTTTGAGGCGGAAGACGCAGCGGAAGATTCTGACCCACCATCTCTACTTTTGCATGCGGGACTTCGGCCATCGGATAGGAGGCGATGATGCCGAGGTCTACTTTTTCCTCTACGACGGCAGCCACATGCGACCCTTGTCCGAAAGGTTTCTGGTCAAGATCTCCAAAGACGGCTTCTCCAACTACATTGAAAAGTTGCACAGCAACTGCACGGTGTTCACTGATCTGGGTAAGGATTACACTCTAAACAAGATTAATTTCTTAAATATATCTTTATCTGAATAACCTAAGGATTACACTCTAAACAAGATTAATCTCTTAAATACATCCTTATCTGAATAACTTAATTAAATGATTAAAATCTATTTCCTATTTTTAGGCGCCGCTGATCTCAACGAGGACCTCCACCTCGTGGCCGTGGTGATGCGCGTGGGCAAGATCATCCAGTCGGACTCGATCAAGAAGATCGAGAAGAGCGGCACCTTTGGCCACGGACCCACCTTTCGTCGTCCTTTCGGAGTGGGAGTGCTCTCGCTGGCCGACATCGCCCACTTCGACAGCAGCCTGGAGCAGTCCTCCGACGAGCGGGAGTACAGCTTCAAGCTGTTCCAGAGCGAGGAGAAGGACTTCCACCTGCTGCCCGAGCTTATCATCAAGAAGTCGAGTGGCAAGTACTCGCCCATCCAGACGAGTCAGGGAACCCAGGGTATAGTCGTCTCGCTGAAACTCCTCCACGGAGGACTGGGACAGGCTCGTCAGGAGCAGCCGCTGCTCTTCCAGGGATCGACGATCACCAGAAAGATGGGCTTCCCGGACGTTATCATGCCCGGGGACGTGCGCAACGACCTCTTCCTGACCTTGGAGCGTGGGGAGTTCGAGCGCGGGGGCAAGAATACGGGGAAGAACATCCTGGTGACCGTGGTGGTGCTGGACGTGACGGGCAACGTGCTCACGGACTGCTTGTGGGGAGCCTCCGGGATGGACTCGCAGCCGCAGTACCGCTCGATGATCCTGTACCACCAGAACGCGCCCAGCTGGAACGAGATGCTGCGCCTGAGCGTTCAGATCGACAAGTTCGCCACGGCGCACGTGAGGTTCGAGTTCAGGCACTGCTCCACGCGGGACAAGACGGAGCCCAAGCTGTTCGCCTTCAGCTTTGCCCGGCTGATGGACACAGGAGGAGCCACCTTGGGCGACGGCCAGCACGAGTTGTACGTGTACAAGTGCGAGGATCCCGCCAAGCTGCAGGCCTCCAACTACCTGCGCCTGCAGTGCCGTCCGAGGGACGCCCAGGCCAAGATGGACTGCGGCGGCTGCTTCAGCCGCAGCTCCAAGGAGGTGTTCGTGCTGCGCTCCCTGCTCTGCTCCACCAAGCTGACCCAGAACGCGGACCTGCTCTCGCTGCTGCAGTGGCGCACGTACCCGGAAACCATCCAGGACTCGCTGACGGGTGTGCTGCGGCTGAACGACGAGGAGCTGGTCAAGTTCCTGCAGGACGTCCTCGACGCCCTCTTCGCCATGTTCTCCAACGAGGAGGGGAACAGCACCCAGCACTCCGGCCTGGTCTTCCACGTCCTGGTGAGCATCTTCAGCCTGCTGCAGAGCAACAAGTTCCAGCACTTCCGCCCGGTGATGAACGAGTACATCGAGAACCACTTCGCGGCCGCCCTGGTGTACAAGGGGCTCATCACCTCCGTGGAGCACATGGCCGTGTTCATGACCAAGGCCGAGCACCCCGATCCCTTCCAGAAGTGCTTCGGCTCGCTGGAGTACATATTCAAGCTGCTCATCCAGTCGCGGAGGCTCTTCGCGAGGGCCACTGGCGGGCAGTACGAGGACTCGTTCCGCCGGGATCTCCATTCCCTGTTCACCGCCCTCAACGGAATGCTGGCGGTTCCCTCGTACGACGTCATCATCCCCACCCAGGAGATGCTGCTCAACTCCACGGGCGTGGTGCTGGAGCAGCTGAAGGACACGCTCCCCGCACCGGAACTGGGAATGCTGGCGAGGAACATGCTGGACGCGATTCCCCGCGGGGCTCCCATTCGGTTGATCCAGGCCAAGTTGCATGCGGTCAAGGATCTGGTTTCTGGGGAGCTGTTCCACGAGGATGGTGAGTTGGGTAATCCTTTATCTGTATCATTGTAATCTTATGAGAGTATCTACTGTAGATTCCCGGACTGTGGTTCTTTCCGTGGCCTGCAAGCACCTGAGGATGCACCTCAGTCGGCGGGACGAACTGCGCCTTTGCGCCGAGATCCTGTCGGAGATCCTCAGCCAGCTGTACGACCTGCAGAAGGAGCAGCGCGACAAGGTGACCAACACCCTGCAGCACGACCTGGACTCGCTCTGCAAGAACATTCTGGGCATCCTCATCCGCACCATCAGCATCATAATGGAGGGATCCAACGCGGTGCTGCCCCAGCTGGTTTCCTGCCTGCTGGGACTGCTGCAACTGCTGGACGAGACCCACTACAAGCGCTACTGGGACGAGCTGAGTCCCAACAAGGACCCGCGCGATCTGAAGGAGTTCCTCAGCAAGTCCCTGCTAGTCTACGACGAGCTGCTGACCCAGGACTGGCACGTCTTCCCCAACGACTGGCTGGTGATGAAGCTGGCCGCCAACGATGTGCTCCGCATGTCCTTGGAGGAGTTCGCCAAGCCGCTGGTGTACAGGTTCCTGGGACCGCAGGCCTTCGATTCGCAGCTGTGGTGGAGCTACTTCAGTCTGGCCGTCTCCTTCCTGACCCAGCCCTCGCTGCAGCTGGAGCAGTACAGGGAGCCCAAGCGCCTGAAGATCCTCCACTCGCACGGCGACATGCGGGTGCTCATGGGCTTCCAGATCCTCAGCATGTGGTCGCAGCTGGGCGAGCAGAAGCTGCACTTCATCCCCTCGATGGTGGGGCCCTTTCTGGAGGTCACCTTGGTGCCAGAGCCCGCTCTACGAAAGGCTACACTCTCCGTCTTCTACGACATGATGCAGTGCGAGCAGGTAAGCTGCCTCTAGCCTCAAGTAGCTTATAAATTAATATACTACCCTGATTATATAGGCTGCCCGAGGATCCTTCCGTTTGGTGGAGAGTGAACTGATCGATAAGCTGGACCTTCTCATCAGCGAAAACAAAGGCGACGACGAATACAGGGAGCTCTTCAGCACCATGTAAGTTGGCGAACTCTTTTTAAATAGTTATACCATCTGTATATAAATGTCTGTAAATGCCTGTAAATATTTATAACTCACTCACTTCACACTCATTGCAATCGCCATCCATAAAAAGGGAACATCTCAGCTTGGTGTAAGTTTAACTCAGAGCAATTTATCCTTTGCCTTTTGTAGATTTCTCCGCTAGACTTTATTAGTTTCCTGTATTCTTGTGTATTTATTTTGTTTGTACCTCACACTTGTGATTTAGTATTCAAGGCATTAAGTAATTCTGTATTTCTGTGGTTAGCTTGCTGGAGAAAGTGCAGATGGAGAACCCCAACTGGAAGGAGGCTGGCATTGCCTTTATCGCCTCGGTTACCCGACTTCTGGAGCGACTCCTGGATTATCGCAGTGTGATGCAGGGCGAGGAGAACCGGGACAAGCGAATGACCTGCACCGTGAACCTACTCAACTTTTACAAGAACGAAATCAATCGCAAGGAAATGTATCTTAGGTGGGTTAACTGCTGTTCTGATGAATAATATATTTTACTGATTGATGTTCCTACCCCTCAGATACATTTACAAGCTGCACAACCTGCATCTCCAGGCGGAGAACTACACTGAGGCGGGATTCACCCTCAAACTATATGCCTCCATGCTAAGTTGGGATCGGGAGACCCAGAGCTTCGCCCCCTTCGACAACAGTGGCCAGCCGGAATGGCAGCGAAAGGAGCGACTTTATCACGAGGTTATCCATCGTCAAAATCTTTTTTAATCCAAATTAAATATTATAAACCTACTCTTTAGATCCTCAAATACTTTGACAAGGGAAAGTGCTGGGAGAAGGGCATTCCCTTGTGCAAGGAACTGGCGCAGCTGTACGAAACCCGTCGCTTTGACTACAACAAGTTGAGTGAAATACTCATCCAGGAGGCCAAGTTCTTCCAGAACATCCTCACCCAACTCCGGCCGGAACCGGAGTACTTCCGAGTGGGATTCTACGGCATGGGACTGCCGCTCTTTGTCCGGGTAAATCTTGAACCCAATTATTTATTTAAGGATCACGTACTAAAAAGTGTATCCTCTACAGAACAAGCAGTTTGTCTATCGGGGATTGGAGTACGAGCGAATCGGAGCCTTCACGCAGCGCCTGCAGACGGAGTTCCCCAGCGCACAGATCCTGGGCAACAACAGTCCGCCGGACAACGCCATCCTGAACGCACCGGACCAGTTTATCCAGATCAGCAACGTGCGGCCGGTGGGCGATGCGCAGGCCCTGAAAACGGCGATGGTTCCGGTGCCGGAGAAGATAGCCAGGTTCTACGAGGTGAACGACGTGACGCGCTTCATTTACGACCGACCCGTCTACAAGGGAACGGTGGACAAGGACAACGAGTTCAAGTCGCTGTGGATCGAGCGCACCATCCTGGAGATCGCCAGTCCGCTGCCGGGCATCCTGCGCTGGTACGAGGTCAAGCAGAAGACCATGCAGGAGCTGGCGCCGGTGGAGTACGCCTGCGAGATCATCAGCAACGCGGGCAAGGAGCTCTCCGAGCTGATCGTCCAGTACAAGCGCGACCCGAAGCGCAACATCAACCCCTTCTCGATGCGGCTGCAGGGCACCATCGACGCCAACGTGATGGGTGGCATCAGCAAGTACCAGGAGGCCTTCTTCTCCGAGCAGTTCCTCAAGTCGCCGCAGGGCGCCGGCCAGCAGGCGAACGTGCAGCGGCTGAAGACGCTCATCCTGGAGCAGATCCAGATCCTGGAGCAGGCCCTCGAGCTCCACGGCCAGCTGGCCCCGAGTGGAGTCCAGCCCCTGCACAACCGCCTCCTGGAGCGCTTCTCCCAGCTCAAGCAGAGCCTCTCCGGAATGGGCAGGCTGAAGAGGCAGCACTCGGAGAGCATTGTGAACACCCCGCTTCCTCCCTTGCCCACGGAGCAGCGGGTGGCGCAGGCCTCCACCTCCTCCGGCCTGGGTGCCAGCTCCGCCACGCACTCCACAGCGCACTCCAACTACGTGTACGACCTGGATGAGATCTACACGAGACCCGGCGACACCCCGCGGCCCGTCGACCCACTGAGCTCCTACCAAACGCTGAGCAAGGAGAGCCTCAGCATTCCGCTGGAGGAAGCCGCCGCTCCGCCGGTGCCCAACCGCCCGCGCTCGCAGAACTTCGTGGGCAACGGGGCCATGGACAGTCCGGAGGTGCCTCCGAAAAGGCAGCCCACTATTAACTCCCCCAATGCTCCGCCGCTGCCTCCGAGGGGAATCACTCCCGACAAGCGGGCCTCCAACCCGCTGATCTTCAACGACTTCGGAGGCGACTCCGTGGGCCGCCGCCACTCGCAGCAGCAGCAGCAGCAGCACGGCCAGAAGTACTCCGTGGTGGACATCAGCTACGACGACCCGGAGGCCGACCAGCAGCCGCACTCGCTGCCTCCGAGCTTCCAGGACGGCCACCTGAGTGTCTGCTTCGCGCCCAACGACTTCCGGGACTCGGGCATCTCGACCACCAGCTCCCGCGAGCTGAACCACATGAATCTCAACAACCTGAGCGAGGACTCCTCCTCCATCTCGGCCATCACGGTGCAGCACCGGGAGCACTGTAGGATTAGCAGCAATGGCAGCCTGGACTACAACGCCAGCGCCTCGATGAACATTACGCAGCGCGAGAGCTCGACGAGCTCCTTCGACGTGGAGGACTTCCCGGTGCCGCCGCCGCCCATTCCACCCAAGTCCCTGGCCGTGTCCAGCAACGGGGTCGACGAGACGCACTCACCACACAGCACACAACTCAGTTACCAACACCCGAATCAGAATCTAAACCAAAATCAGAACCAGACTCAGAATCAGAATCAGAATCAGAATCAGAATCATTCCACAAACAGTCATCTTCATCTCGCCCAGCAGCAGCAGCAGCAGAATGGCGATGGCGATGGCTACAGCTCGCTGCAGCACCAGGTCAACGGACTGGGACTGGGAGCGGGATCGGGCAATCCCGCAGCTGCGCAGCCTGCTGCTGCTGAGGCGCCACTGCCAGCCATTGCCAGTCATTCATCCTCATCTGGTCACCCGCACGATGGCGGCACTTTTTGAGTTACAATATGTCGCTGCCATCACCCACCCGACCAGCCCCATCAGCCACACAAGCCATCCTCGTCCACGTCCACGTCCTCGGGCAGCACGGCCACGGACACGGGCTCCGAGACCACGGACTGCAGCTCCTCCAGCCACTCGATGACCCCGCCGCCGCCGCCTCCGCCGCCGCCCTCCTTCAGTTCCAGCCAGTTCCACCAGCAGGCGGCGGCGGCTGCCGCGGCCCACTACTGCCAGGACTGCCTCTCCTCGCCCTCGCCGCCGCCCACGATCATCACGGAGCAGGCGCAGGTGCACGCCACGCCGGGATTGGCTGCTGGGCAGCCCCACATCGAGCACTGCTCCTGCGGCCTGAGCTTCCCGGTGGGGCAGGAGCAGCCGGAGGAGCTCAGGCAGCTCTCCGGGAGGCTCTCGGGCGGGGGGATTCCAGGTGGAGCAGATGGAGCAGGCGGAGCAGGTGTCCGGCTGCCAGCACCACCACCACCACCAGCAGAGTGTCCTCTACTATCCGACGGCGGGCAGCCAGGATGCACATGCTCAGACGGACTTCTCCTATGCGCAGCGATAGAGCATCCGTAGACTGTAGACCGTAGACCCATAGACCAAAAGCAGAGTGAGATCGAATTTCGCTAGTTAGTTTATGTTTACCAATGGCTTTTGAAATGCTCCCCACTTCTACTCTAATTATTTTCGGTGCCAAATTTATGCTGCAGAGCCCAAAGCGCAAGACAAACAAGTGTTGTAATCTATAGGTTGCTTATACAATTATTAGTTTTAATATTATTTATATTCGTACGGGAATTGTCGCTAAAGTTACTAAGCAGAATAATAAGCTAAGAGAATAAAGATCGCAGTTTTGTAACGAACGAGAATATCAAACACTAAAACCAAAACACAGAACGCTAATCAAAAGAGGTCAACGCCAGACATATAATATATACACTGAGAACAAAGCAGGACACCGACGGAATGTGCAATGCAGTCTTACTTTAACGAACATATTTACACGAAATATAGACATATACGCGACTACTACATATATATGCGGAAAGCAGTTAGGAATTTTAAAGTGCTACTAGCTTCATAACGAATCAGATAAGTTTTCCATTTTTGTAAATTTTTTAAACAAACTTATATAGAGTCTTTCTATGCATATATACTTTCAGACGCGCATCAATCAAAAGCGTTAAACTCGTATTTAAACAAACTAATCATAAACTACAACTAGTCAACAACTCGAATAAACATTGATTATTACGAAGGGAAAGTAAAAAACATATTGTCTATACACATGCATGGCGAGAATATATGAATTTACTAAAGAATTTAATAAAGTATAAACAATCAAACAGTTTTCTTATCGTTTCAACTATTTAAAACTGGGTTGCCAACCTCTTCTCATCCTTCACTAAACGCCACCTTTGGGAAACACAACGCGACAGGGGAACCAAACACCACCTGGCGTTACATTTAGAATACTTCAAAATAAAAGTCGTTATCAGTTCGATTGCTCATTAAATACACTTTTAATGTTTATTAACCTTCTCAGAAAATCATTTACATTACTCGTATAATTGTCACTTAGGTCTAGCAGCAACTTTAAACTTAAAGCATTGAGTCTGCCTATAATTATTGCTTTGTCCTTTGAATTAGTTTGTTAGCTTACGTTTCACTTGGATTTGCTCTCGCTCTTCGTTCGCGGGTGGTGTAAATTATTGACACTACTAAAACGCTTTACTCATAATTGTTCGCATTGCTTGAATTAAAATAGACCGACGTTCGGGAAGTTCTATCGTATAGTTAAATCTGGTTGGTTGTACAAGGTATACCCTGAGGTATGCCCCAATGCTTAAGATCTAGGGAACTCGTACGGTAATAATATTGCGGTTTCTAATAATATTCAATACTCGGGGAGCACAATAAATACTCAAGGTTAACATTGCGCACTCAATTGACGTAAATGATATAAACCCAATTCGTACTCGACTACGTATTATGTATTATGTTCGTGATTCGTTGCAGCAGCGATTGATCGCCAGAAGATTGGATTGATTGGTTTCTTTCACACTTGTCCAACTTGAAAACGGGTCTCTAACTACGGCGACGATAGAATGGCTGAGTTGGGTTCACAACTATATAGCTATATAGCTATCCACAGACTGGAGCGGTAACTAAGCCTACGTAACCGCTAGCAACTAACAATTTGCATATCTAAAAGTTCAACTAGGAAGAGATTAGCTTATAGGTGTTCTTATTGTAGAATTCCGACGAGGTACAAAGTTATACGTACGAGTACTTGAAAATAAGATGTGTTGTCGTAAGCACAATGAGGTACACGTGTATCAACATCATTCAAATCATCGTTACCACTACTCGATATAATCGTTTACTCCTCACACATCCCCTACGGAGTACGAAACTCCGTAATCAATACCTAATACCCAGTACTTAATACCCATTGACCAGCCATTAAAGCCGACTGTTTATTCGCGAGAGTGTAGCGTGAAAATCCGAAGACTTGGTTCCGAATCCGTCTCCTGCTTTCTGTCCTTCTCCTCCTCCTCCCCGTCATCCGTCATCGTAATTATATAACCTTAATGCTTAATACCACAGTCGAAGTATGTACTATATGCAATACACACATACAGTTCGTATATGTATGGCCTAGTCCTACGCCTAGAGATACATATGCATATTGTTCCTGCAACAGCTCGCTTATCCACGCTATATATACTTAAGGAGCCCTTCTCCTCCTCACCCCATTCTCCTCGTGCTCTCATCCGGGCACCGGGGCCCGCCTCCTCCGCCAGGCGATGGGCGCGATGAGGGCGCGGATGAGGTGCGTCCGCGCCCGCCGCCTGGCCAGGATGATCCACGGCAGGGGCAGCAGCACCAGCGGCAGCAGCCAGTAGGCGGGTCATAGCTCCACGTGCCCCAGCGCCTGTTCGGTCACGTTGCCGCCCGTGTGGCACGTCTGCGTCGACATCCACTCGAAGTCCTTGATGGTCGCCTGCAACGGGAGATGTGTTAAGTAATGCACTACTTTATAACTACTTTACAACACTAATCAAACTCATCCAAAATAACATTATTTGAAAGTATAAAAAGGAATTAATTCATAAAGCATCAGGAAACGAGAAAAACCTCTATGATTAAAAATGATTATGAGAAATTGTTTAAAATGGTGTTTAATATGTATAGATGCTATAACAGATATGATTACTAATCAAGAATTTAAGGGGCACAACTAGTGTGACATTTAAAAAAAATCCGCCGTTGGAGATCGACTCTAACTTAAAAAATATTTAATTTTTTTCTTCAAAACTTTCACTGTACATTTTTAAAAAATGTATAAATATATTCTGAAAGTTTTGAAATAATTATTAAAGTAGTTTTTATACCCTTGCAGAGCAAAAGGGTATTTTAAGGAGTGAAGGAGACACCTCAGACCCCATAAAGTATATATATTCTTGATCAGCATCACGAGCAGAATCGGAATCCGCCTGTACGTCTGTCCGTCTGTCCATCTGTCCATCTGTCCGTCTGTCCGTCTGTCCGTCTGTCCGTCTGTCCGTTTCCGCGCAAACTAGTCTCTCAGTTTTGAAGCTATCGTGCTGAAACTTTCCCAAAAGTTGTGTAGTTGTTGCACGCAGTATATAAGTCGGAACGAGCCGGATCGGCTGACTATATCGGATAGCTCCAATACAAGGGAATGAAATAAAAAATTCTCACTCTGTTGTTTTTGATCAGATCGACTTGATTTCTTCTAGATGGCGTTTTCAAACAGTTTTTGAATTTCGGATTAAATTTGATCAAAATCGGATAACTCTATCATATAGCTGCCATAGGAGAGATCGAAAAATATATAGAATTAATGGAAATAAATTGATTACATCGTTGTTTTTTTATCCCACGAGCATGATTTTTTGAATATCAAGTTTTCTAACCACGTTTATATTGAGAAAAAAGTTTCATAAAAATCGGACAACTATATCTTATAGGTACCATAGGAAAGATCGAAAGATCTATATAGAAATAACGGAAATAAAATTATAATATCGTTGTTTTTTATCAGATACGCATGATTTTTGGAATATAAAGTTTTCTAACGACTCTTGAATTACGAATTAAATTTGATCAAAATCGGAAAGCTATATCATATAGCTCACATAAGATCTATAGTCGAAAATATGGAAAATGAATAGAAAAATAGTCTTAGCTTCGATGTTGTTTAGCCTTTAAGTACATATCGACATATTTGATGACTGCAAGGGTATATAAGCTTCGGCTTGCCGAAGCTAGCTTCCTTTCTTGTTTTTAATAAAAATTCCCAAAAATCACCCGTTACACTAGTTGTGCCCCTTAGGAAGTAAACCCACCTTGTGCATGGAGTACACCGCCACGACGACCAGCACGTGCATGATGTTGTGGGAGTTCAGGTAGAAGTCCACCACGCCGGGGAACCACTTCTCGGGGATCCGCATCGCTCCGATGGCGCCGCCCAGGATGGAGACGCCGTCCTGGAACAGAGGGTAAGCGAATTGTCAGGTTAGGATTGGGCGGCATTGGTTTCATGTGACCGCCGGGCAATCGATCGGCGGCTCTGTCCGTTACTCGAATGTACATATGTGTGAAAGAGTGACTTACAACTTCAACCTATGCGCACCGAGAGAGAGAGGCCAGCCAAAAACGGTACAGTACGGTTATAGATAGATAATAGCAGTTAGTCAGTTGGAAGCCCGGACATACGCACCTGCAGGTAGACATGGGAGAGGGCCATGTGGCTGCCGCCGACCATTCCCCGGATGCGCAGGAAGGTGAGGATGGAGCGCATTCCGAAGGGCAGGGCGAAGCAGAGGCGCCGCTGCCACGGCGAACTGGCGGTGAGTGCCTGGACGGGATTGGGAATAAGGGTTAAGAGATTACTTGAGGTTGCATCCTGCTCCTGGATGTCTGGAATGGCTCACCTTGTAGAGGCCCCACAGCGAGAGCACGCAGTAGGAGACGATGATCAGCCACTTGAGCACCGGTGGGAAGCAGAGGGTGGTGGCGGTCACCAGGGGCAGGGCACCTGAAAGTAGCGAAAGCAAGAGTCGGAGAGCGGAAGAGATTATCACCACCGCAGAGCACTCGGAGGTAATCAGAACGGCAGGTCCAGCTTATCGCTGGCAGCTTCAGTGAGAATCCAAATCTCGAACGCGATGGAAGTTCGTCATCCGGCTTCCGTTTGTATAATCTTGGTCGCCTTGGCCCTCGGATCGTTGGCCCTCCAGGGCGGCCACTTCAAGGAGCTGACCACGCCGCTGGGCCAGCAGATCATGCGGCTGGCCAAGTCCGCCGAGATGCGCTCCTTCATGAAGCCGGACGCGGATCCCTGCCGGGACTTCTACAGCTACGCCTGCGGCAACTTCCCCTCGATCAACAAGCACACTTCGGATGTGAGCGACCTTCTGCTCGCCGGCTACCTCCGCCGCGTGGGGCAGCTGCTCAAGGAGCCCCGCATGAGCACCGACCGGCCGATGGAGGTGCGCGTGAAGTACTTCTACGAGTCCTGCCTGGACACGGCCGCCCTGCGCCAGAACCGACGGGCCCACGTCATGCGCATCCTGCGCGAGTTCGGCGGCATGCCCGCCGTGGACGGCAAGTCCTGGGACTCAGTCGGCTTCGACGCCGTCGGCATGATGGCGCAGCTGCTCCGGCGGTACGGGAAGCTCCCCCTGGTGGGCGTCTACGTGGCCCCGGACTTCGCCAACGCGCAGATCAACCGCCTCTACATCGGCCAGCGGCGGGACTTCAAGCACGTGCTCTTCGGCCTGGGATCGGACATCACGCACAGGAAGAGCCTGCAGAGCCTGCTGGGCCTCTCCGAGGACGACGCCCACCTCACAGCCTTCGAGGCCTTCTCCCTGGAGCTGGATCTCTCGGAGAGCGCGGTCGATCCCCGGAAGGAAGAGGACCCGCGGCTTCACAACCGCCTGACCCTCCTGGCCAACATGACCGACGCCCACGGACCCGTGCTCAATCTGACCCGCTTCGTGAGCACCTGGCTGGGGCACGAGTACCACCTGCCGGTGTACGAGTCCGTGCCCAGCTACCTGGTCCAGGTGGAGAATCTGCTGCTGCAGACGCCCAACCGCATCCTGGCCAACTACATGCTCGCCTCCCTGCTGGCCGACTTTGAGATCGAGGCGGACGAGTCCTACCAGGAGCAGATCTGCGCCGCCCGGATCACCGATCTCTTCCCGGACGTGGTCGACCACATGGTGTACCACTCCCTGGAGCAGCAGAGTCCGCACTTCGCCAACGAGCTCGGCAGGCTCTGGCTGGAGCTGAAGGCCTCCTTCGAGGAGGTGCTCCGCTCCGAGGAGCTCCACTGGCTGGACGAGGCGACGCGCGGGCAGCTGCTGGAGAAACTCCAGACCATGGCCTTCGAGATAGCCGGCGGCCAGCCGGAGGACTTCGAGCAGCGCTACGGAGACCTGGTGGTCAGCTCCGCCGACTACTACGGCAATATGCAGCGGCTGCTGGAAGTGCGAGCCGCGAATCTCCGCAAGGCGCTGGTGCAGGAGTCCTGGAAGCCGAGCTACTACAACGACGGGATCGTCCACGTCCCGCTCTACCTGCCGGAGGCCAACAAGGTGGTGCTCCCGGCCAGCTTCATGCAACACCGCTACTTCTGGGACGACGTCTACCCCTCCGCCCTGAAGTACGGCTCCCTGGGCCTCTTTCTCGCCCACGAGATGGGCCACGGGTTCGACGACCGGAACCGCCTGTTCGACGCCAAGGGGAGCCTGCGGGAAAACTGGCCCCCTGCGGCCAAGACGGGCTTCGACCAGGCGAAGAGGTGCCTGGCGGATCAGATCAACAGGATCCGGTTCGAGGAAGGAGGCTACCGGACTTCGCCTTCCCACGATTCGCAGGCCGAGGAGATCGCCGACAACCTGGGCATCCGCATCGCGCAGGCGGCCTTCAGCAGGTGGCGGAAGGAGCAGCCGGATGCGGATGGCCAGGATGCGGAGAGCCAGGATGCGGAGCGCCTGCCCCACCTGTCGCTCTCCCCCGAGCAGCTCTTCTTCCTCGGCGCCGCGCAGACGGCGTGCACCAACTGGCAGCTGGCGTACCAGACGCGGGTCTACCCCATGATGGCCAACCTGCCGGCCTTCGCCGCGGCCTTCCAGTGCAGCAACAGCAGCAGGATGAATCCCTCGGTTCGATGCCAGGTGTACTGATCAATAAACAGTTCCGCTTCCCAGCGGAAACCCGCGATAACAGCGATGCTCTTTCACTATTTCCTATGTATACTATATTGTTAGACAGATAGTAGGGGATCGTACTCACCGAAGCTCTGGCTCACCCAGATGCCGACCATGTCCAGCTTGAGCAGCGTGTAGTAGACGTTCTCGCCCTTCTCGATGTTCATGAACAGGTGGTAGACGAAGCTGCCGCACCACGGGGCCACCGACCCGAAGACGTGGCAGAAGGACAGGAACTTGTAGCCACTGTCCCAGGGCATCAGGCCGGGCACGATGGCCAGGATGTAGAAGATGGGGATGGCTGAAATGGGTTCGGATTAATTGGGGATTAGTGCCACCTCTCTTATGTACAAATATACGCATTCAATTAAATAGTATTCACACACTTATGAAGGAGGAGCTTGTTCATAAATGTAAGGAGAGGAACTGAATGGCAATAAGGAATTAGCACAAGGGTTAGCGGCTAGATCAACTTGAGTCGGATTTGCCTGAGAACATATAATTAATCCCACTCACGTGATATGATCACAAAACCTATTCCCAGTGGCGGATTTACGGGGGGCTTTTTGGAGTTCAAACCCTCCCAAAAAACCCAACCTATCTCGGCCAATTTTACCGATTTGCATTTGCAGAGCGGTAAAATTGAATTGAAACTATTAGTTTATAATTGAATAATTTTACAATAATTAGATGTACTGATATAAAATGTTAATTCCCGAGATTAACATATAAATTCCACAGACTAGATTTACGCTGGAAAATTTTTTCCAGTCGAAACCCCCCCAGACTAAAATCCTAAATCCGCCGCTGCCTATTCCACAACAAAAACTCGTATGGTTTCATTTTGTGCTGCTAAAAAAATAAAAACACGACGTAGTAAATGGGGCTATAATTAGGTGGACAATACATGCGAACTAAACACCAGACAGGAGAATTAATAGTTATCTTTAATGTTTAGAAATAGGTAGTCCGATAACCTGGACACATAGTATGACATAAAAGTATGACATGAAAAGGGGGCGAACGATTAACCTTTAGGGCTTCCCTGGTGTCTTAGTTTTAGCTGCAATTGTTTATAATTGTAATTGCAATTGTTTTGAGCTCATGTGAAAAGGTACTACGTCTGGTCTGCTCTAGTTTCCACTGAACCGAACTCTTATAAAATTCTTGCGAATCGTATAAGAGGCGGCTGAGGCTCTAACGCCGAGGAGATAACGGAGTGACCTACCCCAGCTCCCTGGACATTGAATGCACGAGTCCCGCTGATAGGGTGGCCCTCAGCGATGGGGGAGCGATTGAGAATCAGTTGAACTAAACGCGACAAGATGACGAGTTGGGTGCTGCGGCTCTGCCTACTAATAGCAGCGGTCCCCTTTCTGGTTCTGGCGAAGCCATCGGACACAGGGACGACGGACCCTTCCGACGATCTGACCTCGGAGTACGCCAAGCAAATCATCCGCCAGGCGAAGGCTGCCGAGATGCTGGGATTTATGAGTCCGGGAACGGCGCCCTGCGACGACTTCTACACCTACGCCTGCGGCAACTGGCACCGCCACAATCCTGCCCAGGTGCTGGGCAGTCTCGAGACGGACGCCTTCCGGCTGTTCTCCCAGGGATTGGACAGGCGTCTCGCGCGGCTCCTCCGCTCCCCCCGAACTCAAGTCCGAGCTGGAGAGGAAGATGCAGCGCTTCTTCCAGTCCTGCACATTGGTGCACCGCGACGACGTCCAGTACCACCTGGCCCTGGAGAACGTCCTGCTCGAGTTCGGGCAGCTGCCCGCGCTGGCAGGAGCCCAGTGGAACGCCTCCGACTTCAGCTGGTGGAGAACGGTGGCCCAGATCCAGCGGAAGTACGGCAAGCAGATCATCCTGGGAGTGGAGGAAATGAAGGCCCCACCGGACTCCGTGCCCTCGGAGAACTCAGTGTACATCTCGGCGGGAGACGCGCTATCGAGGGCCCTTGAACGGAAGGATCGGTTGCAGGAGCCCACGACCTTCCCGGATCTGCAGCAGCTGTTCGGCTTGAGTTCCTCGGTGGAGAAGCACACAACGAAGCAGCTGGAAAAGTTCGATAAGGAGCTGGCCGACCAGCTGACCAATCCTGCGAAGCCTTTCGAGGAAGCGATCTCCGTTTTCACGGTGAACGAACTGGAGCAGAAGTACCGGGACCACCTCAACTTCACCGAATTCCTGGGACTCGTCCTCGGCGAGGAGAACATCCCGGAGATGGTCTTCGTTTTCGACGAGGGCCAACTGCTGCGTACGCTGCTCGCCATCCGCTCGACTCCGCCGGCCGTGGTGGCCAACTACGTGTTGCTGCGGCTGCTGGAGGAGTTCCTGCTGGAGGACGGGCCCGAGGATCTGGGCAAGAGGTGCGTTCGGAAGACCAAGGAGCACTTCGCCCAGCTAGCCACGACCGCGGTCTATCAGACGTTCCGCAGTCCGGCCGCCGAGGCGGAGGTCTTCGCCGTCTGGGAGCAGATCAAGGGGATATTCCGGCAGCAGCTGAGTGGCGACAGGCTGGACTGGATCTCCAACGCCACCAGGACACTGGCCATCGACAAGCTGGACCGCATGCAGCTGAACATTCGCTCCTACGAGGCCGCTGAGCTCGAGGAGCTCTTCGGCGCGGTTTCCATCGACCGCGCGAACTTCGTGCCGAACATCCAGCAGCTGCTCATCGCCAAGGCCAAGAGGCCCGATTCCCGGATCTACCAGCCGAGCGGCGTCTATAGTTCAGCCTCGTATCATGTGGATCAGAACAACGTCTCCATCTCGGTGGCCCTGCTGCAGCCGCGCTACCTGTGGGCCGAGGAGTACCCGGTGGCCCTCAAGTACGCCACGCTGGGCTTCATTCTCGCCCATGAGATGCTCCACGGGTTCGACAGCCACAGCTGGCTATTCGACGTTGGCTGGTGGGACGAAAAGTCGCGCTACGGGTTCGAGGAGCGACTGAAGTGCTTCCGGGCGCAGTACCACCAGTTCAGCCACCTCGGAAAGAAGCTGCCGGAGATGGCGGACCAGTCGGAGAATGTGGCCGACAACGGGGCCGTCCGGCTGGCCTACGGCGCCTACCAGCGCTGGCTGGAGCAGCGCCCGGGGAAGGAGTCCCTGGAGTCCCTGGAGGGGCTCTCCCTCGACGGCCGCCAGCTGTTCTTCCTCGGGTTCGGGCAGCTGATGTGCCACGACGTCAACTGGTACTTGATGTTCCTCCCTTCGGATGAGGACACTCATTCCCCCCAACGGTTCCGGGTGACCGGATCGCTGTCTAACTTCCAGGAGTTCTCCTGGGTGTTCAACTGCTCCCGGTCCGCGCCCATGGACCCGGAGTTCAAGTGCGCCATCTACTGAAAGGACAGCTCCTAACTGCTGCACTTGAAGTGTGCTATATATCCAAATTATACTGTAGTTAGTTGATCAATACGTTTGTTACTCATTGTTATGTGTTCATTCAATAAACCAGTGTGAACACTTATAACTTCTGGCAAGGGAATGGAAACAATAGCTTTATCAGCAAGAGTACTTCCCACGATTCAATTATACAGTTGAGTATTTATTTATGCTTATGTTCAGAGAGTTAACACGCAATTCCATTCGATCTGCAAGTGTTCCTCTAAGAGCACATACGTCTGTAATATTCAACTTAGGGTGATAGGTATTCAAGTTAAGGTAATAGCTAATCCAGGCCCACGGCGAACAGCTGGCACTTCTGGGGAGCAGCCATCTTGCTGCCGCCGTTGCAGCTAAAGTCCCTTGAGAAGGCCCCGAAGTTGGAGAGGGCGCCCAGGACGCGGAGGGCACTGGGGGTGCGCAGCAGGAGCAGCGACTGCTTCTCCCGGAACTGCTCGTTGGCGTCGGAGCACCACAGCTGGGCAAAGCTGAGGAAGAACAGCCGGCGGGAGCTGAGGTTCAGCTGGGGCAGCGACTCGGAGCCGAGGAGCGCGGGGGCCAGCTCCCCGAGGAAGCGGCGGTAGGCGTGGTAGGCCACCTGGACGGCCAGGTTATCGGCGATGTTGTCCGCCTGCAGGTCACTCGCCGGCAAGTACTGTCCGTGGAGCCGCAGGCGGGCGTACTGCTCCTTGAAGCAGGCCTTCCGCTTCGCGTACTCCGCAAAGGAGCTGGCGTCCCACTTGGAGGCGTCCTCCAGGCTGTGGGCCAGCTGCTGGGCCAGCAGGGTGCCCAGGCTGCCGAAGCGCACGGCCTTCGGGTAGGAGCGGGACCACAGGAAGTTTGGCTGCAGCATGGCCACCGGCAGCAGGACCCTCCTCCCCGCAAAATCGTACGAGGGTGCGGTCAGGGTCCATTCTCTCGTCTCCGAACTCGGTACCCGGTGGCTCAGGATGGCCTTCAGGTTGTGCAGGTACTCGCGGGGCCTCAGCTGCAGATCCGCGTACCGCTCCGTGAAGTTCACCTCCTGGTAGCCGACGATCTCCAGACTGGTGGAGTTGATCTGCGCCAGCAGCTGTTCCCGCGTCTCCACAACCAGCCAGTCGGCGGAGGAGTTCTCCAGGAGGCCCCGGAAGCTCAGCTGGATCTGCTGCCAGAGGGAGTGGACGTCGCTGAGGGTGGCTTCGTCCCCGTACTGCCGGAAGACCATGTTTTCGAGCAGCTCGGGGAAGAGCTCCCTCACTCGGTCCGCACACTGACCCACAAAGGACCTCTCGGATCTGTCGTAGTAGAAGCGCTGCAGCAGCTCGTTGAAGATGTAGTTGGCCAGCACCTTCTCGGGGGTTACCGCCACCAAGTCGGCCAGTTTGACCAGGTAACTGGGTACGTGCTCGTACAGGGACTCGTTGGGTTCCAACTTCCTATCGAGAACAGTTTCCACGTACTGCGTCAGATTCAAAGTGTTGAAATCGTACTCCTCCGATTCGTTGAGGGCGTGCAACTTGGACAGAACTCCAACGCGACGCTCCACCATGATGCTGGCCAAGCGCTGCTCGAAGTCCGTGATCTCCCTGGCGGCCTCCCTGGCCAGCTGGGGATCCACTCCCAGGTGGAGCTCCAGCTTGGAGGCTATGTCGTCGGTCACCGCGTGTCTGTCGGCCTCCGGGAGGATCTGCCTGGGCTGGCCCACGTAGATGCGGTCCGCGTGCTCCTGGAAGAGTAGCAGGATGTCGAGGCCGAACCTCCGCCTGATGCTGGCCACTGTGTCCAGCCAGTCGAACCAGTCCGAGGGCCACTCCTGCCCCGGGAGATTCAGCACGGGCATCCGGCCGAACTCCGCCACGATCTCCTGCAGCTGGCGGCGGTAGAGCTCCTCGGGGCTCTGCCGAAAGAGCAGGCAGCTGGCGTAGAACTGCTTCAGCAGGAGGACGGGCGGCTCGTCCCGCTCCTCGTCCGCCGGCTGCTCCATCAGGCGCTGCTGCTTGTGGCGGTAGGCCTGCACCAGCAGCTGCTCCACGTCCGTCTCCCGCGGATGGGCCTCGTTGGCCGGGTTGATCTGCGGCCAGCTGCCGCAGCTGAACTCGTAGAAGTTCTCGCAGGGCTCCGCCTCCGGGCGCATGAAGCTGCGCATCTCGGCGGACTTGGACAGCCGCATCAGGCGCTGCACGTAGACGGTGTCGTTGTTCTGCGAGATGAGCTGCTCCCGCGACTGGATGCGCAGGTCGATGCTCGGCTGGCCCGGCAGCAGGTGGCCCCGCCCACTTCCCGCGAGGAGCAGCAGCAGGAGCACCAGCTTCGGTTTGACCAGGTCGCTAGTCGCGTTCTCCATGGCGAACATTCCGAGGGCGACTGAACGGGCAGCCAGCGCGACGCACTTCCGCACTTAGCTCTCCGCTACTGGGATTCAGATTACAACACACTGCGCGAAATCACCGAACCTCATTGGAGGCACACAAAAGTGACAATTACACAAGTCGAGCGTAATTAGTTGAGATAATTAGCTGAGAGAATTAGGAGAGATAAATGGTGTAATTTGAATCAAGAGTACAAATCAATCCCACCCAAATCAGTTCAAGTACGAGACTGAAAAAAAATCTCTAATTGTTTTCAGTGCAGCGGGAAGAGCAGAAGGGAAGGTCGGACACAATCCTCCTTATCGCCCGCTCGGTCGTTGGATCCCGTCTCCCCAGCAAAAGCTAGAGGAGAGTGCGTGATTGAAGCCCAGCTCACGTTCTCGAGCAATAACTGCGAGAAATTGTTTATGTTTATAGATTACTTATGGCCTAGTTGAGGGTTTTAGAATGGCAGTCGGAATTGCGCAAGCCGTGAATTTGGTTTACATCTTAACAAGAAAGGAAGCTTATATACCCTTGCAGTCATCAAATATGTAGAACAAAACACATAAAGGCTAAACAGCATCAAAGCTATGACGATATTTCTATTAATTTTTATATTTTCGACTATTGTTCATATGGCAGCTATATAGTTGTCCGATTTTGGTGAAATTTAATTCTTAATTTAAGAGTAGTCAGAAAACTCTACATTCCAAAAATCAACTTGTCTGATGTGCAACAACGAAGTTATTATTTTATCTCCGTTATTTCTATTTAGATTTTTCGATCTTTCCTATGGGAACTATATGATAACGTCGTCGGATTTTCATGAGATTTTTTTCTCGTTTCAAGGGTTATTAAAAAACTTCATATTTTAAAAATCATGCTCGTGGGATTAAAAACAACATTATAATTTTTTTTCCATTATTTATATATATTTTTTTTTGATCATTCCTAAGGTATATCCGATAGAGTTATCCGATTTTGATAAAATTTAATTCGAAATTCAAGAGTCGTTAGAAACGCCATCTGAAAGAAATCAAGTCGATCTAATCAAAAACAATTACATGAGAATTTTTTATTTCAATCTCTTGTATATCCGATATAGTCGGCCGATCCGGCCCGTTCTGACTTATATAATATAACGCGTGCAATAACTACACAACTTTTGGGAAAATTTGAGCAAGAAAGCTTTAAAACTGAGAGACTAGTTTGAAGAGAAACAGACAGACGGACAGACGTACATACGTATTTGGATTCTGATCGTGATGCTGATCAAGAATATAAATACTTTATGGGGTCTGAGGTGTCTCCTTCACTGCGTTGCAAACTTCTGACTGAAATTATAATACCCTTTTGCTCTGCAAGGATATAAAAATATAATATATATTTCCTAAGAACAGTCAGGATCTGCGGAAGATGATTAATCTTTAAGCAGCAGCTCCGCAATCAGATGGTTCAAGGTCCAAAAAAGTTTGTTCCCTTTTTAAGTTTGGAGAGAGAATACCTTTCCATCTGGATCCAACATGATCCCAACGAGAAATGCACACTCTACTAGTTCGAAGACGTTAAACATTTCGTAGACTCATTAAAACGCTTTTAACAAAGTTATAATAATAGATTAATAATTGTATACTTGTAGCGAAAAGTACGGCTTTCATCAGAATCACGAACTTGTGGTTGTGAAACTTGTTGTGCTCGGAGTGTGTGTTCTGCTATTTTCCAACTGGCACGTCATGGCAGAGTAATCAGCTCCGTAGACACCAATTGTTTAATTTCGCTGACACACTATTTTGCACTGTAGGTCGCGTGAGTGAAAAATTATGGAAAACTCACAGCTTGTATATTTCTGTGGAAACCTAGTTATCAGTTTCGGGGTAAATTCGAACCCAATCAGACAGTGCGGAGAACTTGTTGCAAGATTAAAATGTAAATTAAAACGAAATTAAATCTAAGCAAATCAGTGAGAAGTTCAATTAGAAATGATTTGGATATCATTTTAATACTCAGACATACTGGTTTGTTTCTGCTTTATGTTTGCTAATGTGAAAAACCCAACATCAGGGTAATATTTTACTATGGCAAATCGCTGAGTCTCCGGAGAGATGAGTTAATAGACAGTTGAACCGCAGTGGCTGAGCGATTCGCTGCATCGGAGAGGCTGCGATAACCCCAGGGTCGCCTTTTGTTTTCTGAGAACAGATTAGCGGCCGGCTGAACGCGGATGGCGATGAACTCGGCGCATCCCCTGAATCGTCGGCGGTTCGACAGTCGATCTCTGGAACTATGGCGAATCGGAACGCGGTGCAGCTGCTCCACATCAGCATTGGCTGGCTCCTCCTGCTCCTGCTGGCCCTGGCCGCGGGCTCCCCACCGGTGGCAAGCACGATCTCCAGGAGAACACGCCCTACATGCGCACGCTGCTGCGCCTGGCCAAGGTGGGCGAGATCGAGAGCTTCATGAACCAGAAGGTGGACCCGTGCAACGACTTCTACTCCTTCGCCTGCGGCAGCTACGAGCGCATCAACTCGGCGATGAGCATGCAGGTCGTGACCACCGGGGTCTTCGAGACCTTGACCAAGGGGCTCAACCGCGCAATCCTCGAGATGCTCGACAAGCCCCACGACAGCCTGGACACCCCGGAGGACACCCAGGTACGGCACTTCTACGAGGCCTGTCTGCGGCTGAAGGAGCTCAACGCCACGTACACCGGCAAGCTGAAGGCGCTCATCTCGGAGTTCGGATCCATGCCGGCGATCGAGGGGTCCTCCTGGTCGGAGGTGGACTTCGACTGGCTGGGCACCACGGCGCGCATCGCGTACCGCTACGGTATCACGCCCATCTTCGGCGCCGAGGTGAACAAGGACGTGGCCAGCAACCACCGGAACCGCATCTACCTGGGCCAGCAGGACTTCCCGCTGGAGGCGCGCTCCATGTACCTGGACAACGCGACGGCCGTCTACCGGCAGAAGTACCGCGCCAACATCCAGAAGACCCTGCAGCGCTCCCTGGGCGTGAAGGCGGACATCGCCAAGAGCACCGCCCAGGAACTCGTGGACTTCGAGGTGGACCTGGCCCGCGGCCTGGTGGACGAGAGCGAGGGCCTGGGCCTGGACGACCTCGCCGAGCTGCTGCCCGTGGCCGAGGTGCAGAGGCGGTACGCACCCACGCTGGACATCGAGCGCCTGCTGTTCGTGAGCATGGGGGAGCGGATCTCGGAGGAGATCTACGAGTTCAACGCGGGCTATCAGAGGAACCTGGTCGAGGTGATCAAGCGCACCCCGAAGCGCACGCTCGCCAACTACATTTTCTTCCGCCTGATCTGGGAGTTCCTGGAGACGCCGGCCGAGAAGCCGCAGAAGCAGAAGCAGAATTGCCTCGACCTCACCAAGAAGTTCTTTGCGAAGAACCTGGACAACATGTTCTACCGGCGGAGCAACAACGAGAAGTCCTCCCGGGAGATCGACAGCATGTGGCGCCAGCTGAAGGCCACGTTCAATGAGACCCTCCGCTCCAGTTCGACGCTGGACTGGATCGAGCGGCCCACAAGGAACCTGGCCATGGCCAAGCTGGAGGCCATGACCCTGCAGATCAACAACTACGCCGAGGACAACTTCACGGCCGAGTTCGCCGGCCTGAACCTGCAAAGCTCCGACTACGTGGAGAACGTCCGCCAGGCGAACATCGTGGCCGCCAGGCAGATGCGCGAGATGCTCCACCAGCCGGCCAAGCCGCTCGAGGCGGGCACCCAGCTCAGCTACACGCCGGCCAACATCCTGATCGAGAACACCATCAAGGTGCCGGTGGCCCTGCTGCAGCCCTTCTACATCTGGGCCGATGTCTATCCGAACGCGGTCATGTTCGGCACCCTGGCCTCCCTGATTGGCCACGAGCTCATCCACGGGTTCGACGACAGCGGGCGCAAGTTCGACGCCAAGGGCAACTCGAAGGACTGGTGGGACGACAGGTCGAGCAGCAACTTCCTGAAGCGCAGGGAGTGCTTCACCAAGCAGTACGGGCGGTACGTGTACGACGGCATCCAGCTGAAGGAGTCCACCTCGCAGTCGGAGAATATCGCGGACAACGGGGGCGTGCGGCTGGCCTACGAGGCCTACCGCAAGTGGTACGACTCCCGGCTGGCCCAGGACCTGGACAATGAGGTGCTGCCCGACCTGCGCTACTCCGCCAAGCAGCTGTTCTTCATCAGCTTCGCGCAGATCTGGTGCAACGACGCCCATCCCAGTGTGAAGGCCCTGCAGGTCTCCACCGACCAGCACATGCCGGGCAAGTACCGGGTGATCGGATCGCTCTCGAACTTCGACGAGTTCGCCAAGGAGTTCAACTGCCCGGTCGGATCGAATATGAATCCCAGCGAGAAGTGCGTACTCTACTAAAACTGAAGGTTTCTCTTGCCAGCTTGCTAATCACTTGTGTTTTCTTAAGACGTAATCAATAAAGATCGGAAATGATGAGTTTTACTCATCATTTATATTAAAGCAAAGAGTATTTTATGATGTCTAATATTACTTTGAAAATAATATAATCTAGCTAGGAATGAGTGCTATCAACCGATGTCTCGCTCTCGCGCTGCTATGGACTAATCAAAATTTTGGATTTTTAAGAACACATCATTTCCTGAGTAATTAAACTGAAATGTATATATATTTAGCTAGCTCACTGCCTTTTGTTTACACAGTCAAGGAATATATCCAAGCTGATCCGATCAGAAATAGCCATTTTCTGGCAGGGGTGAGTGCTATCTTTGGCCGAGAAGGTGGCCGTTCTTACGAATATATGCACGCCAGCCAAGCCAACCTCAGCCAAGGCTCATTAGAAATGCCGACCTAATCTATTTACGTGCCTCCACTTGGCTTTGACCGTGATTGTTACGAGCAGCGAGACGAGGCGGGTCGATAAGTGAGCCGCTGGTGACAGGTGGGCGGAAGAGGAAGCAAGGAGGAAGCAAAGAGGAAGAGGAAGTGGTGGTAGGAGGTAGGAGGTAACTGCTAAGGTGCCAGTGGAACACTCACCGTGCGTCAGTATGTTGATGGTCTCGTTGTGCCAGTAGAACAGGCTGAGGAGGCAGCCCTTGAAGGTCTGCAGGGGTCTGTATCCGCGGAGCACGTAGGGATTGAACTGCAGGTACGTGGGCATGTCCTGCCAGGGCAGCAGCTGGACCACATTCTCGCCGGATCCGGATGCGGAACTACTGCTGCTGCTGCTGCTGCTGCTGCTGCCGTTGCTATTGCTGTTCGCCACTGAATTGGGAGCTCCGGCTGGGGGACTCTCCGCTGCTGACCCCGATCCCGGTCCTGATCCCATTGTGGAAGTTTTTGCGGAAGACGTGGATGATGTGGCGGGCAGTTCCGGCTGCGTGGGCTCAGGGTATGCCACGGTGGCTTCGGGCGCCTCCTTGGCCTTCAAGCCGTTCGGGAAGTGCATCTCGACTGGGGTACTGGACTCCACGTGGACGTCGGAGGAGCGCGATGGCGGCGTGGGCGGTGGCGTCACGGACATGGTCTCCACGGTGCTGCCCAGGCAGTTGCATCCAGCACCAGCTCCAGCACTTCCGGTGGTCACTCCCGCTCCGCCGATCCTCGCCTTTGTGGAGCTGCCGAGGAGCTGCTGCTCGGATTTCAGATCAACGGCGACTGCAGCGGCGGCGGCGGCAGCGGTGTCCATGCCTTGCGAGTGCCCCCGATCGCTGGTGGTTCCAGTTGCAGTTCCGGTTCCGATTCCGATTGCGTGCCCGTTTCCGTTACCGGTTCCGTTTCCAGTTCCGTTTCCGGTGCGTTTCCTAGCTAGCCAGCAGCAGCGGCATCAGCTGAAAGCGAAAGCCAACGTCATGAATTATGGATCGTTCACAGATAGAGAGAGTGTTACGTATGTGTTGGCCAAAAAGCACGTGCTGGTGTGTGCGAAAGCGAAAAGGATAGTAAAAACGAGACCAGGACAATGTCAACACACACACACACACTCGCACAGCAGCCTCGTGACCCAAAAAAGGCCTGCGCGCCTGCCAGTGTGTGTGTAATTGAATATTCCATGCGAATCACGCGAGTCTCGGATTAGGCCACAAATACCAGTTCCCGGGCCCGGGAAAAAATCAATAAAAATACTCACTTCTGCCATGGGACGCACAAACGTTTCTGGTGGCGAATCTGCCTGGCGAAAGGACTTCCGCCGACTGGGACAACGAGTTTTTCTGGTCTCAGGAATCCTGCTAAGAGCCGTGTTTTCCACTCGATTTCGAAGTGTTACGTGGGCGGGGCATAGTCTATATCGCTATGAGATTTATTTAGCCATTTGATCGGCTGCTCTTGGAGTTTTTGGCGGATTAAGTGGAGTATCCCAGCTGGATTTAGATAAACCTTTTTTCCAGCGACAAAACGCGGGAATCGGAGTCGGAAAAATCCGCGCACACGACCGTTGGGACAGGCACGTCAGTATCTGACTGAGCGTGGGCACACGATAACGATACCGTTATTTCACCCAGCGTATTGTTATGCAATTGAATGAATTGGAGCCCGTATTTTCATTGGGCGCCAAAGCAGCGCAGGCGCACTTTCGAACACGAGGCAGTCAGCTGTTTTAAATATATATAAAACAAAACAAAAAAAATAAATGATACTTTTAATTGTAATAAGATAAGTTTATAAGTGATATATCATACCAAATATTAAGTCAACCATGAGAAAAAATATTTTGAGTTTAATTATTTGTTACAGATGAAAATCAACTTTCAAAAAAAAGCTTAGTAAATACACGTAAAAGCGCTTAATAAATAATATAATTTATTTTAGATGTAGATGTACTGGAAATTAATAAATATTTAAACGTAAATAAATAAATATATTATTTATATTATTAAATTATTAAAAACATTGAACATAGGAACATAAAAAGTTTTCTTACAGTCCCTTAAAGTGCTATCATTTTATTTATTTTTACATTTGAACTGCTTTATTTAGATTTGAATTTACCCGCCCTAATCGGTTAACCGAGTGGCTTGGTAATCATTGTAACTTAGTAAATACTAAAAACCGATTGATATTTAGTATTTTGTTTTTTCGATTTCGATCACAATGTAATTTGATGCCTATTGAAATATTAAGAGTTCATATTCACAGCAGACTTGTTGGACTATTTGTACTTTCAAATATCTGATTTTAAAAAACTTTCACCTCAGATATCGTTTGGTAACAAAGAAGTTGTTAACCGGAAAAAACTTTTATATGTGGATCACGGTTTGTGATATCGATGTTGTATCGATATTTGGTTTAAAAACATAGGTGTACGTGAAAACCGACGTTTTCCCACCTCTAATGGACTGAATTCAAAAAGAAAATTCAATTTAATCCGTTGCAAATTCGCGTGTTAATTGAAATACCTGCGTTGCAGGCTACAAAAAATAGTGGCCCAGTCAAATGGCCACATCCAGGCGGTTAGAAATAACGCCGAGGAGCCATTAAAGGGGCATAAAGGGCAGCAAGCGTAAAAAAGGCGCGAAAAACTGAGGACGTGAAAATAAACAACGCAAACAACTACCTTAAAAATAGGACGGATAACAGGATAGAAACAAGGACCCATGCAATTCACCTTACCTAAGGACAAACCCATGCAAGCGAAAGCGAATTTCTCCTGGCAATCGCTAACGCAACTGTTAAGAGGCCTGTGGCATCGCTTGTATTTGCCCCGATCGCCGTTTTTGGCCCTGCCTGCTCCGCCTCTGGCCCCGCCCCCAGCAAATACTACGCAGCAACACGCAAGCGAAGAGGTAAGACAGCTGAAAAGCCGAACTAGATATGAAAAGGCTTGGTGAGATAGGAGAAAAACCCGAAAGATATCAAAAATGCTACCTGTCCGCGGATTTGAAAGCACCCATACAGGCGCATACACAAGCGTGCCTGCAAACAGCTGATTGCGCAGCACACCGCGTCGTCAGAGTTGCCACATCTTGCAGTCCCTATTGTTTTGTTTGTAAATAGATATACACAATTAAGAAAACTTTAAACCGATATTGGGTATCTCAGTAAGAAAACTAAAACCATTTATTTTTGTAAGCGCATGTTTGTTATTTTGACTTCCAGGATTGTCGCCTTTTGCAATTTTCCAAAACAATATAAACAATTGTTTTGTTTTTGTATCAAAGCAGGCCAAGGTCATGGAGAAGGTTGCTTCCACTCTCACGAGTAATTTACCGAACAAATTTGCTCCCTTTTTTTCATTAGTAATATTATTTTTATTGATTTTTAAGCTTGTATTAGGAACATTTTTATAAATATAAATTATTTAATGACCAAAACGTGCAATGTGGTGAATTTCTGTCACGATTTAGGCAACCCTTTTGCGCCAGCACTTCTCAACACTCTCGTTGGAGACTCTCAACACTGTCTCAGACGTGGTGAATAAAATACCAAGTGACGTGAATTGTGGGAAAAAAACACGATTTTCAGCAAAACGCACATTATTCCGATTGTGCCAAAAACGCAGGTACTAAAAATAGAGGACAGGATCTGCAGGACAACCGCTGCACATACTTTGCAAGGCAGCAGCAGTAGTAGCTGCAGCACAAATAGCAACAACCAAAACGGCAGCGACAGCGACGCTTTGGCCAAGCAGCAACAACAAAACCAAAGCAAAACCAACGGAGCGCATACAAAAATCAATTTTCGCGATCGTGAAACAAATCGGCAGCAAATTGCAAGGTAGATAGTTAGGAAATTAAAATTCGAAAGTTAATGGTTTTTGGTTTTTATTTGTGGTCTGTTTTTCGATGTACCAATACAGAAGCTGGGCAATTGCAATTTGGTTAGGCGTCCGCTTGTGTGTGTGAGCGAGTGCGAGTGTATTCGTGTGCGTGCCAGCTGTATTCCGTACTGTACTCACCTCTTCGGTAGGAACAGTTTAAGAAGGGGTGGGGAGGTGAGGAGCTGTTCCCATTGCTCACACCACCCGTTGCCTTAAAGTTCATAAGTACATATATATAAATACTATTAAGGTATATCTCCAAATAGGTATCTCCTAGGGAAACCAAAAATCAAAGGACTACAGTGTGTATACTATTTTTTCAGATGCCCAGAACACGGAGACTCCACCACTCAAGGGATCGATCCTCAGCGGGAACACGAGACAAGCGGCGACGACACGATACTGCCGATCATTCGCCACCCCTAGCTGAGGCCCCATCACCGTAAGTTCTCTGTCTACATGTGTACCCATATACCCCTATGTTCTCGGGGTGCTCTTCGGGCTGTGCGAGGGATTACTCATTGTGCCCGTCTCGCAGGCCCAAGGTAACTCGGTGGTACTCATTATTCCACTGTTTACCCACAGGCCTCGGATCACCAACACACATCACACCAGATCGGCGGCCAAGCGAAGGCGACACGAGCTCGATGCCAAAAAGGCCCAGATATCCAAGGAGCCCACGTAAGTAAAGCAAAACAGTGATTTGTTTCCTATCAAAAGGTCGAATCGGAAAATCAATATAAATATGTCCCTTTTATTGGCCATTGCTAAACTCTTCTTTAAATCTATTATAGTGTTGTGTAAATTTAATACAAAAATTCGAATGGAAATTGTAGAAGTCAGAGTCGAAATGCTTTGTGTTGCATTGATTTGTTTATTGAGTAAATCATCAATTCATTTTACCCAATATTCATGCATTTATCTAAGTCGGCTATTGTTTGTTAAAGACTATTGGTTACTGTATTAAAGAAGTCAATTGCGAAATTTTTATTTGGTTTCTCAGCTTTTTTTTTATCTCGGGACTCGCTTTGCATTTGTCTTATTGTGAATTAACATGACTATTATGAAGTTGCCCAATTTGTTTGTAAATAACAAACTAGTTGGGCTTGCAGAAATCAATTATATGCAAAAAACCGATTTGATTTTCTATTTTTTTTAGAAATTGGTCTGAATTTTCTATTTTCCTTTCATTTTAGTTTACGAATTTAGGTAAATCTCTAAGAAAGGCAAATTACATTTTCTAATTATACAAGTCCACATGTAACACAATCTCTAAAAGGGAAAGCAATGGCAGTTTCGAATAGAGGAAGGAGCCGTTTCTTCACATCTTCTCCACAATAGCGAGTAAAACAAAATATCTTTTTGCTATGAGTAAATAAAAAAAATATCTCCGGTGGGGGAAACCATTCGAAAAGTCTCGGGTCTTGTCCACTTAAACTGGCTCTGCCTACTGATGCACGGGTTTTTCCCCTGGTTGGCTGGTTGGCTGAGTCGCGGCCGCCTGAGTGTCCTGCCCACGCAGCTTTCTGCTCCTTGCGACTCGCTTTCTTTGAATGGCTTGTAAACGGTCGTGTCTTTTACGGTCCATGGCCCCATAAAAAAGTGCCGCTCGATCAGCAGGAGCAGTCAAACGGACAAATTAACATTCGGCCATATATGGCAAGTGAAATCTGCGCTGGTTCCTGCCAGCGAAGAGTCATCCTCTTCAGTGGGCTTACTGTAAATTAACGCGAATTCAGCGATTTCTTTGTGCTGACCCCCTTCGGGAGGCCCGTGGACGTGGGCGATCGATGTGATGCGGTGGATCTGGCGGATCCTGGCGGGTTGTCCGCTGCACTTCCTCGCCTTAATTTATGCGTCTGCGTATTTAAGGCGTATTTGCATATTACTCAAAACAACGGACAACTTGAGGCGCGACGTTGTCGCATTTATTATTGTTTAATGCACTTGGCGTGGCCTTTTTAGGTAGTTGCAGCAAGAGCATCTTGGGGAGTTGGCTTAATCAGAGTCGCATTTCGTAATTTATACGCCACTAGCAGCGACCGCTTTCTTTGTCGATAAAGTGACGTTTTCATGCCCGCCACTGCTGTCATTGTTTATTAACCTTTTGCATTTGCCATAAAGCACGCTGGCTAAGTGTTCATGAACCGCAGCACAACAACAGCAGCAGCGGCGTCAGATTAATCGACCTGTCCCGGCTCATTACTCAAAAGCTGGTGACATCTTGCAACGCGGAAGTGGCCGAAAAACGCAGTCCAAATATGAAAATCACGCGGAGAGATAAAGTGTTTGTTAATTTGTTAACGCACACTGTTTTCTAAAAGCACGACCAATAAGCCTTGCTGCATTGAAATCTAAAGTAAACATTATGGGCATTTTTGGCAATAATTTTAAACTTTCTTTCGCTTATTGCAAGCAAGGAATAGTAGTCTCAAATGTTCACTGCCTGCATTTCCGCTATCCTCCGGTTTGTTATTGTCGTTGATCATTTTCAATTTCAATCATTTTTTATTTAAATTACAAGCCATCAATTGGGTGCACGCACGATGGTGCGGCGAATTCGCAGTGTTCGCCCGCTCGCTCGATCGGCTGTAAACTGGAAATGCGAGCGGCGAAGTCGAGCGGTGGGGGCAGCGGTACGGACGGCGCAGAGCGGCGGCAGCGGCAGCCAACCGACACTTGTTCGCTACCAACTTGTCGCTCGATTGCTCAGTCGCAACGACAACTCGAAAGCGAATGGAGGTGCTGGCTTCTTCGCTCGTCGCCGTCGCCGCCGTGCTACCGCCACCAAGTGTCTTTTGAAAGAAAAGTACGACCCAACCG